GATCATTATTAGATTTGGATAATGGTGGAACCAGATCGTCGATAATTCATCAGGTCCGCTATCTTTTAACAAAAAAAAAAAAATTGATAAAGAATCTACAGATAATGTCCTTTGACCAATGTGATAGCTATTCTTATCATACAATTATTTAGTATAAATACCATTGATTTTTTTTTTTCATTATGAATTGATATTTTTTATAATAAAAGATTTATTAAAGTATTCTTATTGTTTCTTTTTTAACAAATCAAACCAACCCTTGATTTATTACACCCTGGATGAGAACTTTCTATAAAAAACAAAAGAGAATTCTAAAAAAGAATCCCCTTGGCAACTTCAACAACTATTTAAATTTAAAAAATAACATATAAAACTAGTTCTTTTTTTTTTTTCATCATAAAAGACACATTTAACTACGGCAAAAGCTATCGGTAATCTCAACATTTAAAAAAAAAAAAAAAAAAAAAAAAAGAGTCATTTGACGTGTGATAAAAACCAGTGACAATGTCTGAAATAGTTGCCTGCGCACCTCTGTTTGTATAATTAACAAGCATAATGATCAAACATGTATCAGGGACTTTACATTATCATCAGTCATTACTGGTGCGATGTTAAGTCTCCATATAAAACAGAGGAAAACTTTTTTTTCCTGTTGCCCAAGATAATCATGACGTTTTGCAACAAGTTTATTTAAATGTAATAAAAAGAAGAATACAGGTCAGGGCGTATTCTCCATTTTACGTAAGCATGCTTTCCCTGAATGTATCGTTTCATCGAAAAACACGCGACTACGGTAGTACAAGGCGGTGTTTATGCGGGACGGGTGCAGACAAAAAAATACAACTTGACATAAACAGATGTTTCAGTGGTGAAACGAAATAAAAAAAGATGCGTAAAATGTGAGGGGGGGGGAGGTGGGGGGACGCGTCATGCCATGCAGACTAATCAATTGCAAAACTGCTACAGCCAAAAAGGAAAGAAGTGTAAGTCTCAAATAAATTATAAATTAGAATTATAGATAGGTGGATGATGTGCTTTAATGTGGGTAACTACATGGCTATTAAAGGCAAGTCAAAATGAAGGGCATCAAAAAGATAATGGAGGACAAAGAAAATCAGCAATTTAATTTAAATAACCGAAGCTTTTGTTGTTAAAAGGGTTTTTTTTTTTTAAGATTTGTGCCCTTTGTTTTACCTGTTACTCTACATTAATTAAAAAAAAATAAAAATAAAAAAAAAACCATAAATATGAAGGTCAAGACTATTTGCATTGGTGAATATCAGATATCACCGTCTATTGAATTTTGTTTATACCAGTTTCCATCACCACTTGTAACACCTCCAAGATCCTTCCAGGATTCACAGCAACAACAAGCGGAAGACTTTAATTATTTCTGCCTGGAAGATTTATTTGCTATATTTGATTTATATTTAATTAAACAAGATTTAATCAAATCATTCAAACAATACCCTGGATTCTTTTGCAAAGATGAATCATCCAACCGCTCCTTGATTCAAACACATGTTATGGCAGATATCGCCCTTAAACACAAACTATACAATTTAGCGGATCTATGTCGATTAGACGACAGGGAATTAATTTCAGGTGGTGCTATTCCTTTATTAAAGATGACAACATGTGTCAGACTAAATACAACACCCATCATTTCATACACAACAATCCGTCAAGGGCATTTCAGTGGCAATGAATGGTTTCTCGATGCTGATTTATCAAGGTAAGAAACACCCCCCCCCTTTTTTTTAAAAACTTGCACTATTCCTCCTTTAAAAAAAATTAGAGGGGAGATATTACAATTTATACAAGTGCAACATTGTAAATTAGTATTTTTCTTGTACACCATTAGAGTAACCAAAAAAAAAAAAAATTATTTATTTATAATAGACTTGAACGCCTGTCATCCAATATATCATCTTCTTCTACTTTAATGTCTATTCAAGAAGACCCCTTGATTAAATTACCAAAGCCTTCTTCTCTCTTGTTAAAACGTCTGGCACCTAAACATGGTCACAAAAAAAACCTAACCATCTTGACACCTTCTTACAATGAAGATGCCGTGCATGGCATTCAATCGGCACCCTTAAGAAGAATCTCTATTTCAGCCAACACGACAACGACTACTAAAAAAATCCTGAAAAGGTCACCGCCCACCCACAACAACAACAACAACAACAAAAAGTCTCGATTCACCAACGTACCCGCAACAGCCTCAGCCGTGTCAGCACCATGGCCACAAACGTCAGCGCAAGGCCGATTTCCTAGTCCACCCATTGTGCCTAGCCAGCAGCCTGCATGGGGTCAATACCGATCTCAGCCTAAGGTACCATGCACACCTAATAAGACACAAAAACAAAAGTTTCTGCAGCCATTTGAATACTTGTATGACCATATTGAACAAACGCGTGTTCTGAAGACCACATTGGATGATCAAATCCGACGCTCCTCTTCCTTGATGCAGACACTGCAATCCTCAGGTACAATGGTTGAATCGCTGGTACGACGACAAGTACGTGATATGGTGGATGATACGTTTGAAACTAAATTACGAGAATGTACAGACCGTATTGCGCGACTCGAACAACGCCTCACTAATAATATACCCTTGTCACCTGCTATTTCTCCTATCAAGGAGCAACCGCTGGATTTAATGACTCAACTCATGAATAGAATAGATCAATTAGAGTCAAAATTAGATAAATAAGGCATTCTTTTTTTTTTTTTTTGCTTTTTACAGTGTGTTCATACCAAAATAAAAAAAATAAAAAAATTTGCATTACCCACGTTACCTAAAACCTTATTAAGACCCAACCACTTGTTTCCCCATATTTATAAATACATGTATATGTACGCCCGTTTACAAGTCATTCATAAATGAAGTGGCGTCAAGTTTTTTTTTTTTTTTATGCCAGTGCAATTACCATTTGTTTTTATATTTGTGGCGAAATTTTTACTGTCTGTCTGTCTCTTTCTGACAGCAACAGTAAAAAAAAAACAATATATGCTCTAAACCCTCCTTCCACGTTACTCAAGTCTCCATTTGGGAAATTTGAATTTATTTTGTTTTTATTTATAGATTTATCATGCTTGATTGGCTACAAGTTTAAATTTAATCAAAGAATCCACTATTGTCTTCATCATATTCCTCCTATTTTTATAAAAAGAAAGCATTTTTAGTTTAAAGTTTTATTTATTCTAAAATGTATACACTTACATAGGTAGTATGTCCTTGATTATCTGTGTTTGTAACTATAAAAAAAAAAGTCAGGATTTGCATCAGTCTCATGTATCATAAAAAAAAAAACAAAATATATTTGTATTACCTTCCACATCGTTATCAAAGAAACCATCCTTTCTCTCAATCACTTGTTGACTTCCATCAGCATCTTTTTTTTTTAGTGGCGGAAAAAAAAAAAGAGTCAGTTCAATATTACCGTGCACTCTTTTTCCAATGTAGAAAAATCACTTACAGGTGGTTGTTTCAACTTGGGTATCGGCTTGCCACCAATGATTATTTTCAGTCACGACACTGGTACTGGTGACCTGGTCCGCACCACCATTGTAATCATTTTGAGGCTCGTAATTACCGTATCCTCCACTATAATTGTTACCATAATCCATGGGAGGTTGTTCCATAGGTGCTGGTGGGGGAGGGGGTTGACTGTATCCTCCTCCATTATAGCCAGAGTCTACATAAAAAACCCAACATATCTTTAGCTCTTTTTCCCTTCTCTTCCTATGTATTCCATTTCACTTACGGTCTTGTTGTTGTTGTTCTTGCTCTAAACGATCAATACGGTCACTTTGCTCTTGTTCGTGATTCATAATACTTCCCACGGCAAGTCCACCAGCAACACCAAGTGCCGCTGCACCGGCCATCTTCATACCAGATGACATACCGGGCTTATTTTGAGGTACGGTAGGAGGTGCACCGTAAGGTGATTGTTGAGGAGGTGCGCCGTAAGGTGATTGTGCGGTGGGAGGAGCACCGTAAGGTGATGGAGCACCATAAGGTGGACGTGCAGCAGCAGGAGCACCGCCATAACTTTGGTTTTGTTGAGGAGGAGGAGGGTATTGTTGTCCTCTTTGTTGTTCATGACCATAGGCTTGTTGTGGGGCGCCATAAGGAGATCCATGTTGTTGAGGGGGGGCACCGTAAGGTTGTTGAGGTGGGGCGCCATATGGAGATCCATGTTGTTGAGGTGGTGCACCATAAGGTGATTGTTGTTGTTGAGGAGGGGCGCCGTAAGGTTGTTGTTGTTGAGGAGGGGCGCCGTATGGAGATCCATGTTGTTGAGGGGGAGTGCCATATTGTTGAGGTGGGGCTCCATAAGGTTGTTGTTGTTGAGGTGGGGCTCCGTAAGGTTGTTGTTGAGGTTGGGGAGGATAGGCGTTGCCGTAAGGTTGTTGGGGTGCTTGATAAGGACTACCGCCATAAGCTTGTGGTTGGGGAGGGTATTGGGCACTTCTATCGTGAGGTGCGGGTGGCGTGGCAGGGTATCCGCCACCACCGCCGCTGGGATAACCGGCAGGAGGTGCTTGAGGAGGAGGAGGTGTGTTATAAGCACCGGTAAAAGCAGGTCTTTCCCAATGCGTGGATTTGGTATTGTGGTTAATGTAATATCTATAAGATCTTTAGTAAAAAAAAAGTATATATGAAACCTAGTTGAAATACGTACGGTCTGCCTTCAGGGGTAAACTTTTCTTCCCAGCCTAATTATAAAATAAAATATAACCGTAAGATGATGAGCGGAAGATTAAATAAAAAAACCAATAGAAAAATAAACTAACCTTGAGGTAATGGTGCAGACATCTTTTTTTAAAAAAAAACTATAGATGAAAAAAAGAGAAAAAAAAGGAAGAAACAAAAAAAGATTGAATTTTATATTTTCGAATTAAAGTTTTTACCGTCGTTTCGGACTCATAAAAAAAAACCCTCAGCTTTTGAAATTCCTTTTATCCTCATTTGTGCCTCTTTGATTTTCACAGTAAAGAACAAGCTTTAAAAAAAGTTAGGAGAAAGATCTTCAAAGCTCAGGTTCCGTATTCGAATAGGGCAATTTTTCATATCTCAATTGGACGGCCTTATTGTCGTAAAAAAAAAAAAAAAATGTAGCCTTTATCTAGGATCCAAGAAGAAAATCCTTAAAGGTGGTTTGATAACTACAGTCTTTGTGTAATTAATAATCTTTTGGGTATTATATTATTATAAATCATCACCTCATTTTAATTGGTTGTTTACCTCTCGAGACACACTTTCATTCTTCATCTCTCAGGAACACAAAAGCTTCTAAGAAAGTAGCTCTCATGAGGTGCATTTCATTGAACCTTTTTTTCATAGTTTAGCATTTCATCAAGATTGGACAAGTGTAATTGCGCGTATAGCATGCTCTTCTTGGTTTACCCTGCAAAATATTAGCAGATGCTTGCTGCCAATGAGGCCAGAAAAAAAAAGTCAAATGTTTCTTCTGCAAAGTGATACAAGCAGACGACCAACCAATCGAAAACCATGCCTTGTATCAACCCAATGCATATATACTTTAAGCGTAACGGATTGGCCTCATATGAGACTGGATTAGTTTCAAGGGCATGCAGTAGTAGACCAAAATATAATTGCAGACAAAATGCACAAAGCCTCTCTTTTTCTAGTGGTTTAGATGACGTGAATGTCGCTAACTCAGACTACAACAGAAACCATACAATGAAATCCCCGGGGAAGATCAAAATGAGTCAATCGTATTCCATGATTTATCATCGAGCGCAGTCAGCATTAAAATAATGTGTGTATCTGAGACATCCCCAAGCACTCACAATGTCTTTTTTAAAGGGCGATTCTACTATATAGCTTGACAGCTTGAATTCTCCAAACAGTCAATAAAAACTGCCCATTAAAAAAAATAAGACAAGTTTGTTCAATAAGAAAATAAAACTCGCTCTTTTATTAAAGAGGATTCCTTTTTCGGCATTAGTCTTATTGTACAGTCTTTCCGCCGTCAATTGGTCGCTTTTTAAATTTCAATTGGACATAGTCGATATTTTGAGCCTCAATTGGTCAGTATTTTGAGTCTCGGTTTGTCACTTTTTTCGAAACCAATTGGTCATTCAACTTGCTTTCACTTCACAGAATCCAGTAGAACAAGAGATTCGTATTTGAGTGATAATGCAACTGCCACCATCAGGATGTTTATCGTTTGAGAACCCCGTTGCTCTATTTAGCCTAGTTACAAGAAAGCTGTTAGCGTATATATTTTTTTGGCTTGGTGATTACCTACCACCTGTACATCGGTTTCTTTTGCAGATCATGAAATATTAGACTGAGGACTATATCAAGATAGTCGGTTTTTAATTCGAATACTTTGACCTCTTCGTATATAAGAATATTTTCAGGCAGTTTGTTTATACTATGCATTACATGTTAAACTTTCCAACAAAAATATTTTACATATTATTTTAAGTCAGTATATCAATTATCTTGGAATTCAATAAGTCGGCGGCTTCGTATAAATTATGTAATTTTACTTTAGATATTGGTAAAAGTAGATTTAATATAATATTATTGTATCCACAACTATACAAAATACTACCTTGGCAAGTGGCTTCTGGTAGCTACATAAATGTCGAAACAAAGAACCCATTGTAATGGCACAAATGACTTAAATCACAATGCACAGATAAGAATCAGGTAAGAAATACCAGACCAAATATAGATGTATTTGCAGCGATGATGATTTTTTTTATTAACAGAGCAGTACAATGCGAAGTGAAACTACATAGACAGTTTTTTGAGATAACAAGGAGTTATTACCAATGTATATATTTCTGTTATGGGTAGTTTACTTTGGCGGGGGGAGATAAGTTGATGATGTTGTTGAAGGGGGTAATCATGTTTGAACGGGATATGGATTAGGGCTGTTAGGTACGCTCATAGGGCCATGCTCTGCTACAATACTTGTATGCTTTCCTTCATTTAAGCGAATGATCGTTGGATTTATGATACTGGAAAGGTTTTGTGGCCTCTGGCCCTTTGATCATAAAATGGTCTTATGTTCTTGTCTCGCGTTAAGAAAATTCGAGCGAACTTAGACTGGAACACAATCAAAGCTCGTACTCAGTTCCTTCGGCACTTATAAAGTTTCCTCGCAAGCAATCTATATTCTCAATAATATGGCTTAGTACAGTCTTTCTCTAGTTAAATCATGCCTTTGGGCTATCCAACTTACAGCAAGTGTTTTAAAGAAGCAGATAAACGGAAGAATTGTAATATCTTTTTCAGAAAAACTGATAGGAACATCCACCCTCTGCTCTTTGATCATGATATAGATGCCGGGTGCCTGTGTTGACATTGACCAATGTCTGATGGCAGTGCCTTTGCAAAATAAGAATACAGTTAATAACTCCAAATGCACTTAGACATAGTATTTTACGAGTCACTTACCATGGGCATGCAGGAAATGGATTTTCAATTTTGCGAAAGTGTTGATTGAGGCTGTTTCGCATAACTGAGCCACTGTTCGTATCATTGCCAACATCCCAAACATGGCTTTATGATGGTCAAAGCTTATTTTACCAGCCTCATTTTTGCCATAGCCAGACGACACTTCGGTCAAAAGGATTTCAATTGCAGAGAAATTATTGACTATGAGCGTCCCATCAGCATTATATTTATATCGGCCATCATTCATTCCGTTCTTTTTTAGTTGTATGGTCATGGAGTTGAGTTCAATTTCTCCTGGAAAGAAGGTAATGTCGTGGTTGACATTGCGTAAATATTTGGTAGTAGCCATCATACACCTATCAAATAGATAAGACCGGTAGCAAAATTCAGACTTTTGAAGTACTTCGAGGCCACAATTGTCATATATGTAGTCGTTTCTAAAAAAAAAAAAAAAAAGTATTGCAATTGAGTATATCTCCAAGTCTTTACTACTTTCACTTACAAAGTGCGACAAATATCGACAATCAGTTTTTTTTTCTGCAATAAAGACTAGATCATCGAGCACAATACAGTTCAGTAGTTCAATACAGCTTTGCTTTTCAGTGTTGGATTCCTGTAAAATTAAAAAATTTAAATGTTCTTATTCCTAACTCCATCGCTGATAACGACATACCGCATCGAATACAGCGTTGGACATCTCGGCAAGACATGGGTTTATATCCTGCATCGTGACTAATGGTAATTTCTGGTTTAGCTTGTCATATAGTTCAGAAGGTAGACAGCTTCTCCGTTGAACTAGCTTTCCACACCAAATCACTCTATGCCTTTCGGGGCTAAATATAATAAAAAGTAAGAGCACGTAATTGTTGCCATATAGTACTCTTTTTACCTCAGTTGCATAAAACAATTCATATTTTCCTGGTCGTCAAGAAATTGCTTCCATTCTTCCCAAATACTGTTCTTTTTATCATCACCGCTGTCATTATGGCCATAGTCATCATATTGATCGCTAGTTTGATTGTCATCAATCACAGTAAACATCTTCCTTCTACTTGCTCTAGTATGGCGACTTGGACCTCCTTCGCAATCGTTACCATCCATTGGCCGTTTCCTAGCATTTTCCTTTTCTTCTTCATTGGACACTTATTCAGCCATAACACTTTTTAATCGAGTCTACAGATTCATTGTTTGGTATAAAAATGAGTATTTGCGTTCAATTTCACCAAGTGCAAGAATGCAAAACATTCATATTACCTTTTGAACACCGTACTTCAGCGTCTCTTGGGTCATTTGGGTGGCGTAGTTGACAAAAAACGCATTAAATGTTTTTTTTTCCTCTTGAATTCTGTAAGGACTGGTTAACGACGGAAATGTCTCGACCTCCGTATTTTTTTCAAACGTATTTTTTTATACCACTTACAGGAATTCTGGCCAGAACACCAGCAGGCCAGTATCATTAAGACTATTTAGAGTCCAATCACAGCTATTCACAGTACGTGAGTTCCAAAAAACTCAAGAACCCTGCCTAAGAGGTCGCAAAGACTAGCTGCAGCCGCAATATCACAATATATCTTTTTCAATTTAGCTTCTTTTCAAAGAAACAAGAGTCATTACTAACTAGCCTTTTTACGTGATCGGCTACTTTCATACGAAATAAGAAGTATGTTAAAGGAAAAGAAAAGGATAAGAATAAAGTGTGTGAGCCAGCTTTATTTATAGGCTGATAAACAAGAGCTTATGTCAGAATGATTTGATTGATTGTTTCATCATTTATAATGCTTGGGCCTTTACTTAAAATAGAAACATATGTAAAAAAACCCCTAGCAAATCAAAACTTGGTAATTGTCTATCTGCGTTCCAGTAGTAGCTTGTAATGAAAGTGAAGCAGATTTTATGGAAAACAGAGATCGATCATCCTATGAAGTTTAGATGATATGGCATGTCAATTGACGGACGTGTAGACCATCACGAGATTCTAAAAAATACGTTTGAAAAAAATACGGAGTTTTAGACATTTCCCAAAGGAACGCGACAGCAAAAATGGTAGCCGTTGTCAAGAGAGGTCTACCACACGGAACTAACTCGACTCACTTTGTGCTTTCTGTTGAAGAGATATCAGTTCTGCAGAATAATCTTGGACTACATAATGTACTGAAAATGGCTATGGTTTTAGCGATAGCTTTAAGAAATTTTAATTAAACTCATATCAGGAAGCAAGATCCTCTGGTTTATTTATTAACGCCGCTATTCATGAGTTATTGTAAGTAGGCTCTATACATATCATTCATTAGTACGGATTCTAAGTAATATCATCAATTTAGATCATTATATCACACAGTATTGTTGCTAAAAGACCAACATGACGAAGCAATGTCAAATGTAATCGGACTCAATAATATTCAAGAGTTTCACACGGGACTCTTATTATAAAAATGGAGAAGAATTTATTTATTGAATTGATCAACATCTTCAGAGTGAGTGTCTCATAATCACATCTAACTTACTCCCACAGCTTACATTCTTTTTTTTTTAGAGTGTAAATGAAAAGTCTGACCGTAAACCACTTAAAGTAAAATTACATAATTTATACGAAGCCGCCGACCCATTCGATTCCAAAATAATTGATATACTGATAAAGCTGTAAATACTTAAAATGATATATAAAATATTTTTGTTGGAAAGTTTAACATGTAATGCATAGTATAAACAAATTGTTTGAAAATATTCTTATATACGAAGAGGTCAAAGTATTCGAATTGAAGACCGACTATCTTGATATAGTCCTCAGTCCAATATCTCATGATCTGCAAAAGAAACCGATGTACAGGTGGTAGGTAATCCCAAGCCAAAAAATACATACGCTAACAGCTTTCCCGTAACTAGGCTAAATAGAGCAACGGGGTTCTCAAACGATAAACATCCCGATGGTGGCAGTTGCATTATCACTCGAATACGAATCTCTTGTTCTACTGGATTCTGTGAAGTGAAAGCAAGTTGAATGACCAATTGGTTTCGAAAAAGGTGACCAACTGAGACTCAAAATACTGACCAATTGAGGCTCAAAATATCGAGTTACGAAAGTGTCCAATTGAAGTTTAAAAGCAACCAAGTTTTTCAAAAAAAAAAAAATAAAAAAAAAAGCGACCAATTGACGGCGGAAAGACTGTATTATATATGAATGTAAACAAAGAAGGGATGGGGGTGTGGAGGGGAGGGAGACACTTTGGTATTTCATTAATCATTGTGCAAAAAGTTTATACTCAGTTGCTGCCTTTAAAGCTGATATTTGATTTTTGAGTTCACTGATATCCGACTCGGAAGATTTCTTGAAGCCGTTGCTGTTTCTAGAAGACACTCTTAATCGAGAGACATCATCACGCTGATGAATTAATTCTTCTTTGAGACGCATCAACTCTTTATCTTGTGACTTGATCCTGTTAAGAGAGTTTACATATTCCGTCTGAAGGGTATCACGTTGTGTACGTAAGGTGGACCAATGGTCGGTTGTAGTCTGTAGAGGTTTTCCAACCACTCCCTCGAGGTCCTTTGCCTTTTGATCCATTCTGTCATACTTTTGAATCCAAGAGCGAACCTGGTTCTCCAATTCAACAGCCTTCAGCTTGAGACGTGATTTCTCTTCTCGTTGTTGTGTCAAGTTTTCAATCAAGTCGACTACGCGTGATTCTAATTTATATGACGCTTCCTTCAAATGACTGACAGATCGGGCTTCAGCTCGAAGTACAACTAACTGGCGTCGAGCATGTCGACGTCGCACGCACGTTTGGATAGAAATAATATACTTTCGTGTAGCCTGGTATTTTTTACGGGCGATCCATCCTCTAGTCATCTTTTGAATAAGAACCGCTGCATGCGTCTTCTTTAGCTCCGCATGTCTCTTTCTAGCAATGGCTCCACGAAGCACTAAAACATGACATTGAATTAGTGACATCCTCTTAACCCTTTTACAAAACAGCTTTTTCAGCTTTTACCTGCTTGTGTTTGAATGATAAATGCACGTGTCTTTAAATACTTCTTTCGGGCAATGTATCTTCTCCAGTTCTTTTGGATGACAACCGCAGCTCTTTCCTTGCGCAATAAATCCATTTCACGCTTAGCCACTCTTTGTCTTGCAATGGCTTGCAACAGGGTAGCCATCTTTTGGATACGCAAGTAGCGAAGACGAGCAAGGAAACGACGCACGTTCTTTTGGATCAAGACAGCACAATGGCTCAGACGATCAGATCTTAATTTCTCCATGTAAGCAAGCTGGCCTGCACGGAAAAAGATCTTGGTCAGACCCACTTGGTACTTATCGGTATCCTTGATGTTGGTGTTTAAAATTTCAGAACAGATGGTCTTGGTATCAGGCATCTTCTTGGGATCCCAAAGGGCAAATGGAATCAAGGCGTGATAACGTTCTGAGAAATCTTGGAAGGTCCAACGTGTAGGATAACCTGCACAACTGATACGAATTGTCTCTAGCACACCACAGGCTCGAAGCTGAGAAAGAACAATGTTGGATTGGAAGACCCAGGCTACCTTGGCTTCGTTAGGTTTAATACAACGGATATAATGAACATTGGTTTCGCCAATTGTATCCATCAAATTAATTAATGACAACTACAAGAGAGATTGAAAGAAAAGTTAGCCCCAAATACTTTACTTTCCTTTTTTTTGTGTGAATTTACTAACCTTGAAAATGGAACCTAAGGTAGCTTTCTTTGCTTGATTCATTGCTTTTTTAGGTGTCTGCTCCACTACGGGAGTGGCGGGTGTAGCCAATTGAATCATTTCTGCCAAGAAAGTGGATTTGGAAGCTTGAAGTAAGCTCAAAAGTTCATCGGGGACGGTATCCTTGTTCTTATCCATGAAACCCTCTGCTTCATATTGGACATCATGAGCATAATGTGCAACCACAAAAGCGTCGTTTGAAAATCTGGGTTTTTTAAAGTAATCTTGATATTGAGGTGTAGCATTGAAATTTTGATAGAGCTTATTACAGAAACCTTGATCTGAACCAGAAGGTAAACGAGATTCTTCATCCAAGAGTGAAAGAATACCCATCTTGGCTTCAATCATTTCAATACACTTTTGGTTATCACTGAACGAAATAAATTTCCAATCGATTTGCTCTCGAATATACTCCTCTTGCTCTAATTTAAATACATGTTGATTGAACTACAACCCAGAGAAAGATCAGCTACTTTTTTTTTTCTGTCCAAATAAAACTTACTTGTTGTTGGAGCTTTTCGTTGGCATAATTAATACAGAATTGTTCAAAAGAGTTCTTCTTGAAATGCTCAAAACCGTAGATATCAAGCACACCAATAAAGTTGACAACTGAATCAATATCGGGACAAGACAGACTCTCGTTGATGACACTCACAAGCCAATCAAACAAATTGGCATAAATGTACTTGGCCACTGAATCACGCACAACTTGAGCTTGGGTAGGAGATAAATTGGTCACGATTTTTTCTGATCGAGTCACGATTTGTTTTCTAACAATCCATTTTCTGAACTCGGAATTATCCAAGCCTAATAACTCTGTAGCCTTGACCAAGGAAGGTTCGCTATCTGCTAAAGTAGCATCGTTTTTACCGCCAATATCAATGTTACCTAAATGTAAAAGAGCGGCCAAAAGACGGAAGATAGCCGACTGTGTTTCTTCGTGGATACCGATCGTATTTAATGCGGTACGTGTATCTGCAAATTCCTGTGCGTCGTCAACGGAGGGAATGACACCAGTACCACTTTGGTTCAAGAAATGAAATTCGGACCATTCCTTAAGGGCCAACTCCTTTTTCTCGCTCTGACTGGCACCTGCACACAACTATAAAAGACTCTTTTTTTTTAGGAGACGGTCCCCACCCCCCAAACATGTAGTTATTTTTTTTTTTTTACCTGGTAAAAGATGTGATAATTTCTTTCAGTTTCGGGTTGGAAGATGAGACGAGATCTTTCCAACAAGTAAGTCTTGATTCTGGCTCCAACAATATTACGCTGGTTGTCAAATTGGATTTCAATATATTTACCGAATCTTGAAGAGTTGTCATTTCTTGTGGTTTTTGCGTTACCGAATGCTTCCATAATAGGATTGGTGGCTGAATAACAAAAAATGAGTTTTTTCTAATTTCATATAAAAAAAACGAGATTTACCTAAAATCTGTTCTTCTACTTCTGTCATGGATTCGCCCTTGGCTTCCTTTCCCGAAGCCTCTTTATCGTCTGCTGTAGCAAAATAACGCATAATGTATTTTGCACTTACTGTTTTACCAGCACCACTGTTTATATAGCCAGAGGGGTGAGTATTAGCATACACAACATACACACACATTAATAAGATGTGATCTTACCTCTCTCCTGATACAATGATTGTTTGATTTTTATTATCTCTGATCATGCATCTATAAGCGTCCTCGGAAATAGCAAATAAATGTGGTTCTAGTTCACCTCTTCTACTTCCAGAATATTTTTGAATGATCTCGGGTTCATATAAAGGTACACGGGCAAAAGGATTTGTGGCAATCAAAACAATACCGGAGTAAGTGTAAATATTCTTTTCATCATAACGAGTTTTGATGGTGTTTAACACTAGTCAAGGATAAGGGGAAGGAGGAGGAGGAGGAGGAGGGGTAAGTCAGTCTATGTGTGTATGTATGTGTATATATATATATTTCATCAAATAGGAGTAGTATTGTACCTGAAGGCTCGTTGAGATAACTGAGGTTGGTCAAATCATCCGTGTTCTCCATCTTGGGAGGGTTTCGAAGTGGTGGTAGACTAATTTTGTTTGATTCAATATCTGTTAACTTTGCCTCAAACGTGTGCACCTTTTTTATTTTTGATTATTCGACGAATACGGTTAATATCACTCTTCTTTTATATATTTTAAAATAATCCCGTATCCATACTTTTTCAGTGTTTTCATCATCCTGGAATAATATCTTTACTGTCTTGGTGTCTTGTTCTTTTGAAATAACAGAAGCTGAAACCCAACCAAGTTCCTCATCTGCAAACCAAGCCTTAATTCCTTCTGAATATACTTGAATTAAATCTAAATTGACAATAGTCATCTTGTTGAAAAAAAAGATGAGGGAAAAAACAAAAAGAGAGTTTTAAAACAAGAAACAATTATATCCCGTTTTTTTTTTTTTTTTTTTTTTTTTTTGTACCAGCAACTTACTAAACTTGGATTAGGCACGAGTCCCCCCGTTTTCTTTATCTGAGTGACAATTTGTTTGATGTTTTCAATTTAAGCTTTGTTAACAGATACATCATTTAAGTTTTAGCTTTGTACGCTGCAGAAATAGATCTTTTCAAACTTCCTTTTTTTTTCCTTTAGTTTTAACCATCATTCCCCCACACGTTGTTAAATTAAAATGTCTTTTCAGTCTATCGCCTGTCAAGTGCTACCAATTGCAATTTAAAAATCGTGTCGTTTGATCTCCGACCCGAGTCAAGCGCAAGCAAGGAGGTGGGGGGACTCAATCCCACACACACATATAAAAAAAAAATCTCCTGTATTTGCAAAAGAAATTGATCCCGATATCTATTTGTTTGGATTGAATACTTCAGTTAACTTTGACATGATAATTTGTATGTAAAAGAGAGCTAAAAAATAATTATACGTGTTACAAACACACAAAATAAATGGAACGACATGCCAGTTTTTTTATAAGGGAGTCGTTAAAACCATCTCATAAAACTCTGTCCTCCTCAGCACCCCCTTTTTATGATCTAAAGTAAATACAAATACGCTTGCAAACTGCATAAATGGATCGTCATTGATCCGCAACCCAACCCCTTAAATAGGTTGATTTTTTTATTTTTTTGACAGAAAGTTAGACAACGCTGAGTTAAAAATTCAACAAGGTTTTATTTCGCTACACCAAACCCAAGGTGCTCTTAAATTAAAATTGACCTGAAAAAAAGGGGCGGCTATTCGTATCAATCTTCATACTGTTTAACAAAATGAGATATGGGAGGTAAATAAATCTCGACGCTGTTTGCATAGGCTCTTTTCTTGGTTTCAACAAGCTCGGGTTGCTGGTCTATCTACACTGTCTCATACCACTGCTCGACGTCATCGTAGGTATGAGTCATGATCATCAACTCGTCTGCATAGTTGCTAGAAATTGTTAAAGTAAATGTCTTCAAGTAGCTAAGATTGCTTAGATAAAAAACCGTGATGTTTGCAATTAAATCGTCCTCAAGCTTTGCAAAAGGGTGTATAATTTCTTGAAAAAAGTGGCTGGTAATCGTCGAAGTAATACTAGCTCCATTCCGTGCACCCTATTCTTATTATACACATTTGCTTCCTTTATTTGGGAGCAAACAATTTTTTGATTTTGCTCAGCTCTGTCAAGTATGGTGGATAAGCAAGCACATGTAAGATTTGGAAATAGACTTCTCACAAAATCCAACGCTTCCAAAATTCTTGAATTAGGCACCACCATATCCAAATGCTTAATGATTGATCCTATGGTATACGGTAGCAGTGATGTTGTCACTTCACTTTGGTAGGACGCTTTATAAAAAAAGTTGCGATAAAAAGCAGTGTGCCTAAGCTGTAAAGACTGATGATCCATTTCAATGTTAAACTGCAAGCCGCTTTTGTTCGCTAAAGAGGCAAAGAAAACAGAAGGTTCTTCCGTTGCGGAATCGTCTAGAAGGTTAAGTTTCAATGCGCATTTCTTGAATTTTTGACAACCATCGAGAGCGGTTTTTGCAAATAGCCAAAGCAATCGATTGACTTGATCTATCTCCATTTGACTTAATTTGGTCTCTTCGTATATACTACAGATACTAACACTTGCCTTGCTGGTTAAACTAAATGAGTCAGCCAATCTCAAAAGGTTTTTTTTTTGCCTTTTCACTGACTATCCATTCATCCCATGTGTGGTTTCTTATCAAGGTAAAACTAATTTCGTTTGAGTAATCCAATGTTTTTGAAGATACTATATATTTTAATTGGGTGATGTCAAATGTGTTGGAGCGAACTGTTAGACATCTCAATCTTTTGTTGAAGGGGGTTCTTTGTTTTAATGCTTTTGGTATTCGGATATACTTTTAAAAGGAATGGTGGCACACACGCCTTCGATGTAAAGGTCAACCAAATTAGGACATAGAGCGGCCATCGACATTAAAACTATATGTTCTCTTTCTTTGTCATCATTTTGTGCTTGTTCATTTTTAAAAATAGTCGTATAACACAAACTTGTAAATTTTGAGAGCCTATCGAGATTTCGTTGCTGAGGAGACACATTTATATGATTAATACTTTCACGAAAACGATAGCACCCTTCGAAATTTAAAATCACGTGATGGTCTACACGTCGATTAACATGCCATATCATCTAAACTTCATAGGATGATCGATTTCTGTTTTCCATAAAATCTGCTTCACTTTTATTACAAGCTACTAATGGAACGCAGATAGACAATTACCAAGTTTTGATTTTCAACGGGGTTTTTGCATATGTTTCTATTTTAAGTAAAGGCCCAAACATTATAAATGATGAAACAATCAATCAAATCATTCTGACATAAGCCCTTGTTTATCAGCCTATAAATAAAGCTGGTTCACACACTTTATTCTTATCCTTTTCTTTTCCTTTAACATACTTCTTTTATCATATGAAAGTAACCGATCACGTAAAAAGGTTAGTTAGTAATGACGCTTGTTTCTTTGAAAAGAAGCTAAATTGAAAAAGATATATTGTGATATTGCGGCTGCAGCTAGTCTTTGCTATAGGAGGGCGACCTCTTAGGCAGGGTTCTTGAGTTTTTTGGAACTCACGTACTGTGAATAACAGTGGTTTGCACTGTGAATGGTTGTGTTTATACTGGCCTGCTGGTCTTAGCCAGAATTTCTGTAAGTGGTGTAAAAAAAAATACTTTTGAAAAAAATACGGATGTCTAGACATTTCCCTTTTCCTTAATTGTCAATAACACGAAATCATGCTATATGCATTATTTTTAGCGAAGACTTTACAGATGAAAACTCTGAAAAACTAAAAGGCGACCTTGAAAAACTTTGTGGGTTGGAGATTTGCTACACCGATGATCCCTATATGCCCATGCTCCAAACCAAGCTAAAAGTAAATGGCTTTCCCTCCTACTACCATCGATACAAAGATGACCTCTCAAAACCAACCAACCTTCCAGAATAGATTATTATAAGTAAGTGATAAAGAAAAGTGTTTACTACGTATTAATTTAACGACTTTACTAGCTAACCAGAGACAACTTATCCAATACCTGAACAACGTATATCGATCTGGTCAACCGGTGGATAGTGACATGTACGAACAAAAGCAAATAGAGAGTTTAGGGGACTCAGATTTTCATTACGTGTTACACTACAGCATTCACAGTGACCTTTATCACTGTCCTAATAGGTACAGGCTAGCAGAAGGCCAATAACATTAATCAAAAAATTGGTCTTTAAAACATGTGATATTGACACAGAAGCGGTTGGCTTATTTCAAGGACAGATTAGTGAAAGCGTTTACACTAACAGTGGATTTTAATTAGACAGTCAGATTCCCCTTGTCCGTACCAGTTCTAAGTTGGTTGTTAAACGTAAACTGGGCTCCTCCGGTTAACGAAGCATCCTAGGCGAAAAGCAGCAACCCGTAAAGGCCACTACAAGATACCTGAGACATTCCCATACCAACGGTCCATATCTACCCAACCCTTAGAGTCAATCCTTACCCCGAAGTTACAAAATGGTGGGAGAAAACACTAATACAGTGTAAATTAATTCCCTAAAGTCTCTAATATATCAAAGAAACAGATTTACTCAGAAACTGTTGTAATTACCGATCTATTTGACGAGAAATCATCAAGATCATTTTCTACATGGTGCGGCACGGCCAAGTTAGATCTAATGCTTGCTGACCAAACCCGTAAAGTTCAAAAAAACGATACCTCCAAGACAAATATAAGATACCGCTCCCTTTGGGTCCTAAAAAGCATACATCGAGGTATATTATACTAGCTTATTAAACTGATATTTTCATACCTTTGATTTTCATGTTTTTTTCTTTTTTACTATAGAATCAATAGCTAGACAAACACTAAATGTTAGAGCAACACATCAAGCCAGATTACACGAACTCATAAGCGAGGGATGTAAAATTATAGGTTATGTAACGAAATCGCCTGGAAAGGAATCAATCACGACAAGACTCCATCTTTTGGAAAGTGGACAAGTTGATGAAAGCTTATTCCGTGGACATGGTGTTTGGTCCACACAGCTCTGTTGAGGATATCATAGATATAATAATAAAGTTAATTGTCACATCACATTAAGGATGGATAATAAATATAAAAGTTAATCATGAATCACACATTACCCCGCTTGTCCTCATCCTACCGTTGAAGTCTGTACACAGGGTACATCTCTGTGGCGAGTAAATGTTTATTCTGCAAAAAGCAATACAATCGAATGGGCCTGGACTATAGAATATTAATAGATCCTGAGCACAAATATTACTCTTGTCATTTGATGTTATAACTGTTGATCCCTCTGACTAATATTTATATACTCAGTATGGAAGGGCTAAATTTAAAGACATGTTGATTATTTACTATCAACAGATTATTACATCATGATCCAATAAGGCGCTTAATAATCTCTCTAGAACTATCCCAGTTCTTTATATAAATATCCATAGTTTTTCTCAAAGACCAGGAATACATTTTTGAATACATTTTTATAACACGTTTTTTAAATATATTTTTTTCGTCTATAATAAAGTGGTATCCAAGTTCTAACAGTATCACTTTTGGTTTATTTTTAATTTTGTTCTCCATGCAAAACAGTAGCAAAACTCTCGAAAAGTATGTGTTGGGCTACTGCAGAGAAAACGGTTACCCTGTATTGTTGGGTCGTTCTTGTTACTGCCTCGGCAGAGCTCTTGAGTCTTTGGAATATATGTAAATCTAAGTAAACATACATATACATATTTAAATTAACAGCTATTTGCAGACATTTCTATTAAAGGTAAAGGCTGAAACATTATGTGATTAAATAATCAATTATATCATCCTGACATAAACCAGTTCTTGTTTATCAGTTTATAAATTAAACTCGTTCATGCGCTTTTCTCTTCCTTTCTCTTTCATCTTCTTATTAAAAATACTTATTCGTGTTTAAGTTATGGTTTTTTTTTTTTTTTTGGCCAACAAACAGTTAGACAACTTGGATGTTTACAACATGTACCAGGCGCAAGACGTGTTTCTCTTGGCGGATGCATAGTTGAAGGTAACACCTGAGACGGTCAAGAAATTCTGGAGGTATATGAATATCCTGGAGTTTAAAGAAAACTCTGGGGTATTGCAATTTTTAGCAACTGCTCGTTATCCAGTTACGATTGTGGCAATCGACTTCGCTGGTCTAACAACATATAAAGCTAACTTGGTCCAATTTCTTCGGTAATGCAGAAATATGCTTAAATTATCATGTCCTCTAATGCAATTGTTATAGTGACCATAAGAGTGTAAAGAATATAGTAATCGACAAGATTGAATCACACAACCAGGTGTATTATTTTACTAGGGATCAGATTCTTTCAGATGAAACCGTACTACAGCTTTTCTATTGTCGCTCTACTCCAGTACGAAGATCTCCAATGTCATGACTTGCTGTTATTATTAATTACTATGAAGATCATATTCATAAAAATAAAAAAATATAGCAGAGAATGCAATTAAATTTTTACAAAATAATTAACGATTTCATGGAAAATGTGCTATATTCACACTTTCTGATCTGTCGATTGACATTGATTATGTAGACATAAAAAGTTTAAAATAGTTATTTTTGCTATCTCAGTTAAAAATCTTGACATGATAGCGTTTACTTTATTACAGTTCGCAGAATAGCCATTTTAAAGTGCCGTTTCGCTCAATGCAGACGACTTTAAGTTCTAGTTACTGACTCGCTATTAATTAACATAGTCTTTAAAATCAAAAAAAAAAAAAAAAAAAAAAAAAAAATTGATGAGCTTCATGACAGACGTAATAGTAATACTTAATCTATATTGTAAGATTTTATTTCAATTACAGCTAAAAAAGCTAATGCAAAAGTTGAAGTTGTATGGGCTTACGCCCATTTTTGATTCATTGACTGGAGTTTGTTCTTAAAAACAAGATTTTTAAAGGGGTAATGTATATTCGTGCCATTTGTCACGATGGGTTCTTGTGATATTCTGATGAGTTGGTTTGTATCCTTATTAGCGACATCAACATTGGTAGATTCGGGTCATTTGTATGGCAAATCTCTAAAACTTTCATGGCTTCAAATTTTTTAGACAAACTTTTTGCTATATTCCTGGCAAAAAAATGCAGAGGGTCGTGTCCCTTGTTATTTTGCCTATACAAATGTGTGCATCCATGACAATTTATAAGAATTCAAGAGAAAATAAATTCTAAAAGCCATACCCAATGATTTTAAGAAAAGGTTGGTCCAGGTTGGTCTTATGTTGCTTAAGCAGTTGAAAAAATAAAAATCAAGCACTAAAAGCACTAACTAAAAAAAGCTTCAAGTATTAATAAAATAAAAATCGTGCACAACGTTATTACGTGTACTTCACTTTTATTTTCCTAAAAATTCTAAGTTACTTTCAGATGGCCACAATTTATTTTGACGATGGTAGTTGAAAGACCTTTGACAATAAACTCAGAACAAAAGGAGTATCTCGTAAACCCTTATTGATCAAAAGTCAGGTAATGTTCTGGATGAGATGATGGATGGACTTATTAGTCAGTTCACGAACTTGGACATATCGAGATCTTCCTTTATAAATACGTCACCGATCACTGTGGTATGTCAGTGAAAAAAGCTCTGTTCCGACCTGCAGAGCGCAACAATGATACAAAGATAGAGGCCAGATTTCAATGGGTTACCGAACTTCTGAAGACTGATATAGATTACATGACCAATTGTGTTTTCATCGATGAGTCGGGCTTCAACATCAACATGAAACGTAGTATGGCATGGGCACCAGTGGGCGAGACTCCAATAGTGGAAATTCCTAAACGACAAATGACATCTCATACTATCATAGGGGCAATATCACCCTTGGGTGTGTAATTAACGTGCAATTGAAGGTTCCTGAAATCGTTGTTGTCTCAAATTCAAAGAAGAGAAAAGAGCCAGGTGAAGCTATAAAAAACCGGAGAAAGAGAAAGGGAAAGGTGGGACGGTAACTGGACTTTGCAGCTGAGGTCATACAAATAATGAATCAATACGAAGAGTTCAGAGGTCATAATCTGATAATGGACAACTGTCCCATTCATAACCACGTTGATATCAGAAAGTAAATTGAGTCCCATGTCTATGGATGCGTTTACCTTCCGCCTTACTCACCTGAACTTAATCCCATTGAACAATTTGGTCAGTATTGTTGAGGATATCATAGATATAATAATAAAGTTAATTGTCACATCACATTAAGGATGGATAATAAATATAAAAGTTAATCATGAATCACGCATTACCCTGCTTGTTCTCATCCTACCGTTGAAGTCTGTACACAGGGCACAACCCTGTGGCGAGTAAATATTTATTCTGCAAAAGCAATACAACAATCGAATGGGCCTGGACTATAGAATATTAATAGACTGAGCACAAATATTACTCTTGTCATTTGATGTTATAACTGTTGATCCCTCTGACTAATATTTATATACTCAGTATGGAAGGGCCAAATTTAAAGACATGTTGATTATTTACTATCACCAGATTATTACATCATGATCCAATAAGGCGCTTAATATTCTCCCTAGAACTATCCCAGTTCTTCATAGACCATCAATAGATTTTTTTATACGTTTTTTGATTATATTTTTTTGTTCATAATAAAGTGGTATCCAAGTTCTAAAAGTATCACTTTTGGTTTATTTGTAATTTTGTTCTCCATGCAAAACAAAAACTCGCTTAACAAAAAAGATAGATGGCGATTGATAGGATGAACTGTTTCAAGTGTGTAAGTATTTTCTGTGGGAACGTTTAAATCATGTTTTTTAATTGAGAACCAGACTTTAAAGTATACATCCACTGACGTGCCATATCATCCTTTTTTTTTATTTATTTACCCAAGTATGCTGGTTTACACTGACTGGCGGAATTTCAAAAGAAAAAAATATATGCATAAAAAAAAAAAAAAAGGATATTAAAAAAGAAGCCAAAAGTCTAGGCACCGTTACTGTAAGGCGAAAGAATGGACAATAGTATATGTAGCACGTAAGCTAAAACTTCTCATCTTGTGTGCTTGTTCTTTATGTGACTACCTATAATTCATTACGTGAAAGTCAACATTATTGACAGAAGAGCCTGATCAGCTTGAAGTAAGGCCGTGATTGAGTCACTAATTGCATATCCACACAAATTCGTAGGGATGATATTTTTTTTCAAAAAATCTACATCATTGTTTCTAATTGTCAGGTAAGACTCGTATCTTGAACAAGTTTTTTTTTCGCCAATCACTGCATTTGTAACACTGAAAAGATGCATAATTAACAAAAAAAACAGAGAATCAAACCAAGATCCGAAAAAAAAAAAAAAACTACCCAACTCGAGAAGGTGTGTTTGAAAACCATGCTTAATTGGCAAGTGTAGTGAGCAAGAAAAACAAAACAAAAAAAAAGGCATACGGAGAACAAGTAGGAATGAACTCATTGTTACAAAAAATAAGAATCATGATTACTACATTCCAGTTCTTAGTTGTCAAGGTTTTATTACACTCACCAACATAAAACCCTCTCAAGATCATTTTTGTAGGCCACGTAAATGTAATTGGGATTTTTTAGTGATAGCTTGTGTAATTGATGTCACTTTCAGCTGGTGGAACTTTCCACAATATTCTAGTTTGGCGAAAATAAAAATTTTACAGAGATAATTAACACGATCAGCATAGTTTCTGTAACTCCCAGAATTTCATACTTGCAGTATTTTTAGTGTAAGTCATGTTGTATACAGTGGCATGTGAAGTGTTCATTGTAAGATTTCTACTTTTTTTTTTTTTTTGGTTAAAAATCAAAGTAGTACAAATGTCTGAATTTGATCATGTAATCAAAGCTCTCACGGTAATCTTGTTGCGCGTGAGCCTGTCCGTGGTAAAAGTCTGGTTGCTACACACTACTGATTTTTCCCACTCTTTCTCCTCTTTTTTTTTTTTTTTTTATTAACATGATGTTCAGTAATAGCATTGCCGCGATGAAAGCTCACTAAGGAGTACTCTTTTGCACAAATGCCGTGTGTTTACTGGGTTGTAATGTCGAACGGTGGTGATCCCTTACTGCTATTAAATGGTCCTATGGAAAGGGAGTAGGTAATGTATGGCGTGCACGTATACCTGTCTTCAACCCTCCTGGGCTTGTATCGACTGCATTGGGTGCTTTCCAAGACATGTTGTAGTCCTGTAAGTAATCTCATTTAAAAAGAAAAAAAAACATTGAAACTCATATTTAATTTTTTATAGGTCCTCTGTCGCTCTTGTCTCTCTCTGTACCCCCACTTCCCGGTAAGTTTATAAACCCGAAACGGTGGGTCAAACAACGTCTTCCCTCTGCAAAAAAAAAAGGACTTGGATGACGCGTAAGCAGGCGGCTGACCCCCATACATGAACACGTTCTGTACAAAAAGAGGCGAACTGGTGGTTGCTTACTACATCTGTTTATGGCAAGGCCGACTGGGAGCGGCTGGTCACAGACGAACGGGTTTTGTTCTGTGGTATCGTCTATTGGTGTTATATTCCCCTTTTTTTATCTTGTAGCTAATTCTCTTCTTTATCGCCCAATCCATCTAATATTCTATAATGGTTGGAAAGAAGAGGGTTATCTACAGGATGAAAAAAGGGTATCTTAATGACAATAGAGGTTGCCACAGAATAAAATCCCTACTTTGGCTGGTTGCTCCTTTAGGCCTCGCCATAAACAGCTGTTGTAAGCCACCACCAGTTTGCCTCCTTTTGTACAGTCGTGTTCAGACATATACCCCGAAGCTGCTTGCACAAGTGTCATCTCGGTCCAAAATATAAAAAAAAGACAGGTCGACAAGACTCGCCAGGGTTATTCATTCTATCTTGCTGGGTCGTGAGGGTGAGCAAGGGTGATATGACGGGATCATCAACATGTTGAGGATTGCACTCTTTGTTAGGAGGTACAGGTCGAGGTGGGTTCCTGGCGGGCATCGTGGATGCTATGCATTATCTGCCAATCTCTTTTCATAGTAGTTGCCTACCGTAGTGGTTTGTGGTAGATACACTTTGTGATTACTCTTGGCTAGATACGCTTCCCATTCAGGAAGGAAGGGGCTTTGACAGTAGCGACTACTTGCCTGCGGTGTTCAATGCTGGATGTTGTGATCCTTTGGGCTATCCTCCTCTCTTTTTATATTGGAAAGTATTTTTATTGGCACAAGTTATTCTGATTCCATTTCGTTACTCACTCAATTCATTTAGGTCTTTCTACTACTGCTACTACTACCAAAGAAGATAAGTAATAACATAGATCTCAACATCTTGATTTTTATCCGGTGTTCTAACTTATTCAATTCTCTACAATTTTAGGAAGCTCCAGTCATACTGACATGGCTGCAGCTTATACTGTTATCATAACTGTTCAACATGATGTGATACAGAACACTTTTAGACTTCCATTTGGCTGTCTGAAGGAAATTAAGCAATGCATCATAAATAAACTTAATGTGTTCTTCTAAGTTTTACTTATAATTTAAAAATTTCTCGGCTTGCTACCTTGGAGCATGGCTCTCGTTTAAACTATAAAACCTCAACATCAATGAAAAAATAGGCCCCTTTCATATCTTTTTTTTTTTGTGGATGTATTGTGCCGTATGATTGAAAGATGTTTGCTCATATTTTGCATAGTAACGCCTTCCTGGTACTCTCTTTAATCTTGATTCGCTTTACCAGCCAGGTCACCTTTAAAAAAAATGGTTTCTGAGACAGTGGCTTATTAAACTTATTAACTTTGCACTTGCTACGATTATTTATCCTATTTTCTGTTTCGAAATTGAAAAGTTGCAGGAGCTGACGAGAGCTTGACGTGCTTGAAAATAAACTATGATCTAACGGAGGAGGAAGACAGATTTCTGAACATTCTACATGATATACTTTTGTCAATATATCAGAAGCCAAAGGACCTTTTTTGATTTCGAGTGAAGTATTGTTATTTCTGTCGATCACAAAAGTAGCCTTTTAAAATACCAGTATACATTTGTGGCTCTTGAACAAGCATCGTATATCTTTGATTTCTCCAGTCTCTGACCTCTAGTTTTTGACAGATCTAATAAACGATGCTACTGTGTCTTGAATTGTACTAGACGCGTACTAATAAAGCCTCGTGCTTGAAAACCTTTACTTGTGAGATAGGCCTTGTAGCGGAAATGCTGCTTGGCTGTACTTGCGAATGATAAATCTTATACGTCAAAATGATAAATCGCATGCAGACGACAAGAAATGCAGAAATAGTTGCATCACGAATGCGATCCAAAAACTCCTGCTTGATATCAAGAGGCAAATCTGATCTTAATAATGGAGATAATGGGCTACTACAAGTTCTCAAGGGCGGCTCTTTGTGATTATCAGTGACTTTCAAAGATGTGGTAGATGACGAAACAACGATTTGCTCACACACATACTTTCGTAACCAAATTTCTATTTTACAAAAAGATTCAACATTAATACAGTGTAGTCTTATAAAGGTGTGGCAAGTTTTTTGAAGACAAAAAAAAAAGAAAGCTTTATTTTAGAAAAGATAAAAGTTTAGAGACCTGTTCGCCAATTTCCAGTAAAAAGAAAATTGCCCAAGTGCAACTGCGTGGAAGTCAGTCTCTGTCTGCACTCACCCGTTTTTCATGCTTTAGTTGACAATTATAAAACGAACACAATCGTTGGAAAGTGGTCAAAAAAAGTATGTCACACCTTTTCGTAGATAAGGTCGCCCAACTATGAGAGGATAAACTAGGATTCACAAGAAGGTCCGTACTAGCGGTTTCACGGTGTCCTTTCGATCTCTCACTCGCCATGTCAGCTCTGTAATGTCTAGTATTTACGCGAATGTTTGTTGAAAACACCGTCTGCATCTCTGTCGCGGTACAAGAGTATGCCAAATATTCGACTCCATAAACCTACACAAACTACCTCGTACAAGCTACATGAAAAAGAAAAAAAATTAGCCTGTTGACATTAACACAACAACAGTTTTTAAAAGTATTACCGTGTAAAAAACCAGAAGATAGCCACGCCTGCCTAGAGCCTAGACGGTAGGTAGAGGTAGAGCAGGTACACCCACGAGCAAGACGTACATGCCAGAATCACCTAACAGCAGCTTTACTCGAAACTGTGCATAAGGAAAAGAAAAGAAAAAGGGCGTAGGTGGGAAAATAAACAACTTTATAAAAAACATTTTGACGTCATCAAATGGCGTAATGGATCCGGGGCAGTCATTGGATGATACATCCGCCAAAAATTCCTACACCAGATGCTGCCAAAAAAGGGCTGACAATTTGAAATGCTCAAACAGTATGCTTATCATTATATTGCTCTTGAGTCAAAGTCCAGTTTGACTACGTATTTTGTGCTACTTGTTCAAAAGCCAGCCTGAAAATTTTCAAACCCAAAACATGGCAAAATGCCCAGAAATTAGTTTTAAATGTCAAAGGCAAGCAGCAATGATTATTGACAAGGTTATTGTCAAAGACCTCTTTAAAAGCTAAACTTTGAAAAGACTGTCCCGTTGTCTCAAGTCTTCCACAGGATACGGTTTTGCATTATAAAGTAAACGGTGAAACCCAGGATATTGAAACAACGCTTTAAAGAGCAACTAATGTCAGGAACAAAGCTCCACATCCAAACCGCCCGGCAATTGCAGCTGGCTTTAACATAAAATAAATTTAGGAATCCTGACAGTTTTATATGGCGTAAAAGACAAATAAATGATACCTCTCTTTCATAAGTCTTAATACAGTTTGATAAAATGATCCATTAGTAGCCGGAAATTAAGATTGTATGTGTGGTTACTCCGCAATCTGTGAGGGATGTACTGTTGGGGATATCATAGATATAATAATAAAGTTAATTGTCCCATCACATTAAGGATGGATAATAAATATAAAAGTTAATCGTGAATCACACATTACCCCGCTTGTCCTCATCCTACCGTTGAAGTCTGTACACAGGGCACAACCCTGTGGCGAGTAAATATTTATTCTGCAAAAGCAATACAATCGAATGGGCCTGGACTATAGAATATTAATAGACTGAGCACAAATATTACTCTTGTCATTTGATGTTATAACTGTTGATCCCTCTGACTAATATTTATATACTCAGTATGGAAGGGCCAAATTTAAAGACATGTTGATTATTTACTATCACCAGATTATTACATCATGATCCAATAAGGCGCTTAATATTCTCCCTAGAACTATCCCAGTTCTTCATAGACCATCAATAGATTTTTTTTATACGTTTTTTGATTATATTTTTTCGTCCATAATAAAGTGGTATCCAAGTTCTAACAGTATCACTTTTGGTTTATTTTTAATTTTGTTCTCCATGCAAAACAAGTATGCAAAAGTAAAGTAAAGAGAAAAGCACTTTTGAAGGAGACATTATTTTCCAAAATTAGGGAAGCTTGCAGTAGTGTGCTCACCAGTGACTTGCAAGGCTTTTGTAGATATTCAGTAGGGAAATTTGATCAATTTGCTTAAACAGAAAACCCATTTAATAAATTTTAATGTGCTTCATTTTGTGCTTGAATTTTTATTTTATTAATGCTTAAAAAATTTTTTGGTTAGTGCTTGATTTTTTTTTTTCAACTGCTTGAAGTTTTTTTAAAAAGTGCGTGAATAATTTCGAAACACCCGGTACTTCAAACCTTTAAGTTCTTATCCATAGTAAAGAAACATTGTAAGTATCAATTGATAAACTCGCTTTGTTGTGATTGGGTTTGTTCTTTTCTTTGGGACATTCTCAAAGAGTAAAACCGGGAAATAAATTAGTTTCCGGTTTGCATAAATTTTAATGACAAGGGTTTCATTCTCTGTCATGGTGAGACCGGAAAATTTAGGTATATAAATAAGAGGTGACTCAAATCACAACAGTTAATCTTTCTTTTACTTCTAACTAAAAAATCTTATCTCGTACTGCTTATATACAACGCCCGCGATATCAACCACGACAGTACATATTTACTCAACAAACTAATACCCAATCATGTAGTTTACACGTGACAATCACGTGACAATCAAAAATATTAAATTCGATATTCTCATGATGTTGGTAGTCTGGATAAATATATAAAGCGCGGTTGGTTAAGTGGTATAATCTTCGCCTGCCACGCGAAGGGCCGGGGTTCGATTCCCCGACCGCGCATTACTTTTTACATTTCTCGAAATAACGTCGGACGTTGATATGATCAGTTGTGCAATCTTGTTTTTTGTTTAAACACGACATTTGATGTTTTGAGACCAATAGTAAGTAATTCGAGATATACAACTTTTATGTAAAAATGAAAAGATAATTCCTTTTAAGACATCAGCTATCATGCTGTATGCCTATATTGAAGAGACCGAAGGAATGTATAGCGTCGATATTGAAATATGGCCATTGTGATCATATTACCGGAGAAATCTAAAGGTCAATTATCTTCAAAACTTTCAGCTGATTCTTATCTTATATCCAATAACACCTACCTCATTTACCGTGCAGTTGATGTCGATATAGGAGCGTCAGACAAAAACGATTACACGTTAAAAACATTATGGCAACAATCTTTCACTCCTTCCAATTTTATTTTCGATTTTGAAGATGCCAACGATTTATTACATTAATTTGTTACGGATAGTGGCATTTGAATAAGATGAGCTATTTAATCCGGTTGAAGATAGTCTGATTTTTACATCTAAGTAAGATGTGTTTTTCTTAGAGGTGTTCCTAAATGTTCGTTCTGGTGCACTTCAACTTTTATTCAGGTGTTCCAAAATCTTTTTTAAAACCTCCTTCATATGTATATGTTTAAATCAATAAGATCACCTTCATCGTATTGCGGGATTAGAGCAACCTAAAAATACTTAAACATATCAGCAAGTGCAGCTGAAGACGAAGAGGACGTGCTTAAAAACCGAAGATAAATATTAACCTTCGTCAATGAATAAAACTATTTATTCTCTAATGAATGAAGTGCTTTTTGAAAAGTAGACATTACAAGTGAAGAAAATTTTACTCATGCCTAAAAATCCCTCAAACGCTCCGCGTCCGTGCTGTTGCTGTCGCTGGGAGTGAGAGCGGGTAAGTGGCTGCTTCGACAACGAAAAAGACAAAAAAAAGGTCATTGTTTTTGCTAATACGTGCCGAAATTTCCCTCGTCCCTTAAATCAAAATTCAAATGACAAAAGTTTGCTACCTTATTTGTCCTTTTTACGTGGATGGGTTTGATTTGTACCCATTCGTTCAGAATGGCTTTAACATCATCAGGCTTTAAAGGACCAAGGACAGCCACCTAAGAAAACGTGTAAATGGGATTGGTAACATGAAAAGCAAACCATCTTGTAATTTTTGATATATTCTCTCCATTGTACCCTGAATGATGGGCCACTTTAAAAAGTGATAATATTGCTATTTATATAGGTAGTTGCTGGAGTAGCATTATATTCTGCAGTTGACGCATCTTCTTCACGGTAGGCACTGACAAGATTGAACTACAGTATAAATGGTTAAATTCACATTAATCACCCATAACAAAAGAGTTGGCTGGTAAAACGGCCTGCACGCGGTGCATCAGGTTGCGGTCGAAGCTTACACAAAGGATGATTGTTATTATTCATCCATGCCCAAGTAATAACTTTGGGCTGTCTTGCTGCTTTTTAACCAAAAATTGGCACCAAATCCCTTTACCAGAAGTGGATTATTTTATTGTCTTCAAATGTATCCAAATAATGGTCGGCCTATGTGATTTTGTTGATATAAATGAACAAAAGTCATAACATATGACATGCGACCTACGTTAATTTCAGATTGAAGCTCGGAACACGTTTTGAAGTCCCACCATATAGTGGTAACTGACCGTAGCCGTAACATCACGCATTCTCGGAAATCAGAACACACCTTTTCAAGTGCAAACAATGTTCTTCCATAAATCTTTGTTATGTTTTAGTTGAGAAAAAGAATCCATTATCAACGAACCTTTTTCATATAATTTGGTATTTTCTTTTAATGAGAGAACATTAAAAAGGAAGATAAAAAAAAAGTGAGCAGGCGGATTTTATTTATAATGAGAACGATAAACAGGAACTTATTTATGTAGGGATGAGATAATTGTTTATTTATAAAAAAGGAATAGCCGCGCTTCAGATTGACGTTTACAAATATTCATACAACTGATGCTAGATTTTATATTTAAGTACAGATAAATGAGGTGTTGGTACTTTCTACAATAATTCTTTTTATTTCGGGAAGGAAGGCTGTGTTTTCAATCATCGATACACTATTTTGACAAAAAACGCCTATTTTCCATGCTATTTAAATGAATAAAGAAGTGCATGAACCAATTCGAAGCACATATCTTGTGTAAAACTAAAAAGAAAAGTTTGCTGCTGTATGGTAGGTGTATCTAAAAAAAGCTGAATTTATGCATTATTGAGATTATTTTTGAAAAAAGAACTGCAGACAGTTATAGAAATACACAAATAAAAAAAAAAAGATGTGTGATATTATCTGATCTCGGACTTGAACATGTATTTGCTTATCAATTTAGAGCAGGTGTTTCAATAAGTGATGATTCAGCGGCGGTGGAATGATGGCAAACACCAAGTATGCTTAAAATCTATTTTAAATTAATTAACAAGAGTACGAATTTTAAACAAGCACCTGTTGGATATACATCTTTCATTCAAACATGTGCAAAAATATAGACAATTTGCCCAGCCAATAATTTCTTAGCCTGATCTTTTTTTATAAAACCCGCTATTTTCATGTGAAACTGGTTTAATTTTATTTTATTTATAAAGCGTGGGTTTTGACGTGTATCGATTTCTCCTTTATATCTGTTTTTAAACTCTTATTTAAACAAACAAAAAATAAAAAATAAAATGCCTATGGATGCTTATGACGGCGTAAAATTCGCATTTAAAATTGTTAGTGATGTATTCTTTCGAGAAATCAAAGTGAGGTAAGATAAAATGATGTCATAGGAATAATACGATTGTATCTAAACATATCCCATTAGTGGTGCACACCACGTACCTTTAGAGGAACCATGTATTTTTATTGTTGCACCTCATGCCAACCAGTAAGTAATTTGACTCGAAAAGGAAGTGCCGTTGAAATTGTTTTGCTGATTTACATGGTAGATTTGTCGATCCCGGTATGGTCATCATCTCTAATCCAAGACGTTTTTCACCCTTAATGGCGCAATCGTCTTTTAAAAGAAAGATTATCGGTGCGGCAGCCCGTGCTTTGAAAGCCAGTAAGTTCTTTTTATTTTTACCTGTAGTGATGCAAGTTATTCACGTCATATATAGTTCCAGTGATTCGTCCTCAAGATCTCGCTACCAAGGGGACGGGTCAACTTGTTGCCGATAAGGAATCCAACTTTATCCTGAACGGTATAGATACCAAATTCACGCAAGAAACAGGACCAAGGGATCTTATTGTCTTACACAAAACTCTCAAGTTTGAAGTTGCCGAAGTGATGTCTGACACTCAACTGAGGTTAAAAGTGGAGTTAAATGAAGAAGCTCTTCAGTTTATTAAAGATGAGACTGCATATAAAATCATCCCTCATATTGATCAAAGCAAATTGTATGAGAAAGTTCATGAACGTCTGGATGAAGGTGAATGCATTGTGATCTTTCCTGAAGGTGGTAGTCATGACCGTTCTGAAATGCTTCCATTAAAGGCTGGTTTTGCTATCATGGCATTGGGTGCTATGGCAGAGAACAAGAATTTGAAGATTAAAATCGTCCCAGTTGGTAAGAACTTGTAAACAAATATGAGATATGTAGTCTAACGGTAAATGATAGGCTTGAACTATTTCCATCCTCATCGTTTCAGATCTCGTGCTGTTGTATCTTATGGCGCACCTATCACTGTCGCACCTGAATTAGTAGAGAAATACGCACAGGGAGGAGCTTCCAAGAGAGAAGCAATCTCTAAATTATTAGATGAAGGATATGATGGATTGAAGAGTGTCACGGTGAATGCACCTAATTATGACACACTCATGGTAAACAAAACAAGCACATATTATAAAGGTTATATAACTCAAACAATACATGTATATAGATCATTGCCACTGCACGCCGTTTGTACAAGCCTGCAGCGGAACATAAGTTGAGAATTGATCAGGTGGTAGAATTAAACCGACGATTTTTACTTGGTTACAAATATTTCGAAAAGGATCCTAGATTGGTGGAATTGGCGCAACGTATCAAGGCCTACAACAATACATTAAAATATTTTGGATTGCGTGATTATCAAGTGGCCAGAACACAAACGACCATGTATTCCGCTGCGCCTGTATTAGTGTCTCGCATTATAAAGCTCGTCTTTTTAGCAATTTTTGGTTTCCCAGCGTTAGTAAAAAAAAAAAAGAAGGATAAACAAACAAATATTCAATCTAAATTAATTTCTGTAGACTTTTGATCAATTCACCATTAATTATTTTAACACTTGTAATCAGTCAAAAGAAACAAGAAGGTAAGGACTTCTGTTTTTGGAAAGAATAGATCGAGTCACTAATCATCTGATTATGAAATGTAAATAGAGGCACTTGCTGGTTCTACTGTCAAAATCGCAGCCCGTGATGTGTTAGCAACTTGGAAAATTTTAGTTGCATTAGTTGTCATGCCCTTGTTGTACGGTTTCTACTCATTCTTATTATTTATGTATCTTTGGAAACACAGCTTCAACCATGCGTTTGGGTTATCGTTACTGGTCTGGGTCGCCTTACCATTTATTCAATACATTTGTGGTTTAGTGCTTGAGAATTCTATTGATATCTACAAGTCACTTCGTCCATTGTTCCTTTCACTCAGTAACCCCGACGGAGCAGCCGAACTTCGTATCATGCGTGAAAATTTGTCAGACACTATTACGACTTTCGTAGATGAGAATGGAGCCACTGCACTTAGTGATTTTGATATCCACAGATTTGATAATCTAGAGTTGAAAGATCAAGCCGAATCCAGAAGCTTTTTGAAGGATGTTAAGATCTCACCACCCAATATCCAGAAATGGTTTGATGATCGCCACATATTCAACTTCAATACGGATGAGTCTGAAAGCGAATAAAATACATAGCGGTTACACCAGCCAATTTTTTTTAGACCGACCCCCTTCTTTTTTCACTGTATTTAATAAAACATTTATTGTCTCCCCTTTCTTTCTTTCTTCACCTATTTTTTTTTTTTTTTTTTTTTTTTTTATTTCTATCTTTTCTTTGTCAATAATAAGGGCTTTTTTTTGGTACCTATTTTTTTTTTCAACAAAAGAAGAAAACGAAGAGTCATCTCTTTTTCTCCTAGAGAATCGAACCAGACAATTTAAACATCATCAACAAGTAAAGCATTTCACCTTATTCCATATTCGAACTTCACCATTAACAACAATTGTTAGATTTTTAAAAAATAATGAGTGGTGGTAACATCAAAGTTGTTGTGAGATGCCGACCTCTCAATTCTAGAGGTAAATTTGAAAAAGCGGGTGTCACAGAGCAGAGAAACTAACCCACTAATGGCAACTATTCTAGAACTTGCGCGTGGAGCAGCATGTTTAATTCGTATGGAAGGAGATCAAACGATTATCACTAAACCCGCAGATCATAAAGGCAGTAGAGATATGGAAGATGTAAAGGCATTTACGTTCGATAAGTCGTACTGGTCTGCCGATAAGTCAGATCCCACCTATGCAGATCAAAGCACTGTCTACAACGACCTTGGAGAGGATTTGCTAAATCATGCTTTTGACGGTTACAATTGCTGTATTTTTGCGTGTAAGTGTGCCTCTTTGTTCCGCCCAATTTACTTTTTACTGACTACTTATAAAAAGATGGTCAAACTGGTTCTGGTAAATCATATTCAATGATGGGTTATGGCGAGGATAAAGGTATTATCCCCAAAACCTGTATGGAATTGTTCAACCGTATCGAATCCAACAAAAACCCTGCATTGAATCATCGTGTCGAAGTCTCCTATATCGAAATTTACAATGAAAAAGTTCACGATTTATTAAACCCTAAAAACAAGGGCAACCTCAAAGTCCGTGAGCATCCATCCCTGGGCCCCTATGTCGAGGATCTTTCTCGTCTTGTCGTGCGTTCCTTTGACGATATCAACCATTTAATGGATGAAGGCAATAAAGCCCGTACCGTAGCATCAACCAACATGAATGAAACTTCCTCTCGTTCTCATGCCGTATTTACTTTATTCTTGACTCAAACTAGGCTAGACGAAGCGACTAAATTAGAAACTGAGAAAGTAGCTCGTATTAGGTATATTAAAAAAAAAATAGTGTGCATATACACCTTCATTATTAAACACAGCCATTTAGTTTGGTCGATTTAGCGGGTAGTGAACGTGCTAACAGCACCGGTGCCACAGGCGCAAGATTAAAAGAAGGCGCCAATATCAATCGTTCCTTGACAACCCTTGGTAAAGTCATTTCAGGTCTTGCCGATCAATCCATTGCCGATGCGGCCAAAAAAAGCGGCAAAAAGCAAAAAGAGGTCTTTATCCCATACCGTGATTCCGTCTTGACTTGGTTATTAAAGGACTCCTTGGGCGGAAATTCTAAAACTGCCATGATTGCCGCTATCTCGCCAGCCGATTATGAGGAAACACTTTCCACTTTAAGATACGCTGATCAAGCCAAAAAAATCACCAATAAGGCCGTTGTGAATGAAGACCCTAATGCAAAGATGATTCGTGAGCTAAAGGAAGAATTAGATACATTACGTGACCGTTTACGTGTTTATGCACCGGAAGTAGTAGAAGAATTATCCTCATCCAGTGCCCATCGCCAGGACGACCCGAACGGAATACGAACGCCAATACCGACCAGATCTGCCATTACAAATGCTCATCAAATACTTGTCATTGAAGATGCGCAAGGCAACAAAAAGAAAATGACAAAACAAGAAGTAGTCGACCAATTGACTAGTTCCGAAAAACTACTAGCAAACCTCAACGAAACTTGGGAAGAAAAATTAAAGCGAACTGAGGAAATCCACTTTGATCGAGAAAAAGCATTAAAAGATCTAGGCATTACCATTGATAAGAACGATATGGGTATTTACATGCCCAAGGAAATTCCATTCATTGTCAACCTAAATGAAGATCCGCTCATGTCAGAATGTCTCATGTATCAAATTAAGAGTGGAAAAACACGTGTAGGAAGACAAGAAGGCCAGAGCCAGTGCGAAATCCGCTTGAGTGGATCCAATATTCAAGACGAACATTGCTGGTTTGAACATGGTCCTGATAACGCAGTGACTTTGCACCCAGCGCCAGCAAAAAAGGACGCCATGACTATGGTGAATGGCATACGTATAAGTGAACCTCGACGTCTGAAGAATGGATACAGAATTATCCTAGGTCATCATCATATTTTTCGATTTAATCATCCTGAAGAAGTGCGACGAGAAAGAAACGACTCGCAAAGACAGATTACCAGCTCTCCTGTTCCCATAGATCCCACCACAGATGAAGAGAGTAATCTTGATCCCAGTCTCTTGGGCTCCTCAGAACTCATGGATTGGAATTATGCACGTTTAGAAGCCATGCGTAATCACTATTCATCTGAAACAAATTTCAGAGGATTGAAAGACGACGAAATTGAAAAGCTCTACGACGATATTGGAAAGATCCGACAGTCGAGAAGAACGCGTGCAGATAGCCGACTTGATTTTGACGATGACGATTCATCTTCTAGTGGTCATAGACTTTCTACTGCAGCTACCATGGTTGATGACGGCAGTATTTGTACAGATACTACGATTGTACCCGAAAAGATCCAAGACAAGATCAATGATGTCAAGGAGAAGCATCGTAAAGAATTAGATTTGCAACGCAGTTTTTACGAGGCCAAGTTGCATCGCATGTCCTCCATGCATTCTTCGGATCCACAAAGCGGGGAAATTTCCATGTACTCACCCAAACAGAAGACACTGATAAAAAATGTGTTCAACCGTTGGAAACGTATTCATTATGTGACCATGGCTGAGGTCGTTTTAACTCATGCTGTCTTGCTGAAGGAGGCTAACATCATTTCTCGCGAGCTTGAAAAAGATGTTTTGTATCAATTCACAATCATTGAAGATGCCTTTACGCACTTAAAATCACATTGGGAAGAGACATCGGGTCTGCACCAGTTTGAACAAGATGATGAGGAGGGTGCAGGCCATGACGCAACGTTGATCAGCTGTCCTAAACCTTGTATTGGTATTCGTGTCATTGATAAAAAGAATCAGTCTGTCTATGTTTGGTCACTAGATAAACTTAAATCTCGGCTTCACAAGATGCGCAACCTGAGAAACTTTATTGATCGTCCCCAATATCGGAAGCACTTCAACTGGGAAGATCCGTTTCATGAAGTCCCATGTCCCAAATATTCCTTTGTAGGTAGTGCCGCTGTCTCCGTAAGAAATCTTACTCGCCAACATCAAGCCTATGAGAGTTGCGTCGAAATTTTGTGTCGAATCACGGGTCAAGTCAAAGGTAAACTACGCTTACTGGTGTCGCCTATTGCTCGTTCTGGAGCCATTGCTGATATTGAAGAAGAAGACGGAGACGGTTTACATGTCGGTCAACAGTTGTTATTCGAAATTCGCTTATTAGAATTGATTGGATTGAACGAAAACGAATTTACTCAAGTCCACGTTCAGTACAGATTATCTTCATTTGGTGGTATTGCCCCACACGCAGCTGCCGAAAAATTATTTGCCACCGAACCTATTAGTGGGTTTGGAAATAGCAAATCTATCACCTTAGATTACAGCCAAACACTCTCTATACTTGTTACAAAATCGATTAAGGATATATTGATGCATAAGATGATTGTATTTGAAATATATGGTGTCGCACAACCTCGAATCCTTTCACAGTACGAACGTTGGGACGATCAGCGTGAGAAGCCCAAACTCGCTACCATGCTGGCTGAAAATAACCCATTGTATAAAAATGTACCACCATCAGCTGCCTCTGAAAGACGACCGGAAGAAGAACTTTTGGCAGCGGAACGACATGATGTACTTGCTTGGATTCAGATTTGTGAGCTTATGCCGAACGGCGAATATTTACCTGTGCAAGTTGTTGCACAAACACCATTAGATCGCGGTGCATTTGTCCTGAGACAGGGTCTTCAACGTCGTATCTGTATTACTTTGTCACATACTTCGGGACGACAATTCCTATGGAACAAAATGAGCAAAGCTATGATTGGTCAAGTTAGGACTTTAGATGCAAAAGGACGAATCATCAACTCACCTGCACATGAAGATATCCCTATCCGTCTTTTATCTCAACAACAAGTGCAATACAAGAATGATGGTACCAGTATTTTAATTGCGCAAGGTGCTTGGGACTCCTCCCAACATGATTGCTTATTCTTGAACAGATTAACACTAGCCGGCACACGTATCATCCTCAACTTGAAGTGGGAAATTGAAACTGAAAAGTGTTCTAAACCTATACAGTGTAGTATGGATATTGCTGTACGTATTCAAGGCCGTGACGCTTCCAATTTTGGATTACGTAAGCTGTTAGGTTCTAATAGATATTTGACAAAATGTAGTGGTGTGTTTTTAATTCACCTGAGACCACCAATGACACGTCGTGTTAGTCAGTTATGGAGGTTGAATACAGCATCCAAGTTTGTTCCCGGAGAAGAGTTTTTAGGCTCTTGGAGACCTCGCGGTGTCTCATTGATCAATGATTTCAAACATATCCAGAACCGTATACAGCGCAAAGAACAAGTGACAGCTACAACTCAAAAACTTATGTTACATACTGCTCGATCACAAACCAGCCATGGATCCATGAACGATAAAGAAACTACATCAGCTTCTATAGCTACCAGTGATGATCAGCAAGCCGAATTAGTCCGAAAAGTGCTGTCATTATGGAATAGCAAATGGGGTACTGATAAAGAGGTATGTGTCGGAGTAACAACACCTAAAAGCCATTGTATAATTTTTTAAAGTCGTACGTTTTTTTTGTATAGATTATTCTTAGTCAGGATCCTCCTATCCCTGGTATGAAGGATTTAGATCAACTTCAGAAGGATGCCTGGAGTGCAGCAAAATTAATTTCAGAAGTAAAATTAATAACTGAATTGTAAGTTTCTTTTCTTCGATACAATAACATTGTAGACTCACGCGAAATGGTTTTTAAATAGCGACAATGTGACGAAAAGAGGATATTTAACATATCAAGAAAATGCATTGGATGATAAATGGGTGAAGCGTTGGTTTGTTTTGCGGAGGTAATGTGTACACACGATGACACATGAAAAAAGATGACTAAAATCCAAAGTAATTTTTATAAGACCATACATTTATATCTACACAAATCAATCAGAAACGGAAGAACAAGGTATAATTAATGTTTCCAATGTTCGAATAGATTATAACCGTGCACTTGAGCAAATGATCAAAGTAAGTATTTAAAGTTTTTTATTCAGTTTGTATGTTGTATACTAAAATATTATTAGCGTAACAATGTATTTTCCCTATACACAAATAATAACGCCTATATATTACAAGCAAACTCAAAATCAGATATGACCGATTGGATGAGAAATATTGATAAATTATTTTCTGTAGAAAAAGTCTAATCCATCCCACCCTTTACCAGTTCCTTTCTATATGCCCCTTCCCTTCCCCCTTATATGTATTATTTATACCCATTAATTTCTATACCCCCGCACTTGACAACCCTATCCATCCGCTCATTACCACCATTCCCATCCTTCTGTGTAACAATGTTTTTTGGTCCTATTTGTACATTCCCTTTTACCTTCCAAATCCTTTTTTTTTCATGCATAATAATAAAATAGTAACTCTCTTTAAATATACACTTTAGATTTATGTTGGTTCAATGTACCTAACAAAATATACGAGACTAAATGGAAATATTTGGCTTGTGAATTGATATTACCAAATCATGTATTTCTTGTTATTGTTTGTCTACTAATTATTTATATACACACATTTTTTTTAAGTTTAAATATAGTGTGAGAGATGCACATGAAAGTATATTGCCTGTAAAAAAGTGGAGTGGGAAACGAAACACCTGACTTACCCATCACTTTGTGTTCAAGCCGTCACTTTGTGTGCATGAATAAAAAGGGGATAAATTTATTTATTTCCTTTTTTCTTTTTCTTTTTTCTTCATCCTTGCTTGTATTAACAAAAAAAAAAATGTCTGCTCTTAATAACCAAATCATCGTTGTTGGTGGTGGTCTTTCAGGTCTTGCTGCTGCTCACACTGTAGTCGAACAAGGTGGCAATGTTCTTTTGCTTGATAAAAATCCTTTCTTTGGGTAAAGATAGATACGATAGATGCTTCAATACATGTGAACTAATACATATCCCCTTTATAGTGGTAACTCTACCAAAGCCACTTCTGGTATCAATGGTGCTTTGACGCGTACACAAGTTTCTTTAGACATCAAGGATTCCGTTGAGCAATTTTATCAAGATACACTCAAGTCTGCACGTGATTTAGCTCGTCCTGATCTCATTCGTGTCTTAACAGGTCGTTCAAGTTCCGCTGTTGAATGGCTTCAAGAGAAATTCACTCTTGACCTTTCTTTAGTATCTCGTTTGGGTGGTCATACTTTCCCTCGTACCCATCGTGGTAAAGAACAATTCCCTGGTATGACTATCACTTATGCATTGATGGAAGGACTCGAAGAATTAGCTGAGAAGCAACCTAACAGAGCCAAGATTATTAAGAAGGCCAAGGTTGAAAACTTGATTAAGGATGCCAACGGCCAAGTCATTGGTGTTGAGTATATCATGGTTGGTAAAGGTGCCGATAATACCATCTTCAAGGAATATGGTCCTGTCATCTTAGCCACCGGTGGTTACGCTGCTGATTTCACGAAGGATTCCCTCCTTAAGCAACATCGTCCTGAACTTTATGAATTGTCTACCACTAATGGTGACCATTGTACTGGTGATGGTATCAAGATGGCTGCTGCTGTTGGTGCCAACACTATTGATCTTGAGAAGGTTCAAGTTCATCCTACTGGTTTAGTAGACCCTAAGGAACCTGATGCCAAGGTCAAGTTCTTGGCTGCTGAAGCTCTTCGTGGTTGTGGTGGTCTTTTATTGAATGCTGATGGTGATCGTTTCTGTGATGAATTGGGTCATCGTGATTACGTCACTGGCATGATGAACAAGAACAAGTTCCCTATTCGCCTCGTATTAAACACCGCTGCTTCCAAGGAAATCGAATGGCATTGTCGTCACTATGCTGGTCGTGGTCTTATGAAGCGTTTCGATAACGGACAAGCCCTTGCTAAGGAAATGGGTATTACTCCTCAACATCTTGAAGAAACTTTTGAAACATATAACAAGATTGCTGATGGTAAGATCAAGGATCCTTGGGGAAAGCGTTTCTTCCATAACGTCCCTATCAAGATGACTGATTACTTTTATGTTGCTCATATGCAACCTGTTCTTCATTATACCATGGTAAAGTTTATTATATTTGTGTGCGTGTGAAAAATGTTTGGGTTTTAACTTTTTACTTTTTTAGGGTGGTGTTGAAATTACCCCTGATGCCGAAATTAAAGCTACCAATGGTACACCTATTCCTGGTCTCTTTGCTACCGGTGAAATGTGTGGTGGTGTTCACGGTGCCAACCGTCTTGGTGGTTCTTCTCTTTTGGGTTGTGTTGTCTTTGGTCGTGTTGCCGGTGAGACTGCCGCCAAGCACTTGTTCTCCCAATTGGTTAACAGTAACCAAACCCAAGTTGCTCAACAACGTTTGGGTGCCATTGGTCAACATTTGAACGGAGGCTTCGGTATTAACATCACTGTTAGCCCTAACAACTCTGTGATTTTAGAGCTCAGTTTACCTCAATCCGGCGCTGGCGCTGGCGCTGCTCCCGCTATCGCCGCCCCTGCTGTTGAAGCTGCCCAACCTGCTGAAGAGCCCAAGAAGGCTGACGAGCCCAAAAAGATGGGAGAATATACATTGGCTGAAGTCGGAAAGCATAACAAGGCTGATGACTGTTGGGTTGTTGTTAACGGTGAAGTTTTAGATGTTACTGATTTCCTTGCTGATCATCCTGGAGGAAAGAAGGCAATTCTTATCTATGCTGGTCGCGATGCTACCGAAGAGTTCAACATGATGCATAAGCCTGATGTCGTTCAAAAGTATGCTCCATATGCTATTATTGGTACCCTCAAGAAGTAAATAAGTAAAACAAAACAAAATATTCACATGCCTTTGGTTCCTATTTATTGTACACGCGCAACACATAACAAACAAAACATTTTATGACTGTAAATTGATAAAAAAATAAATAAAAAAAGTTTATTCCGTACACATAATGTGGGGTTGTTGTACTACGTTTCGTTTTTATAAAAACATTTCATGAGAATATTTCTTTGATCAAGATCTTACACATGTCGATAATAACTTTGTGCTAAAGTAACACAGTATCACATTTAACCTAATGACCTTTGTTTTTAAATTGAATTTATCTTCGGGGAAACACTTCTATTATACTATTATACATGGTAAACAAAAGTTATGCTTATATCTACCGCGTGGAATTAGTTTCAAATTAAGTCTCACTAGCTTAGCACCAGATAGGAAATAATTTAAGGGTGTTTTTTATTGTTTGGCGGCACAACACTTATAGTTTTTAGCTAAGCACAAATGTTACATCTTGAAAGTTTCTATACCTATTTTTTATAAAGCGGTGGAGAGGGAGGGGTTCTATATCGAGATGCTGATATATTATTTTGAATGATGGGTGTCGAATAAAAAGGGTCTTCGGCTAGAGGTCGCCCGAACATTGGCGGATGGTTTGGTTTATAATATTTTGGTGGGACAGGAAGAGGTCTTTTATACTGATAGTAATGATGAGGACTGCCTGTGTTATGATTTTTGTGTGAAATAACCGCTGGAGGAGGCGATTTATCTCGTCTAGGTAATAATTTTCCAACGCGTTTGCTTTTAGCGTCATAATCTGTAATGTCCGATACTACATCATATAGACTAGTACGCTCTTCGCAAACGGAAGGAGGATAATCTCTTGTATAGCTATCTTCTGGTGAACTCGAGCTTTTGTTTCTTTGTCCTGACATAGGAGGCGTTGTTGCAGGTGCTGTATTAGATGATGATGATAACATTAAAATAGCTCTAGCTGCCGCTTCATGCTCAATGGCTTCGTTTTTTTGTCGTTCTCTGATCTTCTTCTTTTTACGCCATGAGTTTTGAGTAGGTGTCATGGCTGACAGAAGCATACGTTTTAACTTTCTAGAGTGTGGGGATGAGTGTGCGGGTGTAGGAGGATACTCTTCGGGCAAAGGGATACGGGGCTGTCGAGGAGAAACTAGGAAAGCTTGTTCAATGCGCTGCAAGTTCTCAGTTGACATACCGGTTGTAATTTTCAGTTGTGCATACTGCAATCGAGCTTTCAGTAATGTAACAGTCTGTAGTTAAAACAAAATATTGGCTATAGTCTCTCATCTGGATTGAAAAATCTAGTTCTACGTACATCATATAACTTATCATCGCTAAACGATTTATCGCTTTTGACGGGAGATTCTAATTCCCTTGGCGGAGTTAACCCATAAATATCTCGATCGTATTTAGGTGGAACCATGCTATGTTCAACGAATACTAAATAAAAAAAGAGGAAACAAATATCGCCAGAAATGTAATTTAGACAATACCCACAAGGAGTTTCACTTGTTCTATTGGATAGGTTTTTATTTTTAAAAAAAAAAATTTCCGTTGTCTTATTCGTAGCCAAGCATCCACCAAAGTATCGCTTCGTAACAGAATACATATTGCCTTAATGTCTGCACCATGCTTACACGCTGCTCCCGAAATTTGGAGACCGTTTGGAATATCAAATCAATCTCACCTGATCGCTCTTCATTATTCAAATAATGTCTACCTTTCATTCTCGATATGATTGTATCAATAGTGCAGAATGCACCTGTGCGGCCACAACCAGCCGAACAATGCACTATCATAGGGCCAACGTTATCCAGCATGTTTTCGTACTTAATCTGTTCTTGGTCAACCAAGGAGACCAATTCAAGCGTACCTAAAGGATCATTGGGTACACCAAAGTCTTGCCAACCTTTATACTGGAAATGATGCACTATTCTAATCTCACCGTTTTGCTCTAATTGAAATCGACGTACTATATATCCTTCTTCTAAATCTGGTATGCTACCATCTGTTGTAACCGCTTTTGAAGGGAATTCAATTTCGGATAGCAATGTTAGATGAGTTGGTCCAAATGCCTCTACCTTATTTATTTCTGATGGCCAGTATCTATGACATTTAATCTATAGATACAAATAAATTAGTGCTGCCTTTATTACTTCAATCAATATAACGAGTATAGGCTTACTCTATTCATCTCTTCCTCCTTCGTAAGCATTACTATAACTCTTGTGTTCTGCTCCCAAACAACTTCCCAGAAATCATTGAAAGTAGTAGGTAATGGCCCTTGTGTCGATATATATCTTCTGTAACGTCTATCGGATGCACATGTCTTGTCTTGTTCGTCTAGACTCAATACTTTGGGGACTTCATTTGTTAGGGCAGATGGAGTAGATATATGTGCGGTATCGCAGTCAACATATTGAATAAAACTTGCATTTATGTAGTCATTTAATTGAGAACCATTTTGATTTAACTTTACACGTGTATATTCTAATTTGACATATTAATAACCAAGGGTTGGGTCCAAAATCAGGCAATGTTACTTACCAAATGGCCACACATTTGTATAACGATTCAATGTTCCTTTTTCTATACCAGCCACAATACTGAATGGGTGCTCTATGAAATTATTGCTGATTTTGGAATGATGTGCCATAACTTGCTGAAGTCTTTTTTGTTCGAGCCTTTCGATGATCTACATAGAAAGTTTTTGTCAAACATCGCTGATGAAAGATTAATGCCTTTCTTATACCTCGTATGATTCGGCTATATTTTTTGGTCCAAGCTCGGGATCGATCGCTTTTCGCATCCAAGGAGGTATTACGTTGGGTAAGTCGCTACAATCCCTCATTTTCTGATCGGTATTGCTAAATTGAACAAGACCAGTATCAGGATCATATTCAACTAATTTTGGAAATCGGACAGGGAAACGTTCTTTGATGCTTCCATGACATAATTCCATATTTTGACGAATGTTAGAAAAAAACGGATTAAATGCGTCGTTTGTAAAAGAAACAGTTGATGGTGTCATTATTGGTTGCGGCAAACTACCTAAATGGAGACCTTCGATGGGCCTTTTCTTCAATCTTCGGTTGCTTAAACAAGAGCCTAGAACAACTGGAGGAAGACCTGAGAGTCCAGGTGTAGGCGGTACACTGGGCGACGATAAGGATGATGTCATTGCAGTTGAAGATTCTTTCCCACTGGTACAATGGTTAGGATGATCTTTGAAAAATGCACTCATTCCGCCTACGAAGAAAATAATAAAAATAAAATAAAAGAGCATGTGTCAGTTGCATGGACGTAGGGGAAAGGAAATAATTGATTGTAGATCAAACCAGTAGCAAATAAATAAAATACCTTTTAAAAATCCCAGCACACCTTGGTGGCCGATTTCCCTTAACTTCAAACACAGGTAGTAGATAGCACTACTATCGGTGATGTTATCCGACTGTTGATCATAAAATATTATATGTGCCTTGTCATTTTGGATAGAGTTTTCCCAAGACCGACGGTCTCGCTCTGATATTATCACACCAGAGACTTTATCCAGCGTAAAACTCGGTCTTTTTAATATGGTGTTTGGAGCAGCAATATTTATAGAGGTGCGGATATGAAATTGTGAATACTTTACAAAGGATCGTACATCAACTAGCAAAATCCCATTATTCATTAATAGAAGTAATTGAGAGATGTTAACCGAGTCAACGTTTATATCGAACTTCTTTTTTGGTTGTACATTTAATTTTAGTGGAACAGACACTTGAAAGTTTAGTTTTATTTGTTGTTGTTGGTCTACTGCAAATGGACCAGCGATACTATATCTAGATTCTATGGCGTTAAAAAATTCTTGATTTTGTAAATGAGGCAACATGCTAGAAGCCGTATAGAATGGAGCTGTAGTTTTGGTGGGTATAGATGCATCATCGGGTGATGCTGATATCATTTTTACGAGATGAAAAAGAAAAAGAAAGAATAAACATAAACAATCTCTGGTCTTCCATTTTATTCTGCATGCACAACAACGCTTGTACATATTTTGTAGATAAAGTAAGGAGAGTAACAGACCAGAATATTTGATGAATTTTAATAACACTCATTTACATAGGTACTACTATTAATGACTGATTTAATATTAAATACTGTATAGAGTCTAAAACTTTGATTTGAATAGCAAAAGTCTTACTCTTTTCAATTAATACCATAAATTATTATGACGACGGCCAAGAATTTTTGGGAGTTCAACTAACCCCTACATTGGCTTAGAAAGTAGTGATTATATTTTTCTCATGTCTATTTTTTTTGCAGTGTTCATGAATAAAATAGTATCGTGAGGGGGTGTGTAATATAACGGTTCAAAATACATTTTATGTACAGTCAGTCTGGTTGATATCAAGGGTATTTAATAAAGAAGATAAAATAAAACATTTATTTTCGTAACTGCTAATTTGGTTTTTTGCGATAGACAATTTCGTTTTTCGTAAGTGATAAATTTTATTATTGTAAACGACAATGTCCACCAGCCGAAATGTATACCTCGATATAGGCTGTTCCTTATATTAAAATATTCTACATGATATCTTCTGTTTTAATTGGCTACGGTCATTTATACCGAAAAGGCAGTTATTTTAAAAAATACACAAACACATACGCGTAAAAATTATGTTTTTTTTACAAAAAAATAAAATGGTGTGCCGAATCATATTCAATATTGCTCAAATCAGATTACTTTACAGCAGAAATGTATAGACTATTAAGGGTATAGTTTTGGGTAGCCGATTTCTAATTTGCAGCAATAAAATTTAACATGTTCAAATGTGTACTTACATAAATAAGTGAGCAGATTGATTTAATGTGGCATTAACTCCACAAACACACAATAAATGTATCACAAATTTGTATCTATATTGCTAGTGGTTTGGTCGCCCGATCAAATCGTTTTTACTATTGGAGGTTAAGGGACAAAATGATTTATTTGTTTAGCAGAAACTTAAATGTCTAATTTGATTTAAGTGTACTTTTTGATTGAGTGTATAATACCTGATCGTATTCTTATATAAATTTACCAATAGACTAATGTAATGATCTATGTTGGATTGGGCCGTACCATGACCAATTATATAAAAGGTTAATGGTGCCCCACCAATCCTGAACAAATTGTTAGCACACTTTTAAACGACGAACGTTAGATATATTTTGGTAAATATTTGAAAAGCACAATTCGCTCATTTTCAGCAAATGGGTGTGGCTAATTTACCCGACAACGTTATTAAGGTTTCGTCATACCATTGGTTCTGATGTAGTATGAATAAAAGCCCGATCATTGTGGTATAGTACATCGTCATTATGGCATTAATATGAATGTTAAATACAACGGTATATTATGGCATACGGCGCGTCTACCCATAATGCATTACTGTTTTGTTTTTAAAGTCATGTTGTTACCTTACCAACGTACTTTATCATTCCCGTGGCACATAATCAAATATGCACATCTAATCGCCTATTCAAAGCTAAGTAAAAACCATCAAATCTCTTGTCGTTTAGGGTGTCATAAATATACGAAGAAAGTTAGAAATTCCACAATGTACAAAGGCACATTAGAAACGTTACATTTATATATTTAAGTTGAAAATATAGGTTTATACCAACAAGGAGAAATTTCTTTAGCATACCGCTATCTCATTAACAATGCACGAAACATATTTTATATTCACTATAGTCCCAAACATGCGACAAATAGGATAATCCACGTTAAATGTCTCACAATTCTACTTTTATTATGGCTGGACCAAACTTACAGTACCTCACGGAATACCATCTTATATAAAAAAAGGGTTTCGGCCTAATTATTTAGGCACACATTGCTGGTAAAGGTCGAGAACTTTCTTTTGCTATTCCACCTACTTGCTTGTCCCATTTAAGCTATATGCCCTTCTCCTTAAATTTTGAGCCTTCTGAAAATTCCATCTATATTCTTAGAAACTGTCTTTCAAAAAAAAAAAAAAAAAAGTAGGAAAAAACTAAGCTTTTGTATAAACTGAATAGGTCCCGTTGTACAAATCATTTGTAGTGATAAATAAAGGGTGGCTCATGCTTTTTGTTGCGAAATTGGAAAGCGGAGTGTAGGAAATACGTTATCAGCTATTGTCCAACGAGAGATTAAAGTTCAGCATACTATCTGCATGCTGCAAGATACAAACAAAAACGACAATGATTACAGCAATACTGGTCTCATCTCCAACAACAATAAACCGTAATGATTCTTTTACATAATGTAGTTTTTCCAGGAGTAAAGTTACCACCTCTTAGTATGCAGGTATAAATAAATTAATAGCCAGAACGTGGGACGTATGATTACATGCATTAATCAAAATGTGGTGCGTTACACTTATACTGTCAGACTTTATTCTAAATTTGTTTTATGAAACTATGATCTGCAAGTAAGTCCTCATTATATCTGAAAAGAAAAAAATAATAAGTACGTAGGATTATAAATATAGCTTTCGGTTGTAGTAAACCTGCATTTCTATTCTCAAGATTGGCACGTCGTTCGAAGCTATAGAACAAAAATATCCCTTTTAGGTTGTCTTGCATATAGTCATATCGGGGTCCTAAACAATAGGAAATCGTTTTTCTTGTACACAAGCGATTCTACTTGTCAGTATATCTGATAAATATAACCTTTTCACGTGCACAGGGAAACATACGATCTTCAGTTAACAAAAACCGAAATGAATATTTGCTACGAGTGCGCAATATATCGATCACTCTTACCATCCACTTGGTTTAATATCAGCTTCTTATCATGATTTGCTAATTGGTTTATCATGTACGGGTTTTATAAACTGGGGCTAGATTACGTCTTTTCTTACTGTTTTTAGGCTAAGACATGTCTTATATTTTAAAGTCAATTTTTTGCAATTATTTAAAAAACCTGTTTGATATACTATTGCAGCGTATGGAAGATAGTGTAGGTTTGTTTACGGAAATCAAACGGCGAAATCAAAGTACTGAAGATTAAAAAAAGAAACGTATGTTAAATACTTACTTCAACTGGGTTTCAAAAAAAATACAGTAAAATACTTTTTGCCTCGAAAAGATGAAGCCAAATAAAATATCATAATGGACATAAAACTGTTCAAATGGCACAGTAATGCAATCTATAATGCCCAAACAAGTATGGCGTGTTTAAGGGACAGATCATTAGGTTTCATATGAGATTAGGAAATTATAATTATACCATCCATGGTTTAATGGGACAAAGTACTACCGTGCGGTTTGTTTCTTGGCACCTTCCATTGTTCTTATAAATACCAATATCCATTATTGGTATACAGAGCCTGGTGATTTTTTTTGAGTTATTTTCTTCTTTTATAAGCTTAAGAGTTCTATTGATACGATCAAGGCAGCATCATGTGGCGAATTTTTGAAACTTGGACAATAAGTTGCATAATACCAACACCCACACAAGTGTGGATCCCGACCGCCTATATATGAGGACCCTTTTTTTTTTAATTTTAATTAGTCACCTCTTCCTTTCGTTTTACATATTTTTTTTCTTTCGTTTTTATCTCCTATCATTTGCCACCACTTTTTATGGATTCTTCTGATCTTAATGACAGTAAGCTATCCTAGAATTAAGTCCAGCATTAAGAGATACAATTATTAATTTGTTCTAGTTTCATCTGTCCGTCTTGCTTCTGGCATAGAAATGCAACAAAAGTGGCTTCCATTAGCCCAAATACACCAACAACAAAAGAATGACACACCACCTCATCTTATTGAAATGGCTCCAACAAGGGGAACCCAAGGCACAGTTGTAACAGTTGTTGTACAGTCTTTACCACATCGATTTGAACCTGTCAAATTGGCTTTTAACAGTTTGGTCGTGGACACAAAACAAATGTACTCACAAGGCATAACTTCACTAGTTGCTACAGTCCCTCCTTTTGAGCAAACTCTTTCTGCAACCACAATGGTTCCTATATCCGTATGCATGCTTGATAAAGATTCCGTCACTGAAACCTGGCCCGTGGCTGAATTCATTTATGATTTTGAAACAAAAAATTCTTTAAAAGCTTCGATTGTTACCCCAACCATAGTGATAAACGAACCGTCTACAATGATGTATTCCGAAAAGGCTATTGAAGACCGATCCAGTACGTATCACTCTCGAGAAGGTAATTTACTCGTTAGTATTTCTGGACGTAAACACAGAATTAACTTTTTTTTTTCCTTTCTTTCTTTTTTCTTTTTATATTCGTCTTTTTTCCTTTTCTAGAAAATTTTTTAGGCGGTGCTGTGCCATATAAAAGCTATTATCATCAATCTGTGAATAATTATAACGATTCAAGTAATCAACAAATGGCTCAATTCCCATATCCAATCGATAATGTAGATATCAGATGTGCTTATGATGACAATAGTAAGTATCGTATGAAATATTTGCTGAAATGGAAAATATTAATATTTCTTTTCATAGAATATGACGCTTACCGTTTAAACAACAGCTCTACCGTTTCTCAACAACATGATACACACTATAATAACGACAACAACAACATTAACGTATTTAGCCCAAACAGTTCTGATTATCCTGGTGTATTAACTGGATATAACCAAACTAATTCCACTTCGTCTGCACCTATTTCTGAACAGTCTCTTATATATTCGTCTCACAAAAGCCAACATCAAAAGGACAAACAGCCAGCTCCGTCTCCTGAATACAAATATGATAGATCCGCTACACATATCCCCTCTACCTCTGTTGCTAACTATCAACCATATCCTGGGCTTATTAGTCGTGCGAATTTGAAAATTATGGGCGATTTAGAATCCATGGCAAAAAGTTGGTCGACTGAAGAATGGGAAAACCGACGAAGATTAGTTCAATTTTGGCGGAAACAAAGTGGAAATGAAATTTGTTGTACTTTCGATCCTATTTTCCAAAGTGAACGTATTAACACCAATAGTAACCATATTGTCGTCTCTTGTATATACTGGGCCGAAAGAAATGACTGTTATATCACATCTGTTGATTGTATTCATCTTTTAGAAAGTTTGATGGACACCCGTTTTAGTGTCGAAGAAAAAAATCGTGTCCGTCGCAATCTCGAAGGGTTTCGTCCAATAACTGTTAGTAAATGTAAAGCCGAATCTGCCGATTTTTCAAGTTGATTATGAGTTTTCCTAACCCTAAGCCAAGAAATATCGAAAAAGACGTCAAGGTCTTTCCTTGGAAAACATTACCTTACGCGCTCAAAAAAATCATAACGAAATATACGGCTTCTTCTTATGGTACAAGCGGCAATCAGCCGCATCGTTGTGCTACGATCGATCATATATCTTCTACTATAAATAATACGGCCACTTTCATGCTGCCATCAGCAGCTGAAAACGTAGGTAGTCAACAACAACAACAACAACAACAACAACAACAACAACAACAACAACAACCTCATCATCAACAACCTCATCATCATCATCATCAACTACAACAACAACCACAATCTAACACAAAAACATTCTATGGAGATCGACCTAATATCTATCCATCATCACATCAATTTAGCTCTTATCAGATCCAGCAAGAAAATGAGCGTCCATATCAAATAGCCCCACTAGTTCGGAAATATTCATCCCCTTATGCACAACCTGAACCGAATCAAGTCGCATCCAGTGCCGCAGTGAACCATAACGGTATTAGCAAAAATCTATCTGAATCTATAACTACTACTTCTACAGTAGTTGCATTAGACCCAAATCCACTTTCCAATATCAATAGCTTCAAAAATGAGCACCCAAGTTAAATATATCTCCCCTTTTTTAAGCCTTTATTATATGAACAATACGTATATCTCACTATTCAAGCAATAAAACTGTACATAATCTATGAATTTAAGCCACATTACAACAAAAACAATGCTACTGCATTAGTGAGTCCCCCCCTTAATTTTTTATCGATCATGATCCAATAAATATTAAAGCGTACGGAACCCCCTTTCATAACATTGGCAACAGCGACAAATTTATAAAATTATATGTCTATTGATATGCTCTCATTACAATACCAAAGCCTAATAACGATATGTACTATATTTTGGAACTGAAAAAAGTTTGTTGATCCTCAAAAAAAAAAAAAAAAAAAAGGATCTGAACTGTTGGGTGAGCTTTGACTGCGGTATGAGTAAAGTTCACTCGAATATAAATCTGAATATTGATTTTTTTGTGTATTATTGCAAGTCCGGCTTCTTTTGTCCAGAAGTAAACTCGTGCCCACTCGGTTCAAACGAAAGGCGTTATAGATTCTATTGTTTTGCGTCAGTACTGTATCCAAATATTTTAAATATAAAGGGGAAACTAAAACCGTTTGTAATGAAGACAACGTTATGCATGTTGTGCATTAAAAAAATAAAATAAGGGTAAATTTAATAAGAGTAAATGTGCGACACGTTGAGCCATGGCGTCATTGATATAGAATTATTTTTAGAAATGACTATAGAAGTAAATCGGTGTAAGTATTTGTTTTGTCTGGCCAAAATAAAGTCAACGTTATTTTGATCACGTTTGCTGCATAACGATGGCCGTGTGTAAATTTATATCTTGAACATGGCTACAGATCAAATAATCTCAGCGCGCAAATATAAAATTTACAGGATTATAAATATTGTGAACACAACAGAACCAACAATCTGGGCCACTAATCATATGCATGGATTCTCTTTCGGCATCTTCGACTGAAACATATACGGTTCTATTTGAACTCCGGGATAAAGCTGCGAAAAAAGTTTAACTATTAAGGAAAGCGATTATTGTGGATATCTTAATATTTGCTATATCCGAAAATTTCCAGTCTTGAAAAAGGGATGTAATTGTAATAAGAGATGTTATAGAATTGATGTTGTATGGTAATACTATTAGAACCTGTTAAAACCAATTGATACAAAATTAAGTGCAGCTTTGAACTGATATTGACATCAAGTATGCTTTTATTAAGCAAGACTTTTCAGCTGGAGTAAGCTTGTACAAATATATATATATATATATCATGTTATTTTTTGTTTGCTCGATGTTTATAAGTAAATCATTTTTATTGACATACATCTGAAATAAATGTTATGCATAATAAGATTACCGCCTTCCATTACGATTTTTTATGAAGAATGTACGTGTCGAATGAACAATGAGCAAGGTTATGTAGTGGATAAAAAAATTGGAGCTTGATAAATCTTTTGTTTTACACCAAAAGTTTTATCTGATCGAGAGTAAATGGTTTTTTTTCTGGGAATTTGATCCGTCAATGATTCATGTTTCATGTCAAAAAGTGACAGTACTAATTTCTGGAAAACCTTCATTAGTTAACATGTTACGTGATTGAGATTAAATAATGCTAGTTCATAAAACAAGATCTCCCAAGAGTTTATGTAACCATCATACCGAAAGGTATGTTTTGAGATCAAGTACAATGTTTACAATATTCTAAATCGCGTCAAATAAATAAAACAAAAAAAAAAAATTTAATATGTTGGAGCCCAAAGATTTTTCTCGTTAAGGGACGCGTTCTTTTAAAAAACATGCGTTTTAGGTTATTCATAAATTACACATGCATGCTCCTAGTCCCCGAGGTAGCCTTAAAGCCTTTTTTTCCAAAAAAAGTCATCAGTAAAATATCTATGTTTGTGCTGGCTTAAAATCAACTTTTATGTTTGTGTGGATGTTAGAAATTACTCTATCAAGCCAAACCAGTATATTTATTCAGTATAAAAGGTTTAAGTGATTGTAAATTTGGTTAAATTTATGGCAATTATATATTTACAAATGAAAGTAAGGAAACCGTCTAGTATGTAACAATCGCTAACAAATGGATGTAATCATGCTTTATGACGTAAATATATTGCGAGGTACATGTGTAAACCATGCGTGCAACAAACGCTATTGTATTATTTATAGCTCCTCAACATTATTTTCTTCTTTGCATGTGCACCACGTGTGCTTAAGGTGCTACAGAAATAGGTTAGCGCAATGTAATATCAACCATTATTAGCCCGCTTTTTAAGGGCAATTACTCAAATGCACTTTGGTAAACTTTGTATATACAATGACGGTGTTATAATCCGCAAAAATGGTTTTAACGACAATGTCTCTGTGCTACCACTAATAGTTTTTAAAAGGTTGTGGGCGGATTTAATGATTATTGACGCTTAGCAGTTAATGTTGTAGCGTTAGTAGTATTTATATTATTTTAGCTGCTATGATATGAACAAATATAGTAATTAGTACAAGTTTGTTACCAACTTTACTTTCTATAAAAATGAAAATTGTTCAATTGCAGATGAAAAAAAAAAAAAAAAAAAAAAAAGGTCGACGTCTATATAAAACACAAATTAGTGACATTTATCGTTAGCAATGAATGATAAGAAGACGCGAAGATATTTTTTACGAAAAAAATAAAAATAATAGCGACCTAGTAGATGCATAGAATTTTATAAGGTGATGATAGATCCGTGAAATTAAAATAAAATCAAAAATGGAGAGAATACAAAAGCATATATACTTAAGTTTTCTAATAAAATGAACCTGTTACATGTAACGTGCGTATGCGTCTTTATTAGATTTATTGCCGTTTATCCAGAAGCTCATCTGTCACCAATGGTAATACAAACATCATACTTATCAGTGATTTACAATCGAACGAGCTCCCAGTTTTCCGAGCAAATAGAATTATGTCTCCTTTGCATGTAGTTCTTAAACTTTACTTCATATTGAGCGATAAACATAACACATTTGTCTACAAATAAACTTAACATATTGATAAATTTGCAAGTATTACGAATACTATAACAGCTTTGAGGTTGTACTTATCATTTGATACCAGGCCAAGAGAGTTATTACTTTACTCACAGATTTAATAACTTCGGTCGGCTTTTTATTAAGCTGTAATTTAATAAAATAAGTAGGGTTGAAGGACCAAGTTCCAACAACTTTTGTTTTTGCCGCCAATAATTTTTGGACTGCGGTTTCTTCTTTCGAATGGTGTTTAAGGAATGTAGACTATGCTTTATCTGATGATAAACATACAACGTGAATTTGGATTAGTTTGATTTAGTATATTAAGACTCTTAACATGAAGTTCAAATAAATTTAAAGCTTTAGCAAAGATCGCTTAGTTTTACTTAAATTGAAAGAAGATGCAGGCCTGATTTTGACAAATAAATACTGTGATGTATTATACAAACAAAAAAGCACGTAAGCCAAGGTCTCCCTATGACCTCTTTCCCAAAGGCAGTCAATAACTTTCACTAGAGAATGTGGTTAGAAAAAATAGTTCATCATCACCTCTGTACTGGTTTTTTTACAGCTAAACTCTTATTATTGTCCTTGTATTACAATTCATTATGATATTACTTTCCAGAACTTGAGATTTATACCTGACCAATAACTTGCCAATTGCAATCTATGTAGTTTTTAATTCCCAATAGAATATAGTGTTTACAATATAAGAAGCCTCTGATTAAACGTAATATTAACAGCAACAAGGCGAGCAAATTAAATGGGCTAACAAAGAGTAACCAATGACTTTTATTTCGAGCAGAATCGATTTTTTTATGGCTATTCAGTGTGTCTTTTAGATCTACTACAGTTTGTGAACCCTTTAAAAAAACCGATAATCTTGGTTAATTTATAAGGTAAAAAAGTAATATAGTGGTCGTATATTGAAGACTTATTTCTAGCAAGAATAATGAGTTATTCTTAGCAGGTTTCCTGTCTTTAATAAAACGGTAATCATTGAAGGAGGTGTATTGCTGGAGGTTAAAAAACTTTGATCATCGAACTTTTAGTGATCGCAAGGAAGATATAACGGTGCTTTTAAAACCCACCTTTCAGGGGTGCCAACAGACAGATACACAATTTTACACATTTATATTTTATTAAAAAATATATCAAATTATCACTGAGACGTATTATTTACCACTCTCATTTACCATTCTCATTTAACAGGCTCGTGTAGTCCTTGTGCTTTAACGAAGACGACTCATTTTTGAGAATTCATCGAAGCGTCTTTTCGCAAGAATGATAAGCTTACCGAAGTAACTTATTAAATTCGTGATCAAGCTCATGAAAGTAAGAGCGTTTTCCCTCAATACGAGGACAGCTAATTTCCCTTAAAGCCACGGGTGAAGTAGCACAATAATTGATCCATACTCTTGTCGACATAAAAACAATTGCTACGACCATAGGGGGTGGTAGTACCAACATAGCAGACATCGACTACAACCTGAAGCTGAATTGGGTCGCATTGTGCAAAAAAAAAAAAAAAAAAAAAAAAAAAAAACAGTCTCCTTAAATCGATCTGCCTCCAATATATTCATGCAGGCTGTTCGTGTCTTATCAGAGAAAATTAAATAAAATAGAGACATTTACCAGAAGATATTAGGTAGGTGTAATCAATTGAGCAAAGAAAACTTCGATTACACATCTATAACAACTTTGTTGAAAGGTTTATATTTTTTTTAACATCTTAACTGATTACATGCGACAATTTTGTAAACTAGACGGGACTTAGTATTGAGGTTGCTTGCAATATAAGCATTAGAACACCCGTTTTCTTAACATCGCAATATCCTTTCAAACTTAAACATGTAATTACAATTTTTATTTTTATTGATATCTTCTCTGATATTGCTGTGATTGACGCTGTTGCGGGTAAGAAGATGGACTGTTATTATAGTGACCATTATTTTGGTTTTGATGCATCATGGGACTAAATATATATAGTTGGTCAATTAACAATTTATTACGCGTATTATGTAGGACTTACTGCTGTGAGTTATTATCAAAGCCTCCTTGGGCTACTCTTGCAGATGCAATAACTGTTCTGGATGAATATCTAGGAACAACAGGTAGTGTTGCACTACTCTGTAATCTGGCGCGAACTACGCGACCTAATCAAACAAGATTTTTAATGAACCCCATCAAATAATAATAATAAAGAAAACAAGTCAATCATTTACCATCAGCGATGCCATTGTCCAGCTTGGATACGCATTCTTCGGCGGAGTTTGAGTAAACAAACTCGATCTCGGCTTCATTCAGTGGTCTACCCATTGGATCCACTAATATGTCACAGCTCAAAATTGGACCAAAAACACTGCATGCTTCCTTTTTGATTAACATGTTAGTAGTTGCCGTTCAGTTGATATTTCTCCCCAAAACTTACACCAACATCTTCGGCTGTTGCCCGAGGATCTAAATTACATATCAAGACGATATTTCTTTGAGCAGCGGTGTTATTATTTTGTCGAGGAGGATGAGGTTGGTATGACGGCGTATCGATATGCCCATTGTTATAAGGTAAACTATTATGGTGTTGATCTTGGTATCCAGGGTAAGGGCTTTGTGGTAATTGCTGGGTAGGGGGATAATTGTGTTGGACTGGTTGTCTTCGGCCCTGTTGACGGTTATCGTGAGGAATGGCGTTTTGAATAACAAAACCTTCTTCAGACTGTTGTCTATTCTTTGGTTGTGTTATTGATTTCGTAATGACTAGAGATTTAGGATCAATTAGAGTACGTCCAGGCTGGTTGTGTTCTTTTTGCTCGTGTTTCACAAACTGTCCTTCCTTTCTCGTTGAGGCGTTAGAATTTCTCTAAGGTGAAAATATAAGCACTCTTAACACTTGACACGAACAAGCTTATTTTACCCTTACCGCTATAGGGCCACCTCTTTTCACAGGACTAGAGCGGTGGGGTTTAGTGACACCACCACTTAATCGAGAATTGATGGCCTTTGAGGTTGCTCTGTCATCAGAACCCGCTCCCACTCTACGTTTACTCATAACAGGTGCTCCATTACCGCGACCGTTTTGAGTTCTACTGACAGGAGTTGAAACACGCTTATTGACATCATGTCGTCCACCTGATAGCCCTCCTCGTCCACCTTTTCTCATATCTACAACAGGGCGGTTCGTTGTCGATCTTCCGCTTTTCGTTTCACGTGTTTTTCCACGCTTAATAATATCATCTAAAGACCGATCCAAATCATTACTTCCTTTTGCCATTGAAACGTTATTTTTGTTTGCAGCAAAAAGAGGGAAAAATCGAAACAGATGCCCACATAAATAAAAAAAAAAGATCGTATCAGTCACGTGAGCAAAAGTCATGGCGTGGAGTCGCCTTCAAATAGACCATAATCACATCAATTGAGCGCTCACTCTATATCAATTCAAATATTCGTAGAAATACAGAATACTTGATTGTATACTACAAATATAACTCAAAAAAATTGTCTCGGTGGATGCTGTGAGGTAGAGAGAGAGCAGAACGACAACCGGACATTGAAACGTCAAATGATTTAATTAGACCTGGTTTTTTGGTTGGTGTGCCTCTTTATCTTTAAATACCACTTTTATAAAATAAAAAATGTCTACTCGCCATGCCAGAACAGCTGATAGAGCATCCAATGAAAAGTACGCTAAAGTTCTAAAAACTCTCTTACAAAAGACACCCAATAAATATTGTGCTGATTGCAAAAAGAAAGGTAAATTTACTTTTGATTTGTCCCCTTCTTTCCCTCAATTAACTTACCCGACTCTAATAATTAGACGCTCGTTGGGCTTCCTGGAATTTGGGCGTATTTGTCTGTATTCGCTGCTCTGGTATTCATCGTTCTCTTGGTGTTCACATCAGCAAAGGTATATACTTATATATACATACAGCAAATGTTAAAATTATTAACATGGTCTGAATTCATATATCTTTTCCTGCAGTCAAATCAGTTGATTTAGATACTTGGGTTCAAGACCAGGTTGAGAACATGGTTCGATGGGGAAACGAACGTGCAAACAAGTAAGCCTCCTTTGGTTACTATTTGATTTTTTGCTCTTGTATATTCATTTCATTCTGTAGGTATTGGGAAGCCAATCTCAAAGACAAAAAGCCTTCCGAAAGTAACATGGAAATGTGGATTCGTGCCAAATATGAACAAAAGAGATGGGCAATGAAAGGCCCCATTCCTGATCCCAGTACTCTTGGTGGGGACGATGAAGAAGTTACGCAGGTAAGGTACATATTTGAGTCGCAATGTTACACGTATTGACCACAACGTAGTCTCCCAGTATCTTAGCAACGTCGAATACTTCTTCAGCACGTCAATCACCCGCTCCACAAAGACAACAAATCGAGAAACCAAAGCCCAAGCAATCAGAGTTTGCAAATTTGGATGCATTTTTAGGTTCTCCCTCTTCTTCACCTGCAATTAGCCATCAATCTAAGCCTGTTGCTTCCCAACAACTTCAAGGCGCCGACTTCTTTTTTGGAACCGGCAGCAGTCCTTCTCCTGCTGCTGCTGCTGCTGCTGCTGTTGCTCCTGTGGCTGATGTTCAACAGAATCAGAACCAAAAGCATAATGATTTCAAATCATCCATCCTTTCTTTATATAACAACATGCCTGCTGCCAACTCGCCCTCTCAACAGTATAATGGAGGTTTCCAAAACCAGATGGTAGGTTTAAATTTGGGCGGTCAACCTCAACAGTATCAGCAACAACCTCAACAGTATCAACAACAACCCCAACAATACCAACAACAACTCAATAATAATAACAGTATGTGGGGATCCTTTGCCACTGCATCTCCTGTCCAACCTGTCCAACCCGTTCAACCTCAAGGAAGTCAGTTTTTTTCATCCAGTAATATCACACCCAAGAAACCCGAAAGAGAGTAAGTTTCAGACAATATTTATTGATGGCCCATTTTTTATCTAATTTTGATCCACCTACAGTGCTTTTGCAGATCTTTTAGGTTAATTCCTCATATAGATTATTCTTTTATAGACAAATAAACATATTACTACGCATGTTATTTCTTTTTTTTATTTTTTCGATTCATGTGTTGATCGCTTGTATTAGATGCAGATTCGTTATACACTATTTTCGGAAAATGAACGTATTTTTTTTTAGTTGTGAACGAATTTTTTATTTACATTTTGATCTGAAAATAGTGTAATACGTAGGATTAACAATCAGCTAGATTTTTAAAAATATTATGCCATAAACCAGTATAATTTAAACCTTAGCAACTGTTGCGAAAGCCCCGAACCTTTCAACACTGCGTGGCGTAATGCAGTTTAAAGACCTGCATAGCAATTAAAGTAGAATCAGCCAGTTGGAAAGAATGTCTGGCCGAAATAAATGAAGTCTATGCGTATGGCTGAAGAATCATTAATTCCAGTAAGTAGCAATAGATCTTACCCTTAAAAAGCTAAAGCAAAAAAAAAACATTTCGTCTCGTTTTTATCAGTAAATATTACTGTCGCTTTGCCTGTACTCACAAGTATAGACATGGATCGTTAAAAAAAAATGGGAAAAAGGTTGGCTGCAAGTGTACTCTTTGTATTAGAAGTTCTTATGGCTATCCTGAGGTCTATGAGATCTTTATAAAAAAATATTGTACTAACTATGTTTTTGGGATGATATTCGCACTTTTTCTATCGCAAGAGACCGTTTACATAAAATTTTGCACCAACTCAAGCATTCCTCGAAAACTCCTTGTCAAATTAAAATTGATATGTTGAAGGCAGCCGACACTTACGTTCACAAATCTCATTGTAAGGTCAACTACCAATATGTTTGGAGTACTATAAATAATAGTTGTGTAAATAAAGCCATGTTCACTCTTAATTTATCAAATGTTTGATTTTTGTGCGATGCTGCCTTTATATCAAATTTTATACATAAGATGCTTATTGTTTCTTTGGGAATTTTTTTTTCTGGCTCCAGAACCCCCGAGGCAATTGAGCTCAAAGGGAAAGTTGTTGGTCTATATCCCCTGTCTTTTACTCGAACGATGGAGATCATCGACGGCAGGAGAATGTGTTAATGCGTTATGCATGAGCATATCCATCTCCTGATAGTATTTTCTCAAGAAGTAAAATGAGCCATATCAATAGCCTCGAGCTTTAATTTTTGCGGGGAAGGCGAGAGTCTTTACCGAGAAGACATCAGTATCAGACATGGTAAGGCACAAATCATCTGGTATTTAAAAATTTACAATCCCTTAGTTTGATTAAGACCAAGGGGTGTAGCAAAAAAAAAAAAAAAAAAAAAAAAAAAAAAAAAAAAAAAAAAAAGAAACTACACACCACGGCCGTTCAATGTAGTATGTTGCATATTAATATGTGCCTACTGGTACCAACTGTAATCGAAGTACATAATTTAAGGAGGAAATCCCCATGTAAAGGCAATAATTTGATCTGGCACTCAAGATGCATAAAAAATGATTTTTGAAAGTCAGAGTAAAGGGGGTTGGGGAGATGAATTTTTATTTTAACAGCATCCTCCGTTCGTATTAGTCTTTACGGGCGAGCTATCAAGCTTAACCTCTTCTCTTTGACGAGTTTGCTGAGCTTGTTGTGTATCGATTAACCTCTTTTTAATATCCCTACAAAAGAATATGATCAGAACGTATACCATAAACAATGATCATCTTTTTACCTAGCCAAGTCGAAAAATGCCTCCTCAACGCCTATATTAGCTTTGGCACTAGTTTCCATGAATCGAATATTTAATTCGTCTGCCAAAGTTTGGCCTTGTTCAGCGGAAATAACCTGAATAATAATAACAAAAAAAAAGGTTAAATATTTTTTTTAAGGTACGTCATCCTTAAAGTGTTTACCCGCTTATCTTCAACATCACATTTGTTACCAATAAGAATCTTGTTGACACCTTCACTAGCATGTTGTTCAATGTTAGAGAACCAATTTCTCACATCTATAGTTTTTTTTTTAAAAAAAAAGAAAAGGTCAATCTCTGCATTATTAAAAGAAGTACTTGATTTTTACTTGAAAAGGATTTCTCGTCTGTAACGTCATAGACCAGCAAAATACCCATAGCACCACGGTAATAAGCTAGTCAAAAAGAAAAGATTAGCATAAATAATATGTGCATCTAGTTTCCTTACCCGTAGTGATGGTACGGAATCTTTCTTGACCAGCTGTATCCCAAATTTGTAACTTTATACGCTTTCCATCCAATTCAATAGTTCTAATTTTAAAATCAATACCAATGGTTGTAATGAAAGAAGGGGTAAAGGAATCGTCAGAGAAACGAAGTAATAAACAACTCTTTCCGACACCTACAAGGCTTGAGTGAGTACATGGTAAGTGCTACAAAAAAAAAAAGATGTGTTTTACCTGAGTCACCAATTAACAATAATTTAATGAGATAATCATAGGAAGCACTTTTTGCTGTAGCCATCTTGCAATGGAGAAAAAAAAAAGGATAAAATATAATGTTCACTGCGTTTACCCTCATTGAAATCATACTGATCGGGCTTTGGAACACCTTTCCGTTTAAGACTCAGCCTTTCGCGGGTTCCGGTTTATCTATGAAAGAGCATATAAAGCTTCGCTTGTACAAGTGTTATCTACGTCAACTAACATTCACTTTCAATCATATGAGTTTTTATTTTCTAATTAGAATTTTTTTTGGAAACATAGATACTACCATTGAGGATAAGTTTCTGATATGGTTTACAATAGCTTATAATGGGTTTATAGCCAGTCCTATAAATATGCCCAGACAATCCCACTTCTCGGTACCCTTTGATGAAGACTGTTATTATTAAAACCACAATTTACAACTGTAATAATAGTGGTAAGCCTGAAAAAAAAAATAAAAAGCTATTGTATAGTACTGACCTCTCTGAAGCTAACTGTCTGTTTAAATCGGTCATCTTACTATACATCTTGTCTAATTATGAAGTAGATACCACATGAAATATTCTACTTTTAGCGAGGTTTATATCCATGAATTTTTGTCTTGATAGCATTTTTCAGAGTTTATCTATCAGTCATTACTTAAGCAACAAAACGTAGCCCTCTCCTTGTGGCAAATAATTATTGGAATATCACAGAAACTGCCCCGTATAGGACTATCGAACCTTAAAAGAGCAAAAAATGTAAATTCATAGCATTTCCAGAATAAAAATATGGTAGCTCTAAGGAAGAGAAAATTTGTGCTTGCTGAAGAATTATACATTAAAATTATTTGCGGTAAAGCACTGCAGTGACATTACATTCTGTTTTGCACCACTTTGGGAACTGCCACAGCCGATGAAATCATTGGTTGTGGCACATCATATCACTCTGATGACAGCCAAAAGTCGGAAGATTACCACCCACAAAGATCAAGGAACTACACCGTTGACAAAATCTGTGAAGACCCTGGATCCGTAAGTTATAATATCGCTTTAAGACATCCATAATTATTCACATATTCTTTTGCTATAGCCGCAAGATTCGATTCTGATGAGTCAACTGAGAGAGTTTAGTCATCGCTCCGTCGAGTTAAGCAAGACTGACGTGAATCAAATTTCGGACCTACGTCTTCTGTAAATATAAACTGAAGACCCGTCCTAAATATATTAACGTTTTTTTTTTCGTTACCTGCTAATAGTTCTTTAGACTTTATCTATCTCTTTTCAGAGGACAGAAGGCCATCTTTCACACATTTCTGAGTTTGCTTGTAACAGGCCAAAAGATATTGATCCAGTCACTTTTAACTGGTGTATAAAACTTGCCAATGTAATATCTTCATTCAAGTGAATCATTTTTGTATACTAAAGTTAACTGATTAGTTCCGCTTCAACGACAACAACAACAAATGGATGGATCTACAAAAGACCACCATTGCTATGTTAAACAAGGCAATTACAAGTTATGATAAGCAAGTTGTACAAGTCGCCAATTTGCTTCACACAATGTCAGTACCTATTTTTCCCTCCACCTCAGGTCATTGTCATACAGATACTCAAGCTGTTTTTTTTATTTTAATTGTGGAGCACCGCGATTACTTATCGACCCAAACGAATCCAAAGTTGAGGGCACACACATCCATAATTTTGTGTCTTACATCACTAAACTGATATTTGGAATTGAAGACATCCTGAAGCATGAGTGGTAAATTTTAACTCGGCAACTCAATCAACGTCAAGTTAAATAATTTACTTGTAGGACAAACAGTAGGGTTGCATGGCGAACAGACCGGAAACTTCAAGCCTGATTACGTGGCATACGTCAGAACAAGGAGCACACGCCATGATGGAAATGTCTAGAACTCCGTATTATTTTTCAAACTATTTTATTAAATAAATTTATTTTTTTGAATCACGCGATGGTCTACACGTCGATTGACATGCCATATCATCTAAACTTCATGGGATGATCGATTTCTGTTTGCCATAAAATCTGCTTCACTGTCATTACAAGGTACTACTGAAACACATATAGACAATTACCAAGCTCTGACTTGCTTGGGAGGTTTTCGCAAGTGTTTCTATTTTAAGTAAAGGCTCAAACATTATGGATGATAAAATAGACAAATGAAATCATCCTGACATAAGCTTGTTTATCTATAAATAAAGCTGGTTCACACACTTTATTCTCCTTTTCTTTTCCCTTAACATACTTCTTTTATCGTATGAAAGTAACCGATCACATAAAAAGGTTAGTTAGTAATGACTCTTGTTTCTTTGAAAAGAAGCTAAATCGAAAAAAGATATATTGTGATATTGCGGCTGCGGCTAGTCTTTGCTATAGGAGGGCGACCTCCTAGGGAGGGTTCTTGAGTTTTTGGAACTCACGAACTGTGAATTGCTGGGATTGGACTGTAAATAGGTGCAATCATACTGGCTTGCTGGTCTTGGCCGGAGTTCCTGTATGTGGTATGAAAAAAATACGTTTGAAAAAAATACGGAGGTCTAGACATTTCCGGTTATAACACCGATGTCTTACTGATGACATTATAGTCGCGAACCATCGTGTTTGTTTAGTTGAACCGACGTAATCGGGCGAATGTTTCACTCTTTTTACACGGTTGATTTTTGTCTATTTTTACTGCAGTTATGAAGGGCCCTAAAACCTTTAACGTCGAAAATGACTTTTGTTTTACGAGTATAACCTTCCAACTTTTTTCATATATTTAAAGGCCTCATCCTGGCTGGAGGAAGAAATATTGGCTGAAAAGATTGTAAGCTCAAACTCGTGTGTTGTTCAAGACGCAGAAACTGGATTAAGCGTCATTACTCAAGGATTTAAAAAATTACAAAACATCGAAGAGCTTTCGGACTCTTTAACTGACTTTTCAAAGCATGTGTTGACCCACTACAAAAGACCAGCAGTAAAAAAACGCTTCCAATATCATTTTGAAACTACCTTTGACCACTATTCCGTACGAAGCTCAAAAATACAAGCTACGAACAGCCTTCTTAAAGAAAGCTATCGTATCCATACCAGTTTGGGAACTGTCACGGCAGACGAAACCATTGGTTGTGGAAAATCTTATCACTCTGAGGACAGCCAGAAGTCGGAAGATTACCATCCACAAAGAACAAGGAATTACACCGTCGACAAAATCTGTAAAGACCCTGGATCCGTAAGTTATAATATCACTTTAAGGCATCCATAACTATTCACATATTCTCTATCTCCTTACAATTTTAATCATGATAATAGGGCAGAAGATCGAGTGGACCGTCGCTAGCACAAGGCCATGCGATCCGCTAAATTATTATGAATCACTAAGGAAAATTGGTTTTACCCAGCGTTGGTTCTATCTAATAAGTGCACCCTTTCGTAAGTCGAGGCTTTTTTGAATGTATTAGCTCCAGAATTACCACGGTTATTCAAGTAGTAAAAGAATATGTGACGTAGATCATAATTGATTTAATGTGCCATTCGCAGTTTCACGATATAAATTTATTTATACTTAGACATGCATGGCTTAATCTTTTGTAGACACATGATTTACCTATGATGACATAGCTGAGACATTTCAGGCGCTGCCCAGCCGAGCTAGTCAAGACCGGCTATATTCAAGATTTGAACTTGGGTCTTTCTGCCCCCGTTTTTATAACGTGGACATATCAAAACGGTCTTTCTGAAAGGTTTTTTTGTAAATATAAATTGAAACCCCAGCCTAAAAGATATTAACGGTTTTTCTTTTTACTTGACAATAGTTCGTTAGACTGTGTTTATCTCTTTTCGGAGAAGATTAATAAGTCGGTGGACAAGTATTTGGGAACAGAAGGCCATCTTTCACACATTTCTGAGTTTGCTTGTGACAGGCCAAAAGATATTGATCCAGTCACTTTTAACTGGTGTATGAAACTTGCCAATGTAATATCTTTATTCAAGTGAATCATTTTTGTATACTAAAGTTAACTGATTAGTTCCGCTTCAACGACAACAACAATAAATGGATGGAGCTACAAAAGACCACCATTGCTATGTTAAACGAGGCAATTACAAATTATGATAAGCCAGTTGCCCAAGTCGCCAATTTGCTTCACACAGTGTCAGTACCTATTTTTCCCTCCACCTCAGGTCATTGTCACACAGATACTCAAGCTTTTTTTAATTTTAATTGTAGAGCACCGCGATTACTTATCAACCCAAACGAATCCAAAGTTGAGGACACACACATCCATAATTTTGTGTCGTACATCATCAAACTGGTATTTGGAATTGAAGACATCCTGAAGCATGAGTGGTAAATATTAACTCGGCAACTCAATCAACGTCAAGTTAAATAATTTACTTGTAGGGCAAACGGTAGGTTGCATAGTGAAAAGACCGGAAAGTTCAAGCCTGATTACGTGGCATACGTCAGAACAAGGAGCACACGCCATGATCTTACCATAGCTGAAGTCAAGCCTACTGAATCCAGTTCTCGTAAGCCGCCATCTGATTTGGTGAAGTTAGGTCAACAGATGAAATTGATGCTGAACAACCTCGTAAGCTACAAGATTCCTAACCCTGTAGTATGTGGAATTCTGGTTGAAGGTAAATGAATACTTTTAAGGGCCTTTAGATATTTTATTTTTTATTTATTTTGATCGCTATAGGAAAAAAGTGCTCATTGTATAAAATGGATATTGTTGGACCAGCTTTCTATCGTATGGTACATGTTGTTTCGTTCTCATTGTGCACCAACAAATCTGAAGTAAGCTTGATTCCAAATATGTTTATGTGGATGTCGTGTTTAAAGGTAACATTGGTTGAGGCTTTCATCTCACTTTAAATCTAAAAATGAGTTTTAAAAGGATATCACAATCGAAACAGCCAAGCAGATAGAACAAACTGAAATAGCAAGGGCGAAAGGTAAAGGAAAAAGAAAGCTTGATGATTTTATTCCGGAGTCGTGGGTTCGAAGGGGTTCTTGTGCTTATAAGTACAGTAAAACCATACAATGATTAGTTGGAATAATAAAAAATGAATAAATACGTATCACGTTAATAGGCATAGACTATTTTCTGGATGTGTATAGACGTAAAAGATTTCTGTAAGTTTGATAAGATTGACAGGTTACACTAAAGGCAATAAAAACATGGTACTATGGAACCAATTTTTTTGAAGACGAGTTTTCATATCCTGACAATAAAGGCTTACCCATCTGATTATACCTTACCCGACTAAAAGTGACATCGTCTAATAATATTTAACTACCAAGTTCTCTTTTTAATGTTTTAGAATACAAGGAACAGAAATGGTAATTGTTGATAGTAGTGGTAGAGTCCTTTACAGTAGGAAGAAGATTATAGCAATTAAGTGCTTAGGATCGAACTTTTTTATTAGCAGATAGTGGACATATAGCAAGCAATTCGGAACCATGTTGCATCATTTGCATAACTTGTTCTGTAATTGAATAGGCCTTATACCCATAGGTGGGGACTATTTTTTAAAAATGATTTGATTCTTTTTTTTTTCTTTTTGGTGCCTTGTGGCACCCAAAAAAAAAATCTGTATTTGGGTGGATTATACTCTTTTGAAGCCATGATGTTAATTTTTAATGATGGGTTTCGCATAAAATTTATTGTTTTATTGAAACTGACAAACTGATATTTTGTACCTCCCAGAACAGTTGTCTTTTAGGCATATGCCACATCTATTGACACAGTACTTAGATCTTGATCGACCAGTGCAAGAAGATGAGTCTTTACAAACGAAGCAAATCCTGTTTGATCTTTTTGGCTTTTTAATGACGGGATTTGCGTTTTCTGTGCTGATGGATGGTGGGGGGGGGGACAAGAGGTAAGAGCAGAGGAGATAAACTCGGCGTTAAAACTGGCAAACATTTAGGAGCCAATGGAGCTGGTCCTAGCACCTGATTATTCTGTTTTGCCAGTTGTTTAGTTGGTCTTTTGGATACACCGACTTGCTGCAGATTCAGGAATTCTTTTTGGTCGTCCCAAAACGTTTCTAATACTTCGGCAGATGTTTTGATTGAGCGCAATTGAATTTTTAAAAACACTGGCCTCAACTCGTTTGTTAAAGCAAATTTTGATATGCTCTGGTGTCTTATAGTAAATGTCCTTACCATCAGCAAATGAAGACCAAAGTTTCGCAAATACCTCGAAGTCTGGAGTAACACTATCTCTATTCAAAAAAAAGCTCCTTCTTTTTGTTAATCAGTAGCTTTTTATACAATAATACTTCTTCTTTGGCATGAATGGGTACTACTGCATGTAATGTATGTTGTCTTCGTGCTAAGTAACGGTACAAAAAGTTGCGAGCTGAATAACCTTCTTTTCTAAAATTTATGATTGGCAAAAAACTTAGCTAAAGCATCTTTGTTGTTATCGCATTGGTTGAAAGTTGTTGTTGAGATAACTCATCCCCTTTACCTGACCGCATTTTATGAGCATCAATAAATGGAGATTCAAGCGCTATTATACCAAAAGTTTCGACATATTTTCCAACAAAATCGGTGGAAAGTTTTTTGATATGATGTAACGAGTAATTCCTAGCGGAACGGTGACCAGCATCCAATCTTATCATATTAATGCATTGGGTAATTTATAGACTATAATGAATTTTGTGAATTACACCTTCTCAATTTCTTGTACCAGCCTAAACAAAAATAAATTAAAAAAATTAGCATACATCTAGCAATTAAAGTGCTTCGATGTTATAATACAGTCGAAAGTCTGCAAGAACTGAATCGGCAAGACGCGGACCAAAGTTGATGGATGATAATTTTTGTATGATGTTTTGGTGGTATCCTTCTACGGAGCTGGTAACTCGTAGCATGTATATTTCATTAACTCATTATTATCTTCACCAACTTCTCTGTACAATGGAGGGCCATCAATCGAATCATAAACATGACCCAACTCAATGGATCTTAAAATATTTTTGGATATTCTTATAGATTCCTTGTCGAAGAGCGGAAATCCTGTCTTGGCACATGGTAAAGGCCCATACTGATCAAAGAGAAGCTTAACAGCAGGTAATAGTTGGTTCGGCGGAGGAGTTCTTCATTTGACTCGCTTTAGAATAAAATTTGGATGACTTGCCATCTATGCATGCATTGAAATCAGTGTTGATAGTTTTCAAATAGTTTTCCATATTTTTTTTTGTCTACTGGATCGTAAACAAATAAAGCATCTCTAAAACGCTGGTAAAGCTCTCTATACATACCATGCTTTTGTGATAATGGGAGCATATCCATCAAGTGGAATACATCTTTCAAAACTCGAGATGGTACTGACAATTGATCTGCAGAAGTTTCATTGATCGGAGTGAGCAGGGATATCGGGTGGGTTGTTGCGTTTTTTGAGGTTGATAACTGGAGCTTCGACGCAGTTCGTAACAAATTCCAATCCACAAAAACATGAAACGGGGTTGATCCGAAATCTTGCAAACATACTGGCATAGCTTAGTGAGACGTAGGCATACTTTGTTGATTCAGTTCGTAATTTGGAACTATTGTACCAGGTATCTTAACTTGCATGATTTTGACGGGAGCTTACAGACTCTCATCTAATATAGCTCTATTTTTTTCTAGATATGTCTTTGTTGTAGGATGAAGTACGCTCATATCCTGTGGTAAATCCTCTAAATAGTCAAACGTACATGGAAAGACCTTGTATGAATTTGTATACAGCGAAACAAGCGTGTTTTTTGCTGTTGATGGGCTGAAGGACAATCAATTAAGCTCTCAAAAATAGCTATGCTTACATAAGCATCTTATGCGGCATACTTGATTTGACCTTATGTGAGCTGAGCAGCATTCCAGTTTCCACACCTGATGTCAGTTAGTTTAGGTAATGATGCCTTTAAAACTACAGCACAAATTTTGGCTAAAGAGAAAGATCTTTATTCTATGATTCCTTTTTCCTTGCACTGTCTTTAACACCAGTTGTATTAAACTGAGGCTGAAAGTCCAATATCTTAACAATATTTTTGAGAGCATAATATCTGCATGATTTATACATGTTCGGTGCTTGTAGAGGCTTCAGATTGCACGAATTCGTCCAAAGACTTAGCAAAAAAAAATTGTCAAGGTGGATTGGTTATCGATCTGTTTACATTTACGACCAGCAATTTGTCCATTTAGACGCCCCCTTTTTATATTAGTGGCAATTCTAGTAATGTTTTGAGACTTATTACGATGGTTTGACATCTTTAATTATAATAAATAGTAAGCCAGAAAAAAGAATATTGTTGTGTCCAGTTCCAACTCATAACTTATCTGATTCTCAATGCATTTGAACCCATATCATTGTGACGCCCAAATGGCCGTTGTCGTGGGCCCTTTCCTCCTTTCATATGAACAAGAAACAATTTACATATGTAACTAAATTATGGATCACATCAGATATTTGATTGCTGCAGGGCTAATCTTCTATGTTTGGAAGCCGCTTACACTATTTGAAGCAAATCTATAGGCTAGTTTTTCAAAAAAAAAAAATTGAGTTTTTATTGGCTCTACAGTTCCCTCCCACAAAGCTTAAGGCCCATTTCTCAGGTTACTAGACTCGTAATATGCAGGCTGTCTGAATATCCTTAGTATGATTATCCACTTTGTTACTATGAGCCATAATATCCTCAATTTACCTAGTGTTTGAAGCCCTCACTGTATAGCGATGGTTAGCTACTACCATAATATCAGCTGTCATCCACCGCATTTCTCTTTTATATATTATACTTCTGTAGTTGAGATATCTGACTTTAACCTATAACAATAGATGAAACAACAAGAAAAGTATGTTTATAACAGAGCAATTAACTACTTACTTTTTTTATATTCCCTACAACTAGAAACTCGCATCAATTCGAGTGAACGCCACCCATAATGTGTAAGCTCGTAGCCTCCCACACTTAGAATGTGATGCTGTCTTCCTACCATACGCAACTAATGACCTATGGCCCCCCCCTCTTCACCAAAAAAGTTAAGAGGCTCGTTCACAGGGCAGTTCATGTCGTTAAACCTAAGGATTTAATGGAAGGTTGAATCTAGTTGTAGCGAGACGCTCGCATCAATTCGAGTGAACGCCACCCATAATGTGTAAGCTCGTAGCCTCCCACACTTAGAATGTGATGCTGTCTTCCTACCATACGCAACTAATGACCTATGGCCCCCCCCTCTTCACCAAAAAAGTAAAGAGGCTCGTTCACAGGGCAGTTCACATCGTTAAACCTAAGGATTTAATGGAAGAGTGCGTGACGAAACTTTGTGCATGAATTTTTTTTAGATATTTTAAACCCTTGGTTGTAACACCGATGTCTTACTGATGACGTAATAGTCGCGAACTATCGTGTTGGTTTAGTTGAATCGACATAATCGGGCGAATGTTTCACTCTTTTTACACGGTTGTTTTTTTGTCTATTTTTACTGCAGTTATGAAGGGCCCTAAATCCTTTAATGTCGAAAATGACTTTTGTTTTACTAAGGAAGATTGTTACGAGTATAACCTTCCAACTTTTTTCATATCTTTAAAAGCCTCATCCTGGCTGGAGGAAGAAATATTGGCTGAAAAGATTGTAAGCTTAAACTCGTGTGTTATTCAAGACGCAGAAACTGGATTAAGCGTCATTACTCAAGGATTTACAAAATTACAAAACATCGACGAGCTTCCGGACTCTTTAACTGACTTTGCAAAGCATGTATTGACCCACTACAAAAGACCAGCAGTAAAAAAACGCTTCCAACATCATTTTGAAACTACCTTTGACCACTATTCCGTACAGAACTCAAAAATACAAGCTACGAACAGCCTTCTTAAAGAAAGCTATCGTATCCATACCAGTTTGGGAACTGTCACGGCAGACGAAATCATCGGTTGTGGCACATCATATCACTCTGATGACAGCCAAAAGTCGGAAGATTACCACCCACAAAGATCAAGGAACTACACTGTTGACAAAATCTGTGAAGACCCTGGATCCGTAAGTTATAATATCGCTTTAAGGCATCCATAATTATTCACATATTCTTTTGCTATAGCCGCAAGATTCGATTCTGATGAGTCAACTGAGAGAGTTTAGGCATCGCTCAGTCGAGTTAAGCAAGATTGACGTGAATCAGATTTCGGACCTACGTCTTCTGTAAATATAAACTGAAGACCCGACCTAAATATATTAACGTTTTTTTTTCCTTACTTGCTAATAGTTCTTTAGACTTTATCTATCTTTTTTCAGAGGAGATTGATAAGTCGGTGACCAAGTATTTGGGGACAGAAGGCCACCTTTCACACGTTCCTGAGTTTGCTTGTGACAGGCCGAAAGATATTGATCCAGTCACTTTTAACTGGTGTATGAAACTTGCCAATGTAATATCTTTATTCAAGTGAATCATTTTTGTATACTAAAGTTAACTGATTAGTTCCGCTTCAACGACAACAACAATAAATGGATGGAGCTACAAAAGACCACCATTGCTATGTTAAACGAGGCAATTACAAATTATGATAAGCCAGTTGTCCAAGTCGCCAATTTGCTTCACACAGTGTCAGTACCTATTTTTCCCTCCACCTCAGGTCATTGTCACACAGATACTCAAGCTTTTTTTAATTTTAATTGTAGAGCACCGCGATTACTTATCAACCCAAACGAATCCAAAGTTGAGGACACACACATCCATAATTTTGTGTCGTACATCATCAAACTGGTATTTGGAATTGAAGACATCCTGAAGCATGAGTGGTAAATATTAACTCGGCAACTCAATCAACGTCAAGTTAAATAATTTACTTGTAGGGCAAACGGTAGGTTGCACAGTGAAAAGACCGGAAAGTTCAAGCCTGATTACGTGGCATACGTCAGAACAAGGAGCACACGCCATGATCTTACCATAGCTGAAGTCAAGCCTACTGAATCCAGTTCTCGTAAGCCGCCATCTGATTTGGTGAAGTTAGGTCAACAGATGAAATTGATGCTGAACAACCTCGTAAGCTACAAGATTCCTAACCCTGTAGTATGTGGAATTCTGGTTGAAGGTAAATGAATACTTTTAAGGGCCTTTAGATATTTTATTTTTTATTTATTTTGATCGCTATAGGAAAAAAGTGCTCATTGTATAAAATGGATATTGTTGGACCAGCTTTCTATCGTATGGTACATGTTGTTTCGTTCTCATTGTGCACCAACAAATCTGAAGTAAGCTTGATTCCAAATATGTTTATGTGGATGTCGTGTTTAAAGGTAACATTGGTTGAGGCTTTCATCTCACTTTAAATCTAAAAATGAGTTTTAAAAGGATATCACAATCGAAACAGCCAAGCAGATAGAACAAACTGAAATAGCAAGGGCGAAAGGTAAAGGAAAAAGAAAGCTTGATGATTTTATTCCGGAGTCGTGGGTTCGAAGGGGTTCTTGTGCTTATAAGTACAGTAAAACCATACAATGATTAGTTGGAATAATAAAAAATGAATAAATACGTATCACGTTAATAGGCATAGACTATTTTCTGGATGTGTATAGACGTAAAAGATTTCTGTAAGTTTGATAAGATTGGCAGGTCACACTGAGGGCAATAAAAACATGGTACTATGGAACCGATTTTATAAACACTGGATTTCATATCCTGATAAAAAAGGCTTACCCCTCTAATTATACCTTACCCGACTAAAAGTGACATCGTCAAATAATATATAACTATTAAGTACTTTTTTAATGTTTTAGAATACAGAAGGGGCGATGGTTGACAGCAGTGGTACAGTCCTTTAAAGTGGGAAGAAGATTATAGCAATTAAGTGCTTTGGACCGAGCTTTTGTATTAGCAGGCAATGAACGTACTCAGGTACTGAATTCATTCAAGCTTGGCCATTAGTGAGTAAAATCGGTACTCAGGTACTGAAATCATTCAATCATGGCCATGGGTGAAAAAAAAAACGGTACTGAGGTACTGAAATCATTCAAGCTTGGCCATTAATGAGTAAAATCGGTACTCAGGTACTGAAATCATTCAAGCGTGGCCATGGGTGAAAGAAACGGTACTGAGGTACTGAAATCTTTTCAAGCGTAGCCATGGGTGAAAAAACGGTATTCAGGTACTGAATTCATTCAAGCGTGGCCATGGGTGAAAGAAACGGTACTGAGGTACTGAAATCATTTCAAGCGTAGCCATGGGTGAAAAAAACGGTACTCAGGTACTGAATTTATTCAAGCGTAGCCATGGGTAAAAAAAAACGGTACTCAGGTACTGAATTCATTCAAGCGTGGCCATTAGTGAGTAAAATCGGTACTCAGGTACTGAAATCATTCAATCATGGCCATGGGTGAAAAAAAAAACGGTACTGAGGTACTGAAATCATTCAAGCTTGGCCATTAGTGAGTAAAATCGGTACTCAGGTACTGAAATCATTCAAGCGTGGCCATGGGTGAAAGAAACGGTACTGAGGTACTGAAATCTTTTCAAGCGTAGCCATGGGTGAAAAAAAAACGGTACTGAGGTACTGAAATCATTCAAGCTTGGCCATTAGTGAGTAAAATCGGTACTCAGGTACTGAAATCATTCAAGCGTGGCCATGGGTGAAAGAAACGGTACTGAGGTACTGAAATCTTTTCAAGCGTAGCCATGGGTGAAAAAACGGTACTCAGGTACTGAATTCATTCAAGCGTGGCCATTAGTGAGTAAAATCGGTACTCAGGTACTGAAATCATTCAATCATGGCCATGGGTGAAAAAAAAAAACGGTACTGAGGTACTGAAATCATTCAAGCTTGGCCATTAGTGAGTAAAATCGGTACTGATGTACTGAATTCATTCAAGCGTGGCCATTAGTGAGTAAAATCGGTACTCAGGTACTGAAATCATTCAATCATGGCCATGGGTGAAAAAAACGGTACTCAGGTATTGAATTCATTCAAGCGTGGCCATTAGTGAGTAAAATCGGTACTCAGGTACTGAAATCATTCAATCATGGCCATGGGTGAAAAAAACGGTACTCATGTACTGAATTCATTCAAGCGTAGCCATGGGTGAAAAAAAAACGGTACTGAGGTACTGAAATCATTCAAGCTTGGCCATTAGTGAGTAAAATCGGTACTCAGGTACTGAAATCATTCAAGCGTGGCCATGGGTGAAAGAAACGGTACTGAGGTACTGAAATCTTTTCAAGCGTAGCCATGGGTGAAAAAACGGTACTCAGGTACTGAATTCATTCAAGCGTGGCCATTAGTGAGTAAAATCGGTACTCAGGTACTGAAATCATTCAATCATGGCCATGGGTGAAAAAAAAAAACGGTACTGAGGTACTGAAATCATTCAAGCTTGGCCATTAGTGAGTAAAATCGGTACTCAGGTACTGAAATCATTCAAGCGTGGCCATGGGTGAAAGAAACGGTACTGAGGTACTGAAATCTTTTCAAGCGTAGCCATGGGTGAAAAAAAAACGGTACTGAGGTACTGAAATCATTCAAGCTTGGCCATTAGTGAGTAAAATCGGTACTCAGGTACTGAAATCATTCAATCATGGCCATGGGTGAAAAAAACGGTACTCAGGTATTGAATTCATTCAAGCGTGGCCATTAGTGAGTAAAATCGGTACTCAGGTACTGAAATCATTCAATCATGGCCATGGGTGAAAAAAACGGTACTCATGTACTGAATTCATTCAAGCGTAGCCATGGGTGAAAAAAAAACGGTACTGAGGTACTGAAATCATTCAAGCTTGGCCATTAGTGAGTAAAATCGGTACTCAGGTACTGAAATCATTCAATCATGGCCATGGGTGAAAAAAACGGTACTCAGGTATTGAATTCATTCAAGCGTGGCCATTAGTGAGTAAAATCGGTACTCAGGTACTGAAATCATTCAATCATGGCCATGGGTGAAAGAAACGGTACTGAGGTACTGAAATATTTTCAAGCGTGGCCATGGGTGAAAAAAACGGTACTCAGGTACTGAATTCATTCAAGCTTGGCCATTAGTGAGTAAAATCGGTACTCAGGTACTGAAATCATTCAAGTATAGCCATTAGTGAGTAAAACCGGTACTCAGGTACTGAATTCATTCAAGCGTAGCCATGGGTGAAAAAAACGGTACTCGGGTACTGATTTCATTCAAGCGTGGCCATGAGTTTATAAAATCGGTATTGAGGTATTGATTTCGTTCAAGTGTGGCTATGAATGTGTAAAATCGTTACTCAGGTACTGATTTCGTTTTAGCGTAGACATGAGTGTGTAAAATCGGTAGAGCAAGCAATTCGAAACCATGTTGCATGTTTTGCATAACTTGTTCTGTGATTGAATATAATTTAAAACCCACGTGCAATAAGGCTTTGTAAAACGGAACGGTTATGACGCAAGTTGTTATTGTCATGCAAAATCAGTCGTACCGGCCGATCCTAATTAAGGAAGATGCACCAGTTATATGTATTGACTAGGATACCCCGTATTATACCGGCTGATATCTATGTGAATGTGGAAAAAGGTGCACAGTTACATAATTATCAGTCCAAAAACCTCAAATATGTGAGATTACACTGACACAGGTCCCGGATATCAGGGATTCAGGCATGTATCACTACAAGTACGATGCATGTCAACGTGTGAAGTGCTCAGACACGATCCCCAAGAACGATTCCCCGGACTATCAATAGGGTATACTTAATCATGTCTTCAGTTACTTTTAGCGCTTTTGGTAAAAATATGGGTTGTAATTGGAGACAAACATATAATGTATACGATAAAATTTGGTGAACTGCATAGATTGATTACTGTCTAACAGTAAGATAGGGAATCACCTATCCGCGCCAAGAAAAAAAACCCTGATGTGCTTGTAGCTCGAAGAGAATGTAAATCAGTGTGTGTGTGGTTATTAGAATCAACTTGTACATTGCCATTTTAAAACCTGAAATAAACAACTTTAATTTTTTAGATTTAGAATATGATGCAATAACGTTAGTTTTGGCAATAACTTATAGATAAAGGAACGGAAAGATCTTACTACAAGCAGTAAGGCGTCCAAACAAAGGCTTGTAAAAGAAAAGTTGTTATTGGCTTTGCTTCGGCTTAGAAATAGTCGGCTTACCTGAAATAAGACGCCATTGTTATTTTTGTGGCTGATCTAACATTATGTATAAAAGCTAATAGTTTTTTTTTAGTTTTTTATTTTTATAGTTCGATAGTTGAACAATTTTTTGATATCATCAAGCAATGTCTGCTGAACCTTCTTTCACGTCTTCTATAGCTGTATCCCAATCTTCTATCTCGCGCACTGCTTCTGGAGTATCCTCTACTGCCGATGCTTCTGTCGCGTCTAGTATAATTTCCGCAGCATCGTCTGTGGCAGCATCTTCTGAAATATTTGCTTCATCTGAAATATCTGCTCCTGCATCATCTATTGTCGCAAGTGTTGCCCCAACACAGTCTCTTCCAGTATTTTCAACCTTGCCTCCCTTTGTTGCAACACCAACAACTACGAGTAAAGCAGTTACTGTATTCCCCAACTTTATGATAACGTTTGCTGCATTATTTTTAATTGTGTTGATGTTTAAGCGTAATCAATAATCTTTGTATAAAAAGTGTGGAATAAACATAATAAAATGATTATATTTGAAAGACTTTGATATTGGTTCAAATCACTCGTTTTTATTTCGACGCGGCAGTTCGTAAAGACCTTTAAAGGCACTTGATATTTGCAGCTTATAGGCATTTGCTTTCACTTTTTTAAAAATAAAAGTAGATCTCATCAGTCTAATTCAATAGTTAGACAACTTGTGTTATTCAGGGCACAACATGCGCACTACGTAACAACCTTATTGTAGACTTCATATAAAGCTGAATCCTTTCTTAGCTTGGATCCACAATAAGTTCCCATTGAAATTTAGTAAGTATTTCTAAATCAAGCTTAGCTCCTGTTTGAGAATAGAAGCTCACAACACCAGTAAAAATTAATTTACCATTGACTGGGATCGTGATAAATACAGGGTTGTATAGGTGGTTAAAGTCGATGTGTCAAATCTAGTTTTGTTTGAGTGTGTTGAAATTGGTGTTGCCAGTTTTAGCTGGTTGCACCAATGGGTGTTTTGATTAGGCGCGTTAATATACTTTCATTAATGCAAGCTATAAAAAGTTTTTACTTACACAATAGGCTGCTTTCTTTATAAACTTTGGCTGGTTGTTACATTTTTTAGCCTCGGAAAACCAACTTTTTTTTAGGACAATACATACGGTCACTTGTAGTAACATCCATCTTCATTGCCAAATGAATGAATGCAAAAGTTACCAAAGTTATGTGTTCGTGAAACTTTATGTGATTTATCATCCACTGGTGTCATTCCTTCTCGGTCTGGTTAATTTTTTTTAGTTTTATCACAGCTCTAGACAAAGTACGTCGCCGGTAATCATAGGGACCACCTTATCTAGTATTTGATGCGTCTGCTGGGCTTTTAGCTTTGGCGGTCCTTGCTACTACCAAACGCCTATTGTTGACTCCGTCTCGCCTCTTCCTCATTTAAATTTGGAATGAACTAGTTACTCTCTGACCCGAATCCAGTAATAGAAGTCTATTACAACTCTTTATCCCTTACTTCTCTCTCTCTCTCTCTCTCTCTCTCTCTCTCTCTCTCTCTCTCTCTCTCTCTCTCTCTCTCTCTCTCTCTCTCTCTCTCTCTCTCTCTCACATTCTAAACGAACACAGAACCAAGACACCTCGAAACAAAGAGCCTCAAAACAATTCTATGTGACTGACTACCTGGCGGTACACCAATATATTGGAGTAACCATACCCCAAACAATGTCAGGATGAGATAATCTATTATTTGAGAAAGGAATTGCTGCATTTCAGGCAACCTTTTACGAACAACAATTATAAATATCAGAGCATTTTAAGAATTCACATATGCAACGCCACACTTGTATAAAGTTTGTCAGTGGCTCAATATCATATACCAATTGTGACGGGACCATTTTACGAGAATAATAAAAAACCATAAATCATGCAGGCGTAAAACGAAATATCGCGTGAATAGGCAGGGAATGTTAGACTTTACATGAATTCACTGCAACTTCATGTGGAATTATTTTTTCGTCGAATACCAGAGTTGCTGGGTAGTCTTGCTTTTTTAACACTGGAACTTTTACATTCGGAATGAACAAGCCCCATTTCTATTGCACTCCTAGATTTTGAAGCAAGTGAGGGCGTTTTTTTTTCACGTTATCGAATACAAACGACAAGAAACTAACTTCCAGGATGTTGAGTTGACTAACATTGCTTTCTTTGATAGCAAACATATCTGTTAAATTTAGGCATTTCCGAATTTAAGCTTTTAAGATGGTGTCTCCTGTGGAATGCAGTAAAAATATTTAACGAGGATCTATAACGTTTACTGGTTCATTTGAATATACTCTATTTGATAGAGATTAAAAAAATAATAAAGTTGTAAAATATAAGTATCATCGTCCATTTGAGAGTCGCGCTTGAGAGAGATGAGCAGGAGTTAATTTTATTTTATTAAACGACCAATCGTGTCCTATTTAAAAAAACAAGTCGACGTATCACGAAAGAATTTGCACTTGAGCTCACAACAAATAACGTTAGTAACGGTTACTGCTATTACTCCATCTTTCGTACGCTTCGCAGTCAGAAACGATGCACCACGCTAAAACTTGATAAATTTTAACGTCATCAGAATATGCTAATTTTGGTAAGGAAAATATTATTGGCAACAAATTATGTGATAAGACGTACGTAAAAGGTGAATAAAATACTGGGGGTGGTTGGTGTGTAAAGCTGAATATCAATTATATAGTGTGAATTAGCTTTAATGCTAAATTAATAGGGTGTTCCTTATAGGATGACATGTTTGCAAGTCAAAAAAGGGATTGAAGCTAAACTTTAAAATCCGCATAAAAAGGTCTCTCTCCCCAAAAAAAAAGTTTGTTCTAGTTTCTTTGTTCTTTAGTTTTTTTAACAACTTTTAAGAAAAAATAAATAAATAATAATATGGGATACGTAATTGAGGTAATAACACCTTTTTTATTTTAATTTTTATAACTTGCTAAATCAACTGTCCTTTATCGATGTAGTATAGTAAGGTAGAGTACAAATAGCACGCGTTTTTATCATTCACGTAAATTTATATCAATTTTTTCTATTTCATCCTAAAAGAATGATGATCCTGTCTTCGGCAGCTGTACAGCAGAAAAATGCGCCATTTCAGTAAGTAGACTCTTTTTCTCTTTGTATATGAAGAACATCTTTATTGATTATTACATTGATTTATTAGGGAGGAGATCTTTGTATTGGCGTCGTTTCTGAAACAGAAGGAAAGGAAACCCAGTGGAAACATTGGTAACGTGCCTAGACCCAAATGCTTAGATATGCGGCATGAACTTACTTCTTTGTTCTTTTAGGACATGTGTAACGCCAGCCATCTTAAACACTATTAAGCTCGCTGTCACAGATCCCGCACAAATGAATGGATGGGATACACTTAAAACAGATGACAAAGAGAAGGTACAGAAGGCATGGATGAGTGATAAAGTTTCCAATGCAAAACCAGAGTAAGTCCTGATATTACGTCTCTCTGTTTCCCACGGAAAAACGATACTAATTTTAGTTTTTATAAGCAATAAGGATGACGTCTCAACGTAAAAACCATTTGTATCTATGTGCACCCCTTTACAAATCGCTGATTTTCATTCTCTGTTTTTTTAGTGCCGAAATAAAAGTAGATGATTCCGCCAATCAAAATCAAGCCGACGCTTGTGCTCCCGTCCAACCCGAGATTGCGAGTGACAAAAATCCAAGCCTCATCGATCAGGTACAGACCGTGATTAGTAATACCGAGGAGACCACGATAACAACCCAAGATACAACTGAGAGTACGGGTGAGAAGGATACTACAGAGAAGAACGAAGCTACAACTGAATTTTTCAACAAAGAGGTGGAAATTAAAAATGATGTCATTGGCAAGCAAGATGAGGTAGCGTCAAAGAATAACGAGGTGACCAATGAGGTGAACGAGAATAGCTCCGTCGTTTATGAAAAGAAGGAGGAGAAAGATGGACTCAACGAAAGCTCGACTGAAGTTAGTAAAATTTCACTGGAGACAAGCGTGGTCAATAATGATATCAGTAGCTCAAACGATATCGAGATGACCACGGATGTGAGCTCTTCCAAGAAACGTGATGCTACCACTATGGAGGAAACTACCACAGTCCAAGAAAAAACAACTGTTGTTAGTGGTAGAACTTCAGGAAAAGTTAGGCAAGTATAGAGCTTATAAACGATCCTATGTAATAGTGGTTAATGTTTTTTTTTTCATTCAGACATATCAAGCCAGTCAGAAAACCCACTCGCAGATCTCCAAGATTTGTTGCCGGAAATGACACTAAATCGGAAGAAATCACGTAAGTTCAAATTAAATGAAACTAAAAGATGCAATATCTAACAATGAAATATACAGTCCATCGGCTGCCAAAAAAAGAAAAGTTACTGAAGATGTTAAGACTATTTAGTCATTTTTTTTTTCTGATAAGAAAATATCTATTATGATTTATGCTACAAATTTTTAAAAAAAAAAATAAAGTAAAAAATGGTGTAACAAATTTTGGATTAAATGTTATATAAGGTGAAAGGGGAGGAAAAGGGGAAGGGTTATATAAACTACAAAAATGGTATAAAAGGTATGAAATTAAAGTAATATAGGTATAATTAGGGCTTTACATAATTACTAGGGAACACTCCGGATAGTGGCTTATTTAAACCACCATCCTTGTAACCTAGCCACCAAACATTATCAGTAGTATCGGTTACTACAATTGTATCTCCTGCATCTAAACTAAGCTCTCCAAATTCTTGGGCTTTGAATGCATATTTGGCATAAAACAATTTTGGGTGGGTGTCATTAATGATTGCAGCGGTGTTGGCTTTAGCTGAAGCTACCATGCTTTCAAAAGACAAAATACCAGCAGCAGCTGCTGCTGTGGTGATTGGGATTGGATTGATAATAGTTGTTGTAGGAGAATAAACACCAATGTCTCCATCATCGTGCTGGAAAGCAGATCTCGAGGTTGTATTAGAAGGTCCTGCAGCAGCACGACCTGTGGTAGACGCTTCAGCTACTCCCGCTCCTGCTGCTGTAGCTGCAATTGTAGCTGCTCCCAAACTTCCTGTACCAAATAAACCGAATGCATCAACTAATCTATTGGTAGGTGTCCACGGGGGCATCTCATCAGGACCCCTTGCATCTTTATGTTTTTTAAACAAAAATAATAGAGCAATGGCACTCAAGGCAAAGAGTATACCCACAGAAATAGCAATTGAAATAAGGATGACAGCCGCCACAGATAGATAACCTAGCAAAGAAAAATCGTCAGTATAATCATGTATGTATTGATAAAACATTTAATACTTACGACGTCCATTGGTAATACCATTGAAACCTGTGGGGTGAATCACCTTTTGTATATTACCGGCTTTACCATTCAATTGAGTAGTAAGTAAATAAGGATACCAAGCAGTTCCATCATAAAGTGCTGCACTAGCGTTTCCAAAATCTTGAATGTTCAAAGTCCCGACAGCTAATAACATATTCTGTGTGCCACTGGGATATCGTTGCTCAGACGAACTAGAGATTGGCACCAGTAGTAGTTGACTGATAATAGTTCCTTGTGCTAAATTCGAAGCCAATGATGTATATGTATTACCGTTCAAAGATCCAACGAAAAAGCTGTTTGATAGACTACATGATAATTAAAGTCAAATCCTGTGGTTCCTTTTTTTTTTTTTTATAAAAAAAAAAAAAACTAATTTGGGTCTTACCTTGTTCCAGCAACAATTACCTCGTTGTCGACACTGCTAATAATTGTGTTTGGGATACCAGACAGTTGGTCCGAGCTCAAGACAGTAGACCAATTATCAGCTGCATCAGTCACACTTGCAATAGCAGTAGCAGGTTGATTTTGAATACGGAGATCACCCACCACGATAATCTTTTGGGGTTCCTCGTTGATTGGAATGATCATGTCATAAGCAGTTCCTGTCAAACTCAAGGCGATGGGATCCCATTGAAGCGTGGAAGGATCGATTGCACACACTGCTTCACAATCTAACAGACCGACCTTTGAAAATTTACCGCCAATTAATACTTTTTTCCCATCTGGATGAGGCTTAATAACATTGACAGTTCCTGGAGAGTTGTTCTCGGCTGTATTCGTAAAAAAGAAAAAAAAAAGAAAAATTGATTGAGTCTATTTAATCACAGTATACTTTGTCTATTTCAATCTTACCTGTTACACCATGAATACGAATATTTGTATTATTACTGACAAGATCATAAATAGCTAAGCTTATAGATTGAGTTGCTTCTGAAGAGAACTGTCCACCTACGTAGAGCCAGGTTCCAAATGTGGCTAATGAATAGACACGTCCTTGAAAAACATCGATCGTAGTCCATGCATTAGTAACGTTACTATAGGATAAGACGGTGGACGTTTCATTCATCTCTTCAGTGTATTGTGCAATCACTGTATGCTCTTCGTATGTCTGATTGTTCAACCACGTCACACCAGCAGAGACTGTTACAGAATCGTTAAAAATATGTCTAGATGAATTAAGGCTGCTGGAAAGAACAAGATCGGCACGGTACGTCTGTGCACCTAAAATTGCACCTGCTAGTATATTTTGATAGTCGATTGCGACCTCTCCAACGACAAGCGAAGATCTTTCAGTCCATGACAATAATTTCGTATTCCACTGTGCGTTACCGACTGACATTTTCGTATTGTTGATCGACAGCCGATGGTTAAAAGGCCCAGAAACAGTGAGTGTTGTATTATCTGACGATAACAAGAGATTATTGACTGAACCATCTACTCCCTACGAGAAAGAAAAAAAAAGCATGCGTTACTACTATCTGTAAATCGATTTTCCTTCTCTATACTTTACATCTCCAAGCGGTGACCATAATTTTTTAGCCGTATCGAATTGACCAACGTGTTTAAGATTTAAATTTGTCATGGTTGCATTAAAATCACCACCAACGTATAAAACTAAAAACGTGTCATTAGTGAGAGATCTATATCATAATGTGACTTTTTTCGGGAAAAAAAAACTTACTTGTATTGGATAAAAGCAGTTTGGAGACTTTACCGTTCAAACCAGCAGAGCTGTTATCTAAAGCAAGTAACTGTCCTAGTTGATTATTGTAGGAAACGATATTCCTAAATCCAGTTGTATTTGAACTAGCGAATTCTCCTCCAATATAAAGTAAATCACCATCTGAAGCATCAATCGAATACACAATGGATCCTATTGGTAATTGTTCTATGTATATATTTTAATACACAGAAGTTAGAAGGTGAATCTTTCATTGAGGGAGGGGAGGTGAAACAATGTTTACATACGATTTAAAGGCTTCCAAGATATAGCTGTTGTGTTTGTTGCATTTGCAGGATTGTATTCTAGTATGCTGACCAATGGCGCAGCTGTCATATTTCTAACAAATTCAATTGTATCAGCCATAATTTGAACGTTTGCATCGTTATTTGAAGGCTTAGTGGCATTTGGAGCTGGGCGAAGTGTAATCGAGGGTCTAAAGTTTGTTGAGACAGGAGAAATATATCCACTGTATAACAGAATACGATGATCAGTAAAAGTATTTTGATCAGATATAATAGTTGTGACAGGAAAACCAGGGGATAATTCGAGTGAATATTCCACCTGTGTTCTAGTAAAGCAATTGGAACTTCCAACGCATCCAGGTGTAGTTGCATAGACATCGTATTGTCCCTGTGCAGGGATATTTCTAAAAATAACAATTAACACGCAAAAAAAAAAAAAAAAAAAAAAGGAGGGAGGGGGGAAGAATGGGAGTTTCCTTACGGTTCGTATACAATGGCAGTGTTTGAAGTAGCCAATTCAGAATATGGCACGTTTGCTACTAGTATAGTTTGGTAGTAACCAAAAACATAAACATCTTTCCAATTTCCGGTGACTGTGGTTTGAGTAGATGATGCAGTAGGATTACATTGAGAATCATTTGTATTCAGATGTGGATTTACAGAAATATCTAGCGCAATATATTAAATGATGGTTGCATAAAGTTTTAATTTATCATTTTTACCTGATTGATATATTTGAACATAACCCAGACCGCCACCAGAGCCATACCAGCTATTTATATTGATTCGAATACCAGTCGCTGTAATAGGATCTACGACTGTGAAGTCTTGATATGTATCGTTGGATAACGTGCAATCCTTTGAACAAACAATTGTCTGCTGTGTAACAGGGTCTACATACGACAAGTTAAAATAATGGTTCCAGCCTAATGCAAGTATACTTTTTTGTTGTGTTAGAAAAATGAGGGGACCAGACAAAGATATGATGATGGAGCTTACTTGAATGAAATTGTTCCTTTTTCAGTGTGAGTGTTTGATAGCCTAAATACAGTGGGCTCTACCGGATTAGCAAAATTTGCATCCCAATAGCCAGGGACACCATCTTGCAGATACCAAGGTTGAGCATTTGATATTTGAGCAGGACAAATGATACTTTTTGGATCAGCTTGATAGGCACCATTTCCTGAAGATATTGACTATAGGAGTAAAGATAGATTAGTAAATAAATTACAGATGATATATATGACTTACAGTAGGTGAATTCAATGGAACCAGTTGGCTTGTATTTGAATTAAAGAACTGGCCATCCCCAGTAGCATCGAAATGCCCACCAAACAATATAGTATTATACTTTTTGTTTTTGGTGATGGTATAGACTGGACCATTAAATCCTTTCCAAGGCAATAAGGACCAAGAACTATTCTTTATGTTCCAAGAAGCAACGTTGGACATTGTGGAATTTGTATCTACAGGAGAAGAGAAATTTCCACCAATATAAAGTACTTGATCCAAATCATCGCAATATAGAGAATAGACAGGACCATTTAAACCTTGATCTAAAGACTGAAACTGATTTGTTTGTGTATCAAATTTTACGACATGATGAACGAGGTATGTTTGATTGACAGTTTCAAAATGACCTCCAAAATAAATAGAGTTTTGAAACATACACGATGATGTGATATTGCCTTGAAAATGACTGATTTTTTCATAGGTATTGTTATTGTTTCGTAAAATAATCGAGTCCTCGTTTGTTGACTGAAATTGTTGTAAGCTGTTCACATATGATATTCCCGCATAGTTTCCAGCAAAGCCCAAGTGCCCTGCGTTTCCCTCGTCTATCACTGTCGGGACACTAAATAGTCCAGATACGATATCCAAGGAAACGAGTAGACAAAAGGTCAATGTCAACCTCATTGAGTTACTTTTTTGAATTTTTTTTTTGTTTCTTGTACTTTTTTAAAGTAGAAAAAAAAAGGGGAAAATAGAAAAATAAACAACACACCAAAAGAGTAAATGAAAAAAAATATTATATGCGTAACATTAATCTTTCCCCTATAAAAAAAAAGTACCCAGGAGGTGTACCCGCATTTCAAAAAGGTAATCGCGCTTATTTGACGTCACGTTACAGTTTGTATTCTTTTTTTTATATTTTATTTGCTCTTTCTTTTCTTTTGGTCATTGTTTTTGTTATGGCACAATACCTTACTGCTCAGTGGGACTACACCGCTGAGGGAAACTATGAATTGTCCTTTAAAGAAGGAGATCAAATAAAACTTTTGGAGAAACACAATGACGATTGGTAAACCAATCTACACCTTCTTTTTTAAATTAGTAACTGTCACCTAATCCCTCCCTCTTTTTTTAATTGTGTAGGTGGGAAGGTACATTATTCATAAAGAAATAAAAGAATTATATTAACGTATCCTAGGTGAGCTGAACGACGAAATTGGATTTTTTCCTGCAAATCGAACAATAGCTGTCATGGAAGAAATTGGTACAAGTTTGGGAATTTTTTAATTGTAAAATAACTTTGATCAGGCACTAACAATTTCATATCTTTAATCAGTCAAGGTAAACTACACTAAAACATACATGCCATTTTTGTCCCTTACACTCTTTCATTAGAATTCAACTAGACCTGCCACACCTAATAATACATGTTCAGACTCAGTAACGGAGTACAATCAAACACTACCACCGGATCAACGCCCTCCCATCATCGCTTCCAATAGTAACCCGTATCTTCAACAGTCAAATGCAGTAATAAGAGATACCATGTCTGCACCAATTTTACCCGATAGGGCAAAGGCAAATTTACTAGTGGATATTTCGACGGAAAGTAACCTAGATGATCTACCAGCTGGATGGAGCTATTCTTACGGTTTGTTTTTATACAGAATATATTTAGATAATCACTTTTTACTCAAATCATTCATCTCTGTAGATCAAGCAGGTACCATCTATTTCTTTAACAAGAGTACAAATGAATCACAATGGGAAAGACCGACAGAGACTCCCAAAACTAAATATAATATTGACGACTTGGTATATGATATCAAAAAATTGGTATGCCTCACCATATATAATTAGTGGTTATGAGACTGACCAATATTTAGAGTTTGGATGCCTTACATCCCAACTGGATTCGTACACAAAGTATTATTCAAATGAAAATCATTGCAGAGGAGGAAATTCCTTGGAAAGAATATTATGCGGTTTTGGCAGTTGGATATTTATTGATATATAAGGAAGGACTAAACAAAACTTCAAGGGTAAGTAAGTGTAAAAATAAATGTTGGGATAATAATCTCACTGTGTATTCTTTTCTTATGATATGATCAGAGACCTTCCTCTATGAAGTCTGTAGCTGCTTTTGGAACAATTAATCTGCAATCTTCTGAAATAACCCCAGCCACAAAGTTAGATACCCGAAAGAAGAATGCTTTTATCATCAACAACAGTGATCTAAAGATAGTAATCAGTGTAGCCAATGAGACCTTGTATTCCGATTGGTTAGATGCAATCATGCGTGAATTGGTCTCTTTGAAAGAAAATCGGGAAAACCAAGACATAGACCTGGTACAGCTACTCGCATCCATCCCTCTTAAAGATAAGCTTATAAAAAGTAAGTCTGACGTTACTCAGACCGCAGAAGGTAAAGATACTGCTTAATAATTAATTTTTTTTTATACTAACCAGTGGGCATATAGAGTCAAAGCTGACAAGATGGTTCTCCAGATCAAGTAGAAATAGTGTCAGTAATAAACAACATATACCAACCGAGCCTCCACCTGTCGGAAAAGAGGTGTTTGGAGGCTACTTAAAACTCGAAGAAGGAGGAGGGATACCACTTGTAGTACGTTCATGTATTGAGCAGGTTGATAAAAGAGGTAACATTAAGCATTTTGACAGGACGATGTCTCAACTAATACTCCACAAATAGGCCTAGATGTTGTAGGAATTTATCGCTTGTCTGGTCAGACTACAAGTATACAGAAATACAAAAACCAATTTAATACCAGTAAGTTGCCTGTGAATCATATCCTAATAAAATTCGTATTCATGATTTTAGACCCGGAGGATGTAAATTTAGATGAGGAGAACGATATTAATGTGATTACTGGACTTTTGAAGCTCTATTTCCGTGAGCTCAAGAATCCTTTGTTGACATTTGAATATTATGACCGAGTGATTGAAGCAGCTCGTTTACAGGACTACGATGAGCGTATGTTCCGACTCAAATCCATAATCCAAGTGCTCCCAGTTCCTAATTACAAGGTATTTCAGTATTTAGTTCGCCATTTGGAACGAGTAAAGGATCAGAGTAAAATCAACAAGATGGAGGCATCCAATCTTGCCTTGATATTTTCCATTGGATTACTAAGATCAAAGCAAGACGATTTGTCTTCTTCCATTTTGCACAGTGATCTGTTGAGTAAAGTAATGGAAACTATTATACAACATGTTGACTGGTTTTTTGATACAGATACAGATGACGAGTTATTAGTAGAAGATGCAAGTGTATTATAATAATAATAAAATGGGTTTATTTATCAGCACGGAGCTCAACGTTTGTTTCTTCTATATCACCATAAACATTTTTGGGATTAGGATTGATGTCAGGTGTGAAATTATTTTCAGAAAATGAAAATGAGTGCCTTGCTCTCCGAATAACTGAATGTTTCAAGAACTATTTAAATATAGAGATGATTAATGCATACGTATAACGTCTTAAAAATCTACTTCACTTACAGCGCCTGTAGCTCCTAGATGGCCTTCATGTCTAAGAAACAATGCCTTCATATCTCCGTTAGACCAAAAATTGATGGCATAAGATAACGTATTCATTGTAATAGGGTGTCCTCTGATAAAGCAGCCACCGAAATAGATGCGTTTCAAATCATGTTGCTTTGCATTCAAGTAGGCTATTTGACCAATATTATTACTGTACACATAATGTCAATACATACCCCTCCTCCCGTATTCCAATCAAAACATGAAAATATTTTACCTGACCATGAACAACAAACTTTTTGCAATGTCACAAGCTTTAAAATTGTCCTGAGATTGTTGCACTCCCTTTTTAAAGACTTTACCAAAACTGGATGCGATCTTTGTAGCTTTTAGACCAAGTTTGGTGTAATCTGCACCGTAAATATCTCCAACCAATAAATCAACATTTTTGTTATCACCATCCTTGGATATTTCGAGCATTTCTTAAAAAAAAAAGGGTGTTACTATGTTTGCAGTTACTACCTGTTATTATCTTACCATCAAAAGATGTCGCTTTTGTCAATAATGCCATCAATCCCCATAAAGTACCACCACCAAGCTATAATTTTATTAGGGTATGCGATATTACACTTTCAGGCTAGACTTACAGAAGTACCACTAATACGAGAGAATTCATCAGGGCCTGTTACCTTCAATATACTATCATTGAAACACGAGGGTTTAATACAATATCGTCCTCATTTAGTTTTATTTTTCCCTCGTTTACCTAACACCTGATCCAATGTTGACTAGCTATTGATTACTAATAGAATGAGAATGATGTAGTTATATACCAATGTATTTAATTTTTTTACCATGTAAGGATATATGTCTCTCGTCTTTTCTTCAAATCTCATTGGGTCAGGCTCCTGTTCGTTATAAGTAAACACCTCGTAAGGTATCTCTGTTATGAAAAAATTGAGACCTAGTTCGAAATGCTGGTTAATTTTATTTGCTATCTTTGGTCCTTCGTGTAATATATATTTACCAGTGATAAGACATTCCATTTCATCCTCTTTCTGAACAATAACACCTGGTAAACGCGCCTCCAGCTTGTCGTAGAACAGGTAAGCGCCACCACCTGTCGCTTTTAAAACCAGACTTGTGTTTTCTGGTGTTAGCGGACGTGCGTCTGCCATGAGTGCTGCTACAAAGTCGATGCACTCGTCAATTTTCTCAGTCTCAATCTTTTTAAAATGAAGACGACCTCCATTTAGTTCACCAGAGGAAGTAAAATAGACGATTTTAGCTAAAGAACCACCAATCTACAATTAGCGCTTTTAGTTTTTTTTTTTTTTTTCTATTATGCAAAAAATATAAAAAATTAAAAAAGGTATCTTTACATCGATAGCAATATGCGCTACGTGTTCTGTTTGATTTGGTAAAACAATATCTCTAGTTTCGTTAGCTGCGTAAGTTGCTTCTGACACTGATGCACCATCCACGTTCATTACAGACGCATTGTCGTTCATTTTTAAGTGTTTGCAAGAAAAGAAATTTTATTGGAGTTTCAAAAAAAAAAAAAAAAGAAACGCTTTCCCCAGTTTATATTTAATGTTTTCGCAAGTTAGCTAGTGTCTTTTGCTTGGCTTCGATTTCGGATCTCAAAGACTGGATCTCTTCATCCCACTTTTCGTCCGCCTTTGATAATAACTGCTTGACTTTATCTTCGTCGAGTAAACCTGTGCTTTCCATCTCTTCAGCAGCTGTCAAAAGAACCTCTACTTTCTCTGTAAGATTCGAAAGTTGTTCTTCCAGTTTTTTCTCTTCTTGTATATCGCCTTGTAATAAGGCTTTTTCTCTCTTTAAGTCTGCTTCTGCAAAATGAAGCTCGTCGTCCAATTCTTTAGTTCGAATCGTTAATTCTTCAATTTCTCTGAGTGTTTCCGATTCTTCTTCCAATAAATCTTGATCTGTCTCTAAATGTTCATTGGAATCTTTATCTGTCTCCACGTCTTTTGTCTGAGGAAATGCACCTGTTTTATTTTCGGTTCGATCGTTAGACATGGTAAAAAAAAAAAAAAAAAAAAAAAAAAAGAGAGCTCGAAAAGAAAAGCGCAATAATTCCTTGCCTGAAAAGTATCAGTATATTTGAACTTCAGAACCTTTGGTTATATCTTGAAATGTGGTTCCCCAAGCACAGATAACTTCATATTTTGCTTGTCATGTAAGATTTAATGGCTCAAACAGTAGTTTCTATTATGCCGATAACAGAAAAACCTATAATAGTGGCATCTTAAGCTTTCACTAGTTATAATGTACTAGATTTGCCTGTATACTATCAAGATATCTTTGTAAGCAGGTGAAGGGACCCGATGTTTTTAAAGGGGGTAAATTATACTTCGGCACTATGTTATCGAAAATGCTATTACACATTTTTTTAAAATGCGCTACACTTTGACTTTTTTTTTGCTACATAATTTTGGTGCTATGCTTCCGCCCACTTTTTTGAGGAGACTAATTTTACCAGATGTTTGTAGCTGGTTTGTCCAGCTTTTTAAGAATAAAGTCGCCGCCTTTTTCAATCAAGTTGACTGATTTCTGGTCAAATCTCTAAGTGATTATATAAAGGTCTTTTATTAAGGCATTTAGGGAAAATATCGATAGAATGCTCGATAAAATTTTACATCCAAACGCTACGCTCGTCTTTACACCATAATGGAATTTGCCTCGCTAAACTTTGTTTCCTCATTGTCTATTTTGCACACTTTTGCAACTCTCAGAAATTTGGATTACCTAGCTGCAATAAGCAATTGTTTCTGGTCGGTGGCCAGGTAAGAACGTTTGGTGCTGCAAGTTTTTTTTTACCACGTTTGATATAAAGTTAAGTATATGATATAGTGTGATTGTCGATATGATAAATGAAGGCACCACCATCTTTCTTGTCACAACTGCTATAGCATTGTCTATATCTAAGACCTTATCTTGCCAATGTAAAAAAATAAGATTGGTCAGGATCTACCAAATGATGCCAACGTTTTCACCCGTCAAGGTGACACCCTAAAATAAATCAGCGATCAAAATGTTTTTTTTGATCGATATTGGCGATATCGCTCAAAAAATCGAAAATATCGATATCTCCGATATTTTTGATTTTTTGATCGCTGATCGCAAAGCCAAATTTTTAAATCTCTATAAAAACAACTTATACATAAATAAATAGATGTAGCAATACCATGTTAATAGATAAACGTAATTTTTTAAAGCAAAAAAATGTTTATGGGGATGATAGCCAGGGTAAGAAAAAGACAACTTCAGATTACGTAAGTAAAATGAGAAAACGGGACATGTGACTGTGGGTTTTAATGATTTTATATTTTATTCTCAGCGGAAAACAATGTTTCCAACACTTCCGGCAGTACTACTCATATCGACTTTAAAAGCGTCACCAGTCTTTATAACATATTTGTTATTGGAGCCGTCAACCGCATTCACCAATCCGACAGCAGACAAAAGATCCTCGGCATCAAAGACCACAAATTTTTTTTGCTCAGCCTCATCGTAAGGTTTCACGCGCGGGATAGCCTTTGAGTATGGTGAGACGTCATGATTCTTCATAAGTTCACCAAAAACGAAGTTCGAGCCCGGAGCACCTTCTTGATATGTAAAGTCAAAAAAGAACAAGACTTTACAAACGTACCAGTTTTCGATAGGCCGGAACATCCTAATTACAATAAGTCAGTACACAATAATTTTGATTTGCAAACATCAACTTACCGATTTTTATGAATTGCAGTAAACATAACAAACTCACCACCACGCGAACTTGCTGCGTTCTTCGATTTGCACAAATCAGATATGTATATTTGATTGTTTGTCCAGAGTTTTTGAGAAATGTTGACAAATTGGTGCTGATGGAACGAAGTTATAACAGCCGAAGTATTACCAGTCAGACGAATCAAAAATTGAGAGAGTGCTTTAAGCCAGTCTTTTGCCAGGTAGCCGCCAATGGTATGATTGTGCTTTTCTTTTGCTTGCTTTACAACCTGGCCCAGCTTTACAGTATTTACCCGCCAGTGAAAGGGTGACCACAGCTGAGGCAACAATGGATCGTTGGACGGGTGGGGCAAGAAGTTGTTAACTTTATCCTTCTTCAAATCATAGGCGGAACTATCGATTATACCATCGGATTGCAAAAAAGAGAACATTTCACGAGTTTCCATGACATTACCGGCGTTGACACCAGGATTCAAAGATGAACGGATTCGCTTCTTGTATATGCCAATAGACCTTTCCAATGATCTTGCAGAATAACACCTTAACGGTCTACCAGAGAAATGAAAAATTAGTACAAAAGGGAAGTCTAATAACTATGATGACAATCGATAACTAACCCCATTCGTTTTATCATGTATGGTATATGGTTCAGTTGGTGCATGTTCGATCTGAATACGGTTCTGGAGATAGAGCTGCTATCAAGACAGGTATCGAGGTAATCAAACCAAGTCTTAAAGCATCTATCATAAGCAAATATAATGTTCAAGTAAATATCACTACATAAATTACAACTCAACAATGAATATTTACCTTTCAATTTCCTTCACTTCAGATTCGGATATCGACCATTGCAAACTCAATTGAATACCACGAGACAGGGCAATAAATCCTGTGGTTGCTTCTCTGGCGGGAAAGAGTGGGGCAACAATCGTAGGAATCACATGCACCAACCAGGCGATCCAGTCCACCGAACGATAGATAGATCTAACATTATCCAGATTGACACCAGCAAACGAACCACTGAAATCCGCAGGAATTGCACGAAGGGAGTCATCCATGGCGGTTTTGATGCGAGTAAAATCAGCAGTCTCGAGAGCAAACGGGTACGTGTCTTCGTTACCATCAAACTTGAACCGAGTGTTGAGCTTTGGTGAAAGCATGTCGAAGCAAAGCTTGCTGACATTCGAAAACATATGTAGCTCGTCACACATGAAAAAGTCGATGGAGAGGAAGGTACTCAACTGACCAAAGGGAGAAGCACTTTTAATACCATAGTTGTGGTTGGGACAAGAAGGCTAATAAAGGTAAATCAATTAAAATATGTAAAAAAGGCTACACAAGTTAATACTTACTGCGTCTTTCTCAAGTAATAAAGAAGCTTTGGTTCTGATAGCCGAGTCTCTGCCAAAGAAGTACATACCACCTTTTCCTCCGTCAACTGGGTGACCGCCTTTAACTAAATTTAGAAGGGTCATTTTGTTAGTGTCCACGGTCATAGCTTAGTAAACTGACGACTTACCAATACAAAATCTACATCCCCACCAGTTGGTATGACCACTAAACATCAACAACCGCTGGTTGATCTCTATACCATCTGCAATGACACCCAAATTGAAAATTCTAGCCGACGTGACATGAACACCATTCTTGCGAACAACAACAGGTTCACGACTCAAACGATCAAGGCTTTCAATAATTGGACGCAGATACGAGTCAAAGTCTTTCTTAGTGTCACCAAAAAGAATTGCAACTTGAAAAGTATATTCATCGGTGTATCTGCAAATGGTGTTATTACGACGTAAAAAGATTGGATGTATTGTATATAGAGCCAAAATTTACCTGATAGACGGATCAATGCTAGCAATTATAACGTGTACCATCACCATACTTTTTCTTGATACCTTCGAAGTGAACCCATCAACACATAGAACGATGGCTAAATCGTGCTGACCAGTGAAGAGACCTTTAGATTTCATTTCTTTATACGCGGCTCCAGAAAAAAAATCGGTATATGGATCATCGTCTGTCATGGAATCGATTACGTTTCGGTATTTTTCGACTTCATCACGAAACTCGTCACAAGCTAGCATACGACTTAAATGTTCACCAATATCAATCATTTTTACCACAGATTCTTTATGTCTAACAGCGTTACAGTGAGGACAAGCGGTTTTATCGGCATCATCGACAGGATCAAAGAGATAACACCCCTTTCGGGAACAGATTTCATGGCTTTGACTGAAAGAAAGTGGAAGTTTCTTCTTGATCAACGAACGACACTCCTTCAATGCGAGTACTTTTTTCTTTTTATCAAGGCCTAAAAGGTACACTAAATTAGTAAATAATGATACTTTGTAAATACAAATCATTAACATACTGTTGTTTTGGTTCAAAGTGTTCTCAAAAAATTTCTTCATAACGCGCACAGCTTCTATGGTCATGTTTCTACTAAATGTAAGATAGTTGAACATAATACTACTCAGCTCGCTGGTGCTAAATACGTTAATGGGGACAATGATATCCTTGATGTTGTCCTGTATTGTTACATTATAATCAAGTGACAATGGTTCTAAAAGTGAAAATAGTACATCCGGTAAGTTGTCATGATGTCAACAACCCGAGCATCTTTAGTTACCTTCGAAGTTCTCTTCGTCCGTGGATTCATACAAATCCTCGTCTACTTCACCGTCTACAACAAAACCATCATCAGAGGATTCATCTTCAGCATCTACGTCTTGTATGGACATTTGTCCAATTAAGGGAAGAGCGATTTGGTTATCGAGGTCAGCCATATCAACATCATCGTAAAAATCCATTTCTTCGTCATAGTCAAAAGGTGTACGGTTGGTTATTATAGCAGTTGGGAAGCCAGTAGATACTGAAGAGGATACAGCAAAAACAGAAGTGTCAGTTGGGCCAGGTATAATGGAGGCAGCAGTAACGGCCAAGGGTTCATATGTGCCTCTTAAAAGACGTTGGTTAGCGCCGTTTCGAGAAGCTCTAAGGTTCTTGGGTTTTTGAATTTTGGGGTAAACCATTTTGAAAAGTTTTTAAGAATTTTGTTTTTGGTAAGTCGGGAACCGATTTTTGCGCGTAGTTTTATACATGTTGCTACATCTTATTTACAGCTTATTAATAGTCACTGACCGTTCTTAGAACCAATTGGAATTACTCGTGAATTTATCTTATAATTATTAATAGAGAGGATATAGTAATTCTGTGTAGACTATGGATACCTTTCAAAACCACTAGAAATCGTTGTTTGGGACTTCAAGCTTGATCTATTGTTAGATTTTCGTGTAACGAGGTTATTAAGCGAAATTTTTTTTAATTCTGTACCGTGATTGGTGCAAATAAGTTGAACCACTTACATCAAGGTAAATGACAATGAAAAAAAAATGTATCTTTAAAACATCTATATAAGATCCAATACTTACACCTATTTTCTCATTTACATCGATTTTTCACTCTATTTATCACAATGAACGGTACCCAAAACTCAAATTCTCGAGACGAAGTCATTGAAAAACTCGTTAATGCCATTTACGATATGCAAAGAAAGCTTGATGCAATGCCTGCCACAATGAAAGAATATATCTACCTGCCAGTTGGTCAACACTGTGAATGCTGCAGCAAGGTTAAGAAAGTGGTCAAATCCAATGGTACTTCTGCAATTACTTCTCGATCTGGATATATCACTGGTACATTTTTATTTTATTTTACTTTGTAAGACGAATTAAGTTAATAATTGCCCTATCTTTTCAGCAAGAAATTCCGCTGCTCAACAAATGTACGAATTCGTGGTCAAGGCTGTCGCCTATTACAAGGAGCAAGTTATACCCAATGGTATTCACACCTCTTGCAATTCTCTCGGTGTAAGATCCATCACCGTATGTACTTATACAAAGAAAACCGTCATAGACAAGGTTGCTGCGTACTGGAGATCTTTGGTAGGTACCTATACTGAGGATCAAGCTAAAGAAAGGGCGACAGCAGCTTACAACAATGTCTTCACCATTTGCCAACATTTCTTGAAAGCATTGTACCAAGAACGATTTGGAAAGAATGGTGTCATTTGGAGGGGGATTCCTGCCAACGAGCAGAATGAAGTATTGTATATGTTCGAAAGAATTGTATACTTTTGGAACAAGCGCTCTGGCTTGAACGTTGGTACACCCCTCGAGGCTTATCCTGGGGACCTTATCTCTGTCATTGACGCCGAGAACCCAATGCTACCCATGCACCTCGCGGATAAAAACTGGATATCCAAAAATATGATCCAGATAATGTTGAGGAACTCAGCAAGAGTAAGTAAAGTTTAGATATCAAATTAAGAATTTTTAACATTAACATAAACCTCAACTCTAGCCAGATGACATTGCTCATGATGCCTCGGGTTCATTTTTGACTGGCCTGGAAAACCTTGGTGTCAATTCGGGTACTGAAGAGAGGTACGAAGACTTGGATATGGGCCTGTTTGAAAATTTATTTTCGATCCCTGATAACAGACCTCTTGTACCATCGTCTTCTTCCGCTTCGGTACAAAATCCTGTTTTGACCTCTCTTCCTCCCTCTGAGATGCCTCCTCTCTCTGACTCGCCTCCTCCCACCTCTGACTCTCCTCCTCCCACCTCTGCACCTGCCCTCTCCACCCCAAGTACTACCCGTCCAAAAGGTAAAAGAAAGGCTGATGAAATAGCATCTGGGACCAATAGTCGACCCTCAAGGGCTTTCCAAAAATAGAATTGAGCCTGAATTTTTTTTTTTTTTCTTATTTAAACTCTGATTTTTTTATTATTTTTTTCTTTTTCTTTCTATTTCTTTCAAATAAAAACTAAACTTAAGGTTTGTATATGTGTATAGTTTGTGAATATATGATTTATCATAACCATTTGTTTACAAATGAAGATATAGTTATGTGACTAAACATTAAACGTGCTGACACTCTCCAAACGGATTAAACCAAGACTCTTTGCTTTAAAAGTAAATTTACTTACTCTTTTTATATGTATTAACACATTTGTATAGCTGAAGCCATCTCTACTTTCACCGCTTGTGAAAAGGTAAATATCTCGACTTTGGTTTATGTGTTCATTATTAGTTAACCCAAATTCCTAAAGCTAGCTACTATCGCTGTTTATTTGAGGCTCGTACATCCCACGGTTTTGTAAAGGTACACATTGCTAAACTTGATAATTTATTCTCTTATTAACGTAAACCATCTTTATGCAGGTAAGTCAATACTGCTGCTCTTCCGAGGTCTTCGTATGGTCACTATCGTAGTTCCTCTCATTATGTCTGTCTCTGGTCATATTTTACTGGTCATTTTCTATATTTGAAGAGGTCTATCATGATCAGATTCGACGTTATTTAGTTTTTTTTTAATAAATAAAATTTTTTTTTCCAATATATACAAACGTATCAATTTTAAGCCTGTATCCTGATTTAGCAGGGGTGTAAAAGTAATATTATATCGATTATCGATTACCCCATTTTTTTTACCCCATCCAACGATATTTTTTTGTTTTTTTGATTTATGGATCGATATCGTCAATCGCGATATTTTGGAAAGTTTGATCGATATTGCCAATAACGATATTTTAGAAAGTTTGATCGATATCGCCAATCGCGATATTTTGGAAAATTTGATCGATATTGCCAATCGCGATATTTTGGAAAAATTTATCGATATCGCCAATCGCGATATTTTTAAAAAAAAGATCGTTATTTCCGCTCTAATTTGTTTGCGATATTTTTCAATTTTTGATCGCTGATTTATTTTAGGGTGTGAGCTTTATGACCCTGTTTCAATTTTTAAGTATATGTCAGTAATGGCCAAATCAAGCAAAGGACCCATTGGTCAGTCTTCTCGGTATTGATTCTTTTTCTCTTTGTATCTTTTCCGGCATCGTTAAAGCGCCTATTATATCCTATATTCCTTTATTTTCCCCATCTTTTTTAATGACTCTTACTTGCTGTATGTTTTAGGGTTGAATAAAACAAATACATGTAAATAACAAAACAATATAGTGTCTTCTACAGCGTTTGGCAGGACTAAAAAAAAAGTGACATAAAATTGGATTCAACCATCAACAAGTGAGTGCTAAGTTGATAGCTAGTGGCGATCCAGTTTCATGGTCTAAAACTCTATATTTAACATTGATTTTGATTGGCTGTCGGAAGCATTGTACTTTTGCATATTTGTCAAGTTTATTAATCGAAATGAGGAATCCATAGCGAAAGTGCTTGCCACTTTTCCGGATTCATCCACAATACCATGAAAAAAGTTCAATATAACGAATGTTGTTTACGATTGGCTCAAAAAATTGGTGGTTCAAACATCTGGTCAAAAAAGTGGGCAGACTTTTCAAAAATTCAGTAAATTGAGAGAGGGAGCACAGGTCTATTATATTCACTGTCTTTTTGATAATTCCTTCCGGTCGGCATCGAATCTCAAGCCTTTAGCTATTGCGACGCCAGAGATTCGTAGAGCCTTATGTAAGCTTTAGGCTGAATGTTCCAGTGACAAAAAAATTTGCGTACTTGCAATGCTATTCCCTAATTTTTAGGCCATGTTTAAGAACCCGCAATACAACTGCCCAATGATGTTAAAAAGGGAGATGTGTTTTTCGTTTGGAATATGCAGCTGTACAAAGGTGGCTTATATCTGAGGAGAGGGGATATATATATATTTATATAAAAAAAAAGCAAAAAACTCGCTTCTTTTCACCTCGTGTACGAGCCAATTATGACCCTACCGGCACCACTTACTTCTCCAAATCAGCAAGGCAAAAATCTACCCAGAAACCCATCGTTTTGTAGTTTACCAGAAAAAAAAGGACAAGTAAGAAAAAATGTGTGGTTGACACTATGGAATAGTGTGAGAAAGGACTTAGATGGGCGAGACAAATGCATGAAGATCCTCCAATATGTCATTAAGCTTTTACTGTATCACAGAGTCGCCTCTCCAAAAAAATGGTCGGCTTTAGCAACGCAGTTATCCATCACACGTCAAGTGCTTTGTCTGGGCAATGTACTCAGTGATATTTCGGTCCTAAATACAACAGTCAAGAAAAGAGAGTCATATAAAACAGCTCTGTTGCTCATTGACATTTGTAATGCCATTTCAGACGATGTCTATTGTTTATACCGAATTGGTATTTTGTCAAAAAAGTGGGGTCTATATTCAGAAATCATATCCGCTCATTGTTGGTTTATCAGCATATTAAATCAAGTTCAGACATATTACTTCAACTTGTGTCTTTTGGAAGGGAAGGGTGCTCATCCACAGGACCTACTATTGGCCAAGGTCAATGTCGCTAAAGCCATTGCCGACTTGATATTTTGTGGTAACGTGCCTTCCTTTTTTTGTCAGGAAATATAGTTAACGTGTGTTGTTAGGATGTGATGTATTTCATCCGCCCTCTAGTCAGGGACTTCAGGTATATTCAGGTTTGATCAGTGGACTATTGGCTGGATATAAGGTGTATACAAGGTTTAAATAATCACTTCTTTTGGTTTATTTTATTAAATATGGGCTGTTTTTCTGAATGTGTCATTTCATCTAAATGTGTCTGGTGTCCTAACAGCGAATGCTCTAGGAATGATTGGTTGGGTATAATGGGTGCAGGAGATCTTAGTCGCTCATGGACTTGGCTCTATGAAATTAAAATTAGTAATTTAAAATACACGAACATAGAGGGTCTTTGATTTCTTACCACCACATGGTCATTTATGTTCCTTGGGTGAGGTAAATCAAGTCCTTCTGCTGAGAAATCGTTCCAATTTCTCCAATTTATTGTGATTGGGTGTTGTTGTGGAAAATTTGATAGGAACGACATAATGATGTATAACAATCCTGTAGCTAATACAAGCGTACCCACCACAATATTGACTATACCATAATCAAGGACAAGACAGCCAAAACTGCGACAAAATTATTAGAATATACTTCTTGTTTTTCTTTCAAATTTAACTTACAAAATCATGATTAATCCCCTGCCTCTGTAAGTCGATAAAAAAAAGAAGTATGTATGCGAAAATTCTATCTCTTGTAATTCGTTTATAATGAGCAGCCCTGCCATAATGCTGAAAAAAAAGTGGCGATGAATAACAATAAAAGATAAAAAAGATATATATCTACTTACATCCCATATATCCCCAAGACAATCTCAGAAAATTTGCCGCCTATGCATTTATATATAACCGCAACTATCACCAGTAAATAAAGTATAATATTGATTCCGTTGAGACCTAGGCAAATAATATGCTCAACTTTTGATCTTGATATCATGATAAATAATAAAAAAAGTAAATAAAACGAAAAAGAGTGAAAAAAAAAAAAAAACCTTGACACTGTTAAAAGTAATTTGATGTTATTGAGTTGCCCAATTTGGCGTGCACTGTGTCACCACGTCATTCGCATCATTAATATTTTTTTAATACAATGCTTGGTTTATTTGGGATCTCAATCCATTTTTTTGTACGTTGCACCCCTGAATTTATTAAACCCTTCAAACAGATATTACAGTAAAGGAGGATTTGGCGCTAGATGACAGAAATCAAGTAAAAACATATATTACTACGATAGTGTTTCATGCAGAACATACAATCGGTTTGAGTATCATTTAGAACTTTTATCATACTGCAACGTTCTTTCACGTCAAGAGAAATGTAGGAAGGGGTTGGCACTTTTGGATGAGATATTCCACTTATAAACTCTAATAATCAATATAATGCTTTTTAAAAAAAATTTATTTCAAGTGAAGAAAAGTTCACTCATGTCTAATGATACAATATGATGAAGGAGAGGGGGGTTTTTTTTAATACTTCATTTCTGATTCCCAGAAACCAACGGTAGGGAAAGTGGAGGCGAAATCAGAGACTTCTTGTTTTAAAGATTGGATGGAAGCGATTTGCTTACCATCACCAATGTGGTTCTTGAAATCAATCAATTTCTTGCCACCCACCTTGGCCTTTTCCTCTTGTGTGATCTTGACAGCACGATCAATAAAGTCAGCAATCTTGACAAAGTCTTGTTCCTTGAAACCACGAGATGTCATGGCAGGTGTACCAACACGAAGACCACCAGGGATCAATGCGGACTTATCGCCAGGCACTGTGTTCTTGTTGGATGCAATGTTTATTAACTCGAGCACACGTTCAACACGAGCACCATCAACACCCTTTGATTTTAAATCAACTAATAACAAATGGTTATCAGTACCACCAGATACAAGGTTATAATCAAGCTCGATGAATCTATCAGCGAAAGCAGAGTTGTTGCTTAAAACTTGGGATTGGTATTCCTTGTATAAAGGTGACTTGACTTGCTTTAAAGCAACAGCTAAAGCGCCAATGGTATGATTATGAGGTCCTCCTTGATGACCAGGGAAAACAGATTGATTGATGGGGTTTTCTAAATCATATTGGATTTCTTTACCCTTCTTATCGACACTACGGAGACCCTTTCTGAAAAAGATCATGGCTCCACGAGGACCACGGAGAGACTTGTGTGTGGTAGTAGTGACAATATCTGCATATTCAAAAGGACCAGGTAACACGCCGGCAGCTACCAAACCAGAAATATGTGCCATATCAGCCATCAAATAAGCACCACACTTGTCGGAAATCTAAAAATAGGGCGGGGAGTCAGATGTTGGAAAACAAGATGATCTATTTTTTTTTTCTTACCTGTCTCATTCTAGCATAGTCAATGTTACGAGCATAAGCGGATGCACCAGCAACAATAATCTTGGGTCTATAGAGCATTGCATTGGCTTCTAAAGCATCATAATCAATACGACCAGTAGCTTCATCTAAACGATAAGGCAAGGTTTCAAAATAAGCAGAAACATTGGAGATCTTTTTGTTGGGAATTTGATAACCGTGGGACAAACTACATGCAAACAATAAGATTCCTGGGAAAGAAAAAATGAAAGGAAGACTTACTGTCCACCGTGAGGAAGATCAAGGCCCATCAAACGGTCATGAGGCTTCATAAGAGCACCATACACGTACAAGTTGGCAGGAGCACCGGACAAGGGTTGAACATTGACACCCCACTTTTCTGTTTCGAGATCAAATGCTTCCAAAGCTCTTTTACGACAAAGGTTTTCCGACATATCAATAAATTCATTACCACCATAGTATCTATAGATGCATTCAATAAAGCTGCACGCTACATGCGAATAATAATAAATGTGCAATCTTACCTGGCTCCGGGATAACCCTCAGAGTACTTGTTTTGCATCACACTACCAAGAACATCCATTACAGCTCTTGATGTAAAGTTCTACTCCCAAAGTCAATTGAATTGCACACATACATGTATAAACTTCCCAGTATTTATTTTACCTCTGAAGGAATAAGATCAACACTTTCTTGTTGTCTCTTCTTTTCCTTTTCAATGATATCAAACATTTCAGGGTCCATCTTTTCGAGTCTTTCATTAAGGAACTACATATGTAATTGTTAGTCAACGGGCAAATATCCTTTGATTTTTTTATATGTTACCTCTTGTTGGCCAGCAGGAAAGACATAACCACGCTATCACAAAAACAAAAATGTCAGCACGTAAAAATAAACAGTGTCACCTTTTTATTACTTACAGTTGCTTGGGTCATGGTGGGTCTCATCATGCGCAATGTGGAGGGCTTGGCAGCATTAGTAATAAGAGATCTGAGCATTTTAATTTATGTGAAATGGGTTAAAGAACAATCAGCTTTTCTCCAAAAAATAAATAAAAGGGAGTGGTATTTATACGATCATGAACGTTGGGCGGAAGATAAAGACCTTGAGTAACCCTAAAAGAGGCAACCAAATCTCCACCGAGTCAATCCACCGCGTCAAAAAAAAAAAAAAAAAAAAAAAAAAACAAAAAGGTCCCACAGTAAGCGGCAATTGAAAGTTTAAATTTTTCCCCACATTTCACAGTGGCATGAATTTGGGCTATTCAGCTCAGAAGATAAAGGCCGCAAATGTGAGTACCAGGAACCTTAGTAAATCAGTCATATATAAGAGGGAAGTCTGCTTTACATCTGACAATAAATGTTGTTTCTTGTTTTTATAAGTAAAAAATTGGTAGTTCCAGTTGCTATCATCGGGGGCTAAGCACAGCAAACGTAATCCTATTGGTTCATGGTGGTTCTCTTCACTACTTCGCTAAAGAACGTTTTGATCATTGAAATATATGAGATGATCTATCTTAATTTTTCTCATCAACTTAGTTTATAACTTATTATCAGTGATTCCATGATTATATGGTATAGATTTTAAAATATTCATTTTCTCTGCGTTATATGGACATGGCATTTTTCTTAAATAAAAATTAACAATAACACTTATCTATTTTTTTTATAGTTTGTGGTCAGTAAGATATAAAAAGAAAAGGTTTCTCGCCCACCCACTCTTTCTCTCACTTTGTCCCCTCCACTTCACCATGTCTTCATCCAAACATAAAAAGATAGCTCGTGCAATTCAAAGATATATTCAGGAAAATGGGGCTGAAGAACTGCAAGAGATCTTTGACGAGCAATCTCGCTTGGATCGTCAATTTATCAACGATAATGTCAAAGACATGACTCAAATTTTAAAAAATCATCTCAAGCAAGGAGGTATTACAAAAAAAAAAAAAAAAAAAAAAAAAAAAAAGAAGAATGTACGCTACAAAAGCCGACATTCTTGATTAACTTTTTTAAAATGGTTTTATCAGGAAGGTACTCCACTTTGAAAATGTTAGAGTTGGCTTGCGGTAGTTTGGGTATAGACATTGAATGTCGAGCAAGTGCAAGTACAGATAACATTCAATGGGACTACTCAGACGACGAAACAGCTCCTAGTAGTAGTACATTATTGAATGAGGTCAATAATGACTGCCAAGATACCAACAAAGACGATTTTGTTAGGAATATGGGTATTGAAATAATTGATGATGAAGAACAATTTTTGTATGGAAAGCTATATGACGGAAATGATTACATCATGTCAGAAGAATGTACAGATGAGCCCATCCTTCCCACAGAAATTGATACCAACACTGACAACATTTTGACAAACAATGTCTATGAAGAGCAAGTTATAGTAGACAACAAATCTGACCTGACGACAGATAATTCAAATGAAGAGCAAAGCCTGTTGGCCGAAGAAAATAAAGTAACATTACGTCTTGACGCAAACAATGAAGTACAACACAATGACGCTAGCAATCCCATAGTTATTGAAGAAACTGAACGGGACCACGCTTCACTCGAAGGTAAGCATTGAAAAATATGTCCTGACATAAATTCGCAGTGCTAAATTGTGTAGCTACTCTATCATTATTAGTTAATGTACAGAAGGCGGTTATTTCACCTACGGGTACAGGTGAATCCGTCATGATTACTATCATTTACCGAGTCATTGAACAGCAAATCCATCAACTTATACTTTTTGAATTTTCCAGAACCTTGAATGCTGCGGAAATTGATGCCGCTATTCTAAAATTCCAATCCTATGTGGCCTATGTTATCAATTATGTACGTAAAGACGATATCAGCCATAATCGGGACGTCTTCAGTATGCTTTATAATATGTACATAAGTAAAGAATCGATTGTTCAATCGATGCGACGTATAAAAGGATCCGGTGGGTATTCTGGGAAGACACTCTACTCCACCATGAGCACCATACGACATACAAGAATTTCAGATCTTTGTCGTTATGGAGGTATATTGGTTCAATTAGTAAACACCAATTTTGTCATACCGTTCGTGACGCCCGAAATCATCTCTGTTAAAGACGTTTGTGAAAAATATACCAAAATTTGCGATATCCACATATTGACATTACGCTACGAGACCAAGGTATTGCAGGCCACGCGAGACCATTTACTATCGACACCGGCATTACAAGTGTTGAATGATATTGTCGAAAAGAACAAGAATCGTATGTCAGTAATCTAATAAAATATTTAAATGTATCATAGACTAGCCTATTCAAAAATCATCAAAGCGTCTACAATTATCGTCTAAAATTTAGGTACTCAAATTCATTCTTCGATATAAGGATCATAAAGAGATAAACATAAGAGACATTTCGCTATTAATCTACAGATTAACATAAAATCCAGTTATATAAATCATAGGGTGATAAAACAGTTTTTTTTTTGGTACACGGTAATGTTATTAATACACGAGGGATAAGACGGACCTAAATATTTTAATTTGCAAGAGACCGGTTTCAAAACTTGCATGACGAGTTCCGCCATGTGTGTACAATTAAAGATAAAATCATCCACGTGATAGCACTTTTATATATGTGTAGGCTTGCAACTATTGAAATAATCACTGCAGTTTTAGAACGTGGCATGGATGGTTTCTAAATTGGCTGGGAAAACAGGGTATACCATGCACCTCTAACAAGACAAACAACAAATACTTGATGCCAAGCCTCTCTAAAATTATGGGCGATCCTTTTTTTTTTTTTTTTTTCGTTTCACACTGTCTTCTCATGGGTGGGAACAAGTGATTTTTAACCCAAAATTTGGGCTTTTACAGACCAAGAATATCTTAACTTGATAATTCCTCTTGTAATTAATATTCTGTAGATCTTTTTATATTAATAATATCTTGTTAAATTTACAATAAACGTATGGCGTGCGGGGATGAGGGGGAGAAAAGGGTGAATCAGCATTTGCAAAACCGGTCCTATGATTTTGTGTCACCTTCACCTTCACGTGCAAAAAAAAACTCAGTGTGTGTGTGTGTGTGGGCCCTTAAAAAACAAAAATTTCCCTGTGGAGAGTTTTTAATTTTCTTTCTTTTTTTAAACTTTTTTTTTCCTCTAATTAAAATAATGGACATATATAAAAAGCGGCACTTGGAAAATAATCAACAATATAACAAACATGAACAGACGATCGACAGTATACAAAGTGCGTTGCGTAGGGAGATACCACACCTAATACAAGAATTTGAACTTACAGTGCAAGAATCGGATACAATCCATGAATTCATTAACGATCGAGGTGAGAATTTCATAAAGCAAAAAGATGATGATACATCATCTAAAAAGAGAGAAAGAGAGAGATAGACTAATACTAAAATGAACTCTAGCAACGATGTTTCGATTTCTCAGAAAAAATAAATATTCATTGCCCACTTCGCTTTCATTATTGTTGGACACCGTACGATGGAGGATTTTGGCTGACATTGATGCTATTCGCGTATCCAGCGTCAGAGAATTTTTGCATGAACCTCTTGTCTATTTTCATAAATCCGATAAAATACATCGCCCCGTCTTGGTCGTCAACCTTGCATATTTACCAAAGGCACCCGAAGGTTATGATGTCACTGAATTCTTGACACCCCTAGTTATTTTTGTCTTGGAAACCGCTCGTTTGTTAATCTGGGACAGGACAAAGGAAAGAACTCAGGCAGGCACAGAACTTCCCCTTGTGCTGGAAACAATGATTCTAGTGGACTTTAAAAATGCCAATGGACTACCCACGGTAAAAGCACACAGACTATGTGCACATAGAGTTTGGCTTACTAATAATCTATATAACAGGACATGACCCTGTTTAAGTCGTTCGTTACTCTCATGAGAAGATACCCGGGTATGACAGGCACCGTTAATTTATTAAACTTTGGTTGGATGTATCAAGGTCTTTGGCAAATGTGTAAGCTGGTATTATCCAATGACGCCAAATCCAAGGTGAATTTCCCCAAATTACCAGAGCTCTCTGTGCTGATTGAGCCCAAAGACCTGCTGACTGGTAAAGAAGCAAAAGAGAAGACAGAAAGAAAGAAAGGATACTAATATGTTACTGTAGATTTTGGTGGAGATGACCCATTCTTGTGGGACTCTAGAAATGATGGCTACTATGCCAAGTATAGAGGATCGGTACAGCAGCTGAGTCGTCGTAATTCCAACTCATCCATTTACTATGATACAATTGAACCCTTCACGAGACCGTCTTCGTCATTTAGCTTATACGGAACACCGATTGGATCATTAACACCTGTAGCGAGTCATGCCAATTTAACAAGTGTAGCCAAAGCCTACTCAAACTTATCCCTTCCTTCCAAATTGGGCAACGGAATGCCACTTCGTACAACCATAAAGACACTGGGATTGTTTGTCAATGCATCATCCACTGATTTCATTGGCGGTGTGCCTTCATGGGTCCTGTCAGAAAAGTTAAATGCGATACATGGAGTGCGGGATGAAACGACAAGAAGGAGGAGATGGTTTATAAAGTTACTGTCCAGGTGTGAACATACAGCCAGATACATGACAATGCGCATCCTGCGAAAAGTCGTCAAATACCGTGGTACTCTTTACTGGGTTGTTGCTTGTTTCTTATTGAGAAATGGAGTTCAAGAACTTATAGAACATGTGTTTATGTTAATGATGCAACTGATGCTGACGAATTCGGCTAGAAATACGGTTGGTTTAGGCAGCCTACTTAGTTTAACTTCTGGTCAAATGACACTGTAAATAATAATAAGACCCTATGACGTACAGAGGGGATGACCCGCACCCTCACATATAAATTATATGCAAAATACTCAATCCCGTTAAAATAAAAATATATCACGTGTATTAAACATCTAAATATTTGTTTTTATTACTATTATGATCCATCATTTCTGCTCGTACAATTAATATATCTCTATCAGGTAAAGATCCCAATAACATGGCAGGATACAGAGTGATTTCTTGTTCAAAGTGTGAATCACTCAATTGGATGTAGAGGCAGTTGTAGTCATACTTTATAAAACGATGGATTGAGCCGTCTTCTTCATCTTGGTCAATTTCTTTTATACTGGTGCTGTCCTGTAATGATCCGCTACTATCCTTGATGTGTTTAATAAGCAGTTCATGATGTCGGTAAACGTACTCCAGCTTCTTTTGGTTTGATCTATCAAAAGGTATCCACGCGTTGGCAAATTGATTATTCTCAAAAAACCAAGTTACCATCACAATATATATATAAAAAAAAGTTAAAAATGAGAGAAAAAAGAGAGAAAAGAGAAGAGGAGATTTCCTTCTATTTAAATGTAACTATATAGTTAGCTACATGTGATGTACAAGATAGACTATGATACGCCGTCATTGTACTTCGCAAAAGACCGGCCAATTCCGACTCTAAAATGAACTGACGGTGTGCAACATTGAGCTTATTTTTCTGTCATTCATTATCCATCACCCACTAAATTTCTCCCCCGAAGGTTGCTTTTCTCCTTTTTTTTACTTTTTTTATTTTGCCCACTTGTATAAAAGGAAGTTTTTTTATCTTTTATTATCCCCCCTTTCATCCTTTTCTCTTTCTTAACATGACCCATTCATTCAAATCGCATTCATCCCGAACAACAAATAAAAGACAAGTCATGTCACCTCCATCTTCACCACTTGGAATAAATAGGTACCATAATTAATATTTGCGCTTTGTTTACGCCCAAACTAAAACAAGTATTTTTTTTATTTTTTTTTATAGAACGGTAACAAACGATTTAAACGAGGTTATTATGATATCTCTGTTGCTATAGCAATAGTTTCTAAACAACCATAACAATTTTTTTATTGCCCAAAAAAAAAAAAGGTATACGATTGCGCATCACAGATCTCGGATCAATTACGACCTATTCATGCAAACGTACAACTACCAAGTATCAGTGAACTAGACGGAATGATTGATAATACTGGCAAAATGATGCGTGTCTTGGATGATGCAAAACAAACATGGTTCATTCCGTCCGTCACACAACATCGGCCGGTTGTGTCAAATCCAGAATCAACTTCAAAGCGTTCTTTAAAACGACAGGTAACATCAACAACAACAACAACAACAACAACTATTTTGATATGTTTGTTTATTGACTTGATTAATTTGTACACAGAGAACTAGCAGTAACGCACTACCTTCAAAGAACCAATGTCATTCATGTAAAAGGTATGCATATAATATTTAATAAAAATAAATAAAAATCTCACGCTAATAGGAATATATTCTTTATTCTCGTGTAGTACTGAAACACCCGAGTGGCGTAAAGGTCCCCTTGGTATGTACATAGAATGTCAATTAAATAACAAAAAAAAAAAAAAAACTGACTACCCAACTCCCAATAGGCCCTCGCACTTTGTGCAATGCATGTGGTCTAAGTAAGTACAAGTGATCCGATCCCTTCACGCAAATAAGAAGAAAAAAAGGGGAGACATACTAATTTCATTGTCTTGCTTCTTAGTTTGGACTAAGCTCTGTAAACAACAAGAAGAAGATGATAGTTCAAGAAGAAAGTTTAAAAATAATTCATCGACTTCTTCACCAGTCATTGTTGAGGATGGTAATTTCAATCCCCTTATTATTCTATTCTTGTCTTTCCTAAACATTTTTTTTTTTTACTTATAGGTATTAGCAGCAGTAATAATAGTAGTCCGGCCCTATCTTCATCTAGTTTAAAGGATAATAACAAAAAATACACCCTTTCCTTTTTATTGTCTTAGCCCTCCGCCTCCCCCTTTCATCTTTTGTTTTGTATAATATATTAAACGCTAGGGAATGTTGCTTGTACACTTCGCTTAATACGAAGCATTTCCTTGAAAGTATCTTCATTACCATGTTGAACTTCAAAGTCGTGCCATGTCTTCCAGAACCCGGGCTGTGTCTATTTAAACAGATTTAATAAAGAAAGATTTATCTCAAAAAAATTTCGTTGTTCGTGTTTATACTTACTCTCGGATCAAATATTTGTGATGCAAATCCATAAATGGCACGTGCACGGTCAATTTCACCCAATTTTCTTTCCAGTTCGGCATATCTTAAACTCATGATACGCACATCTTTATCAGGAAGTGATTCGATAGCACGTTCATAAATCTCACGTGAGGCCATGATACCAAAGGATTCGGTGGCTTTAGCAATATAGTATTCAAACATCACCATACGGTCTTCATCGGCTACAGCCTTGGTTGCACGGTCATAGATACGCATAGCATGACGAGCTAAACCGTGTTCTTCTTCTAATTTACCATACATGAGGAAAATAGGCTTGGCATATTTAGGAGGACATGCTTCCAACGCTTGCTCAAACAAATCTCTGGCTCTTTCAAGTTTGCTACCACCATAGCGCTTTAAGAATCGCTCGAGGTAAATATTCCACAATTCAAATGCAATTGGCCAGCCAAACAATTCAATACCACGTTCATAGACCTTGAAGGACTCTTCAAAGTATTGGTTTTCCTCCAAAAAGGTAGCATAATTCACGATCACTTGAGGATTAGCAATACGTAAATCCATTACTTTATCATATACAGCCTTGGTACTCTCAATTGAGCCCACACTTTCTTCTAAATCGATATAGAAACTCCACAAACGCAAACTTTTAAAAACACGCTGTTGTACAGGAATGGATTCGTCATGAAAGTTCACCTGCTTGGGATTCACGCTTAAAAGCTTGGGGATTGCGGTGGCACGAGCCATCACATCTAAGGCCGCATCAAAATCATCATGACGGGTTTCCATTTCGGCATATTCACACCAGACTTCGGCCAAGTCATTCACGTTCTTGTAATTCACCTTGACCGCCTTTTCGAAAATCGCACGCGCAGATTCAATATCCTGTCCGTCTTCATAAAATTTGGCAAATTTAGCCCATAATTCATGCAATTTACCATGAGCTCTTTTAGGATTGATGGTTTGAACAGCTTGTGTGTATGTTTCCACAACCTATAATCAATTTCCCTGGTTAGTCATGTCCACCCTTTCTCATTCTTATTCCATTGATGATATACCTTTTCCTTGTTATCACCCCAAAGAACAGCTCTTTGCTCCCACTCTAATACATTATTAGGGTTCTGTCTCAAAAGCACATCATTGACAAGGAAAGGACGACGATCCATTAAACGTTCGAATCTTAAAAGACGCAAATCTAAATCCAAATCCTCATCCTCATCCTTTTCACCTGCCTCTTCACGTTCAGCAGCCATCTCCATCTTGGTAGTGATCATTTCTTCCTCAAATTCGGCATAGGCGTCAAAGATGACTGTGAAATCTCGGACGGTCATGACAGTGGTGATACCTTCTTCAAAGATATCGCGCGCCTTTTCAATCTGCGCCATCTTGATCCAGTACATGGCTAAACGAGCGTAAAGTACGCCCACTTGATCTGTAAATCGTTTGATACCGCTACGAATAATGGGCTCTACTTGTACGCTCTTGATATCCTCACAGTGTTCGACTACAAGCTCACATAACTGTTGCCATAACTGATAGTGTGATTTTCCTCGTGCTGAAGCAAATTTGGTGTCGTTTACAATCTTTACAAGTTGAATAGCAGCTTCGTCATAGTGTTCAAGTTTTATCAGACTCTCAATGTAATTTTCAACATATGTGGGTTCAAACTATGATAAAAATAAAAATAAAAAAGTGTCAAAAAAAGTTTTCTGCAAAAAATATAAATACCATTTTTACCTTCAAATAACGACGGTTGATACGCAAAGCAGTTTCGCCTCCAGCTGCTTTAGCGAACTGTAAATAAAGATCCCAAATACGGCCATGTTGGGTGACGGGAAGTGCACGTAAAGCGTTATCAAAACTACGTCTTGTTTTCGTAATCATGGGTAATGTCGTTAACAAACTGAGGTAATCAAGCCAAATTCTAGGCATCTAAAAATATTTTTCAAAAAGGAGGTTACTTTTTAAATAAGTGGACTCAATTCAATGCTCATAATCCATCTAATCATACCTTATTAAGTAAGACAAGAGCACGTTCGTATAAGGCAATGACCGCACTATACAGCGATTTATGTCGAACGGCATTCAATCCCTTTAGTTTCTCGCGTCGAATATCCAAGTATTGTTTCCATAATTTGTAAGAACCCGGTAATTCACTAAGGGCACGTTCATAAACAAAATATAATTCGGCGCTGGATCCATTACGTTTATGATCAATGTATTGTAACCAAACACGAAGTGAAAAGGGGCTTCGAAGCAATTCTTCTTCGTATGGTATATCGTGTTCGTTCTATCAGCAACATTTTTGTGTTGTTTTTAGTCTAGATTCATGCAAGAGTACTTTATAATCAAACCTTACAATCAAGAATTCTTCGTGATTGGCCACCATGTTGAAAAATGTTGAAAAAGAAAAAAAAAAGAGGTATCAAAAAATGAAAACTTGTCATGAAATCCCGAATGTCCTCAATTTTCCAAAAAAAAAAAAAAAAAAAAAGTGACGTCAGCACTTTTTGGATGTAAGTAAAAGCTGTCAAGATGTGCATAAATCATCGATAGTTTACTTAAAAAAGACGTATGTACCAACGAAATTCTCTTTATCAATACATATTCAAGAGAAGTTGGCAATTGGCATGTTGTACAATCTATTTTATTAGCACTTTTGTATACTTCCTACTAGCAGTAAACGGATTTTTGGATCATTGTAAAAGATATTCTGACAAGCATTAACAGTATAAAGACAGAGACTTTCTGCGCTGAGAATACCACAAGCTGTGTCAAGGAACCTAAAGAGGAAGGTGATTTTATTTCCACAATTGTATTGAGAACAAGAGAGTATGAACACATTGGCAAAGTTTAAAATAGCATATAATAAAAATTAAAAATAAAAAACGCGCATACTAAAAGCGAGCCGCACTTTCAATCGCGACAGATGTCAAGTCCCAAATACGATTTCTTTGGTCAAATTTTCTTTCATATATGTTTATGCCCCCTTAGTGATCGCCTCGTTAAATGGAGAAATGGCAATGATTGATTTGTATGTTCATATTCTGTTATTCCTGTTATTGTGAATGTGGTGAAAATAAAAAAAGGCTTATCAGAGATCGAAAGTAACTGCTTGACGTATTTGTATGTGGTTTAAAGCAGGACTTTTTTTTCTTTTGATGACATACAATCATAATATATATGAGACAACTTTAAGTAAAATAATACTTGTGGATGAATAAGAAAGAGAAGATTATCATAATTTAAAAAAAAAATATTTTATTTATTAACATTTGTAATCCATACCAGAGTTCCAATAAACCTACAATAAAAAGAGTGGGAACCCCTTTGGACGGCCAAGTGCAAAATTTCTAAAAAAAATATACCCTCAGAGGAACAAATAACGCATGCAGCCCTTCATCATATTGGTATTATTAGAATAATGACTTGCCTAAGGTCATAAGCTAAATGATCGGGGACCCAAGAATCATTTGCCGTATATATATATAAAAGAGGAACTGCAAATAATAAAAGTGTGCCACCAAGAAACACCTTTTATATATATATAAAAAAGAGGTGTGGCTGTTCACCTCCTAACAGTTTGACTTGCTAAAGGTCAAAAGACTGTTACGATAGAGATTTGTATATAGAACCAAGTATAAAAGAGCTATGGTTATTTTATGTAAACTTGCCTAAGGTTTTTCTTTCTCGCAGTCGGCTGGACCAAGACCTACTGCCTCTATTTTATAAATACGGGCGTTAGTAAAAAGCTAAAAAAATTTATTTTCAAATCATGTACTTTACCTTACACTTCCATGAAAAATTCAAGATGTTTATTTGTTAAAGGAAAAAAAGAGAACATCTTTTTTTTTGCCAGGGTAACAAACTTTATACTTTTTCCCACTTGGCTGACCAAATCAGATTTTACGTCATATCAAGATGTAAACAATCAAACACTTTGAAAGTGTGAGAATACATTACATACAACTCTTTTTTTTTTAATAGGTCACTGACTTTTAAACTAGCCAATCACCTATGATGCTTATAAATTTTTGTTTATGTCGGAGGCAAAGTTTTTGATTTTATTAGTGGAAAATTGCAAGGATAGGTTTTTTTGTATGTATGCCGTATCCTTTTCTGAAAAGTGTTATTAATATACAATAAAGACAACAAATGGAGACAGAGAGAGACTAGTTTATCTCGAGATAGGGACCAAGAGCCTGAGGAATACGTTTTATGATGAAGGCTGCTTGGCGCATCCGAAAGAAATTATTTATTAGTGGAGATGGACAAGTTAAGAGAAAGCGAAAGTTGATACCTCAGGATGTAAACAAATGAAACAAGCAAGCGTTGGAAAATGATCTGGCATAAATCTATGGAGGAGCGAATGATAAAGAATTTTTTTGTGTATCAGTCAATACCAGATACATCGACCTGGATGAAATAACGGCAGTAGCCAGAATCAAGGCCAAGAGAAAGACAGCACAAAAGAATATTGTGGAGGCAGTAAGTGATGATGGGGAGACTGAATAGAGCATACTCGACGAAATTACTTGGTAGTGAAGTGCTCAGAGGGACAGCTGAAGTCATGGGCAAACCAATAACCTGTATGAATGGAACTATACTGACAGTTTAGTGGTTAGTGACTTGGGTAAAATGATGTAGACCACAACTAGCAAGCCCAGCAGGAATAAATCATAAAAAAAGGAGGTCAGATGCTTATATTAAAAGTAAAGGCAGTATAAATAATGAGGAATGCTGTTGCTTGGCTTAACTTTGCAGATGAGAGGACCAGGGATGACAATAGAATTACAAGCATGTGGAAGAGCTAATAACAACATTGGTAAAGTTGTGAGGAAAGAGATCATAGCTTTAAGAAGTAAAGATAAGGCACTGGTTAATTTACGGACTAAAGGAGATCTACGCATTGGAAACAAAAAAAATCAATGATCCAGTTGTATAACAGGTGTATAGCTGGTGTATGGAGCAAGCGCTTTCAGGATATTATTCCGCCTGGGAGAACGGGGAATTGAGGAGTCTTGGAGACACAATTCCATCCGCAATATGAGCTTGATCAGATGAAAATTCATCAATAGAGGTAAATAGGATATGCTGCAACGACCGTATTTGAAGTACAGACTGTTGGATGGCGGGATTGGTAATACCTAAACGAGCTCTAAATAAAAATTAAATAAAAATATTTTTCAAGCAGTCATCTTTAAGTTGTTATTGTTGTAACTATATTACTTGTTTTGTATATATAAGACACTCTTTTAAGAAGCAGATATAATGTTACATTTTGACCTAAGCGATTGCACAACCCTATAACAAAGCCATTATATAACACTTTTTTGTTATATGAGTGTAACCGTTTTGAGCAATAAAACCTCAGAGTTACAACAAAGCATAAATAAACGAAATTCTATCTGTAATGGACGTCAGATTAGATACCAAAAATAAAAGCACCGGCGGTAGTTTAGACACTTTTAAACAGTGTCATTTAAAGGTTTTCATATAAATCAGTACTTTCCAGCATCTAATAATTCATTGTTTTATTTGTCAAAAGACTTGACAGCGTTGGATCGAGATTCCAACTGCCCTTACGTACTTAAAAAACTAAGCGTATATTGCACTAACCGTAAATTCTTAGAGAAACTGATCCTTTCTTATAATGTATAAAGCTAGACTTTGCTCGAGGCCAGTATGATAAAGAAAATGCCAGCTATCCCATTCGCCCCGCCCTTTCTTATTATTGACATAGTGAATCAATTAAAAGCAAACCAACTTAAGATAATTAGTTACATATCTTTTTATATGGAGTATGGTGACTCTCATTAATAATGAAGATAATTCTAGATACAAAATGCCTTAATAAAAGTCAAATATTTAGTTGACGTAATTAGGTAAATGATAGTGATGCACTAATTAGGTTATACTTGAATTTGTAGTCGTATAATTGTATCAACCATTTAAAATACACCCTAAAATAAATCAGCAATCAAAATGTTTTTTTTGATCGATATTGGCGATATCGCTCAAAAAATCGAAAATATCGATATCTCCGATATTTTTGATTTTTTGATCGCTGATCGCAAAGCCAAATTTTCAAATCTCTATAAAAACAACCTATACATAAATAAATAGATGTAGCAATACCATGTTAATAGATAAACGTAATTTTTTAAAGAAAAAAAATGTTTATGGGGATGATAGCCAGGGTAAGAAAAAGACAACTTCAGATTACGTAAGTAAAATGAGAAAAGGGGACATGTGACTGTGGGTTTTAATGATTTTCCAACACTGCTGGTAATACTACTCTTATCGACTTTGAAAGCCTTACCAGTTTTTATTGAATATTTGTTGTTAGACCTGTCGACCCCATTCACCAACCCAATAGTAGACACAAGGTCCTTCGCATCAAAGACGACAATTTTTTTTTGCTCTGCCTCATCATGCGCGGGATGGCCTTTGAATAAGGGGAAACGTCATGATTCTTTATAAGTTCACCAAAAACGAAGTTCGAGCCTGGAGTACTTTCTTGATATGTAAAGTCAAAAAAGAACAAACGTTTACACACGTACCAGTTTTCAACAGGCCGAGACATCCAAATTACTTTAAGTGAGCACACATGAATTTAGATTTGCAAAAAAAAAAAAAAAAAAAAAAAAAAAAATAGGAGAGTGCCTTGAATCTATCATTTACAAGACTGATGAATCAGTTGCTGTAGAAAATAATCAACGGCGTTGCCAAAAAAAAAGGAATTGAGTCTGAATTTTTTTTTTTTCTTATTTAAACAAACTTTGTTTTTTATACCTTTTTATTCTTATTCTTTTTCCTCTTTTCTTTTTCTTCCAGGTTAATGTATGTATATGCGAATAGTTAATGGTATTTGATTCATCATAACCATTTTTAAATTAATTTAGATTTAGTTATGCGACTAATAATAAACGTGTTACAACTTTCTAATTTAGGATCAGACCAATGCTCTTTGCTCGGTAAGGAACTCTAACTACTTTCTTATATCTATTAGCGCATTTTTATAGCTAAAGGAATCAATACATTGATTACTTGTGGAAAGGTAAATAACTTGACTTTGGTATACTTGTTTATTATTAAGTTAACCCAACTTTTTAAAGCTGATTGATATTACTGTTTATTTGAGGCTCGTACATCCCACGGTTTTGTAAAGGTACACATTGCTAAACATGATAATTTATTCTCTTATTAACGTAAACCATATTTTTTCAGGTAAGTGATACTGCTGTTCTTCTGAGGTCTTCGTGTGGTCACTATCGTAGTTCCTCTGATTATGTCTGTCTCTGGTCATATTTTACTGGTCATTTTCCATATTTGAAGAGGTTCATCATGGTCAGATTCGACGTTATTTAGTTTTTTTTTATAAATAAATTTTTTTTTCCAATATATACAAACGTATCAATTTTAAGCCTGTATCCTGATTCAGCAGGGGTGTAAAAGTAATATTATATCGATTATCGATTACCCCATTTTTTTTTTACCCCATCCAACGATATTTTTTTGTTTTTTTGATTTATGGATCGATATCGTCAATCGCGATATTTTGGAAAGTTTGATCGATATTGCCAATAACGATATTTTAGAAAATTTTATCGATATCGCCAATCGCGATATTTTTTAAAAAAAGATCGTTATTTCCGCTCTAATTTGTTTGCGATATTTTTCAATTTTTGATCGCTGATTTATTTTAGGGTGATAGTAGCTGTATTGGTTCCCCATGGATAGCTAAATCATTGCGAAAGTTATAGATATTGATTTAAAAATTAAATAAATTATAATTGTTCAATGTAATATGGAAACAATAAAAAGAAGACCGCATAAGATCTATTTTTTCCTTGTGTAAAGATGTTTAGCTTAGAGTATAGATGGCTTAATTCGTTACTGATATAAAGAATTGTTCATGAAGAATAAATAAGATAATTGAATGTAGAATAGAATAGCGTCTTCGCATGCTCATTTGAGGTTTCGCTGAAAACGTATCCGTACATTTGGATCTGCACTTTATTATTCAATTAATATTAGTTCGTACAATATCTACAATCTCTATAAACATAGCTTAAGGAATTCCGGAAATTTATAAAAGAAGGTCATACCGTCAAGTCTAAGTTCCATACTATCGTTAGTTATCTAAAGAATTTTTAGAGATAGTAATGTTGAAAAATTCTGATATAAAGCTGGCATCTATAAGCATCACTTAAAAATTGCTCCGTCTTGCATGCTAAAAAACGATTTCAAATGTGAAGAAAGCATTATTGCTCAGAGAAGATAAAAGCCAGTTGATCACATTCAGTTCACGAATAAATTTTATAAAAATACAGCTTACAGTCGGATTGGGACCCAATGCTATTGAAATATTCACTTCAAGATGCTAGTTTTTTTAACTAATGACTATCGCATTTTTCGATAAATGTGTGAAAGATGATAGAACAAGAACAAAAAAACTAGAAACATTAAATTCAGTATAATGACGAGTAATAGCCTGATTGAAAAACATCTACACCAAAAAGTAGTTGGATGTGTAAATTATGTGTCTGTGTGTTCAATATGAATTTATTCATGAGAAAGAAAAATTAAGGTCAATACTTACCCCCACTTTATCATTTCCATAATGCACACTGAGCGGTAAAAGAGTGACGCTGACACCGAATGTGAAATACAGCGCTGCCTCTTAATGTGCCACTTACAACCCCCCTTATTATTCCACTCACGTTATTTTCTTGTATGTCTTATAGTTAGTAGATTTACATTTGCATTCATCTCTTATTACGAAAGTGACCCAATCGCACGAAGCACGCTCGTATTATAGAACCTGAATTTTATAGTTGGTATTGTAGACTAATTCTAAGTTTAGACGATCCTTTATATAAATAGATCAGACTAAAGGATGAAACCGTTGTAAATAACTTTGTATATTATGTCATTACTATAAAATGTAAGCTTATGTTTAGATGCCTTCTATAAAATAGAAAGTTGGGCATGGGCATAATAAATTTTTGAGAGGGTAACAAACATATACTTTTTTTTTTAATTTTCGTTATGTGGGTGATTGCATCTAGAGTGAAGCATCCGAAGCCGTTCGCTCACGTTTTAGAGGTAAGGGGGATGAGAGGGGGGGGGAATATAATATAATCCATGTATGAGCATGATTTATTAAAAGTGCACGTTTTGTAAATACAATAATAAACAATATCCGCAGTGCATAAAAAAATTAACATTTGTAAGATCAAATAATTGTAAAATGAACTCATATATTCTTTTGTATTCAAAAAGGAGGATACGTAAATACCCAATATTATTTTTTTATTTGAAGCGTTGTTAAAGATACAATCTATTTCTGTGTGCAAGTGTGGTTGGTTAGATGCGCGCGATTGGATGCACAACCTGTACTAGTTTTTAAATTGATTATACTCATTTACATCGGTAGATAATGAAAATAGATGTGTGTAATGATGTATCGTGTTTAACGTAGCCTACCATTTAATATTATTTGAAATAAACTGAGAAAATGTTATTGTTATCATAAAGTCCTATCACCTTTACATCTCTCTTACACCTCCAAAAATAAATTTAGACTAATGGCGGATTTAGAAATAAATGGGAGATGATGTGTGCCTTAATATGTTTATTACACCAAAAGAGAGAGAGATGGCTAGAACAAACAAAGCTATTATTATCTCTTGTGCAACCTATCCAAGTTTCAATGTTTATTTGCAGAGGACGGACAAACGGGGGGTTAAATGGTCTCCTATGTCAATTAAATTAGCACGCTCTTTTCATTATTCTCTATTTGCCTCTTTCCCCCTTCATATAGAGGAAATAGAAACATGTTATGAAAAGGACTGGAAATAATTTTATACTTTTGCCACTATTTTTGGATTGACATGTACGAAATAATGAACGATCAGTTAGTCATAATAAAAGTTGTCTCCTTGCGCGTATATGGTGTTACGTCAAGATAGGAGAAATGATGTGCAAAAAGAAAAAAAAAAAAAGACGGATATGCAGAAAATCATTACATGTTGTGTAATTTAGAAAAAAAAAAAAAGAGAGTCTTGTTAACTAATCAACAGAAAGAGAAACAAAGGGGTTTATGAAAAGGAGTTATCACTACCAAGATCCAAACATGTCAAAATTGTATATAAAGGCTCACCAAAAGGTCTACTTCTTTTTTTTTTTAATTATCCAAGTCTTTTCTCTACTCAAGCCTTTTTAACTTATTATCAACAATGAAGCTCACCTCCGTTCTTTTCCTCGCTGCCTTTGTCTTTGTCTCTGTCTCTGCCCGTCCTTGCGACAAGCCTCACCACAAGCATCACAAGAACAATAGCAACACTGAAGTTAAGGTAAACAAGGAAACCAGCAACAAGGAAACCTATAACACCAACGTTCATAATGTTGACAACAGTCAAAACAATGCCAAGACCATTACTCAAATCGACGAGGGTGATAAAAATCAATCCAATGGTCTCAACCTTAACCTTTTGGGTAAAACTTCTAACACCAAAAGTACCACCCAAAATGCTACTATCAATTAAATTTAAAGAGTATCTTGTAATTCCTCTTCCAGCGTATTTTTATGTACATCACACAATTATAAAAAAAAATAAACATTCCATATTTTTTTGTGCCAAAAAAAAAAAAAAAACTTTTTTATTTCGATTTCGTGGCACGATGATCGGGAAGGTTTCCAAGGTGAAGGGGCCGTTTAAATAATATTTTTATTTTCTTTTACAAAAAAAAAAAAAAAATGGAACTCTTTTCAATAATTTGGCAGTTTCTGCTACTATGGGTTTTACTTTACGTGATTGTCTTTTTATTACAAATCGTCACCACACGAAAAAAACAAGTTCCCTCGAAACGAAAGCAGGGTAATGCAGCTTTACTACCTACTTTCTCGATTCTCGTGGATGAACCTCTCGAAAGAGACCAATGGTCCATCAAATTATTTCAAGTCAAATATACCACACAACGTTTAAATAAATTATTCAGCAACATGACAGCATATGCTCCTCGTTTCTGGAGAGTTTGGTTCACAATAGGTGTCATGGCTGCTGCTGTTCTCATGGTCGTGGGCATGGGCGTGATCTTGTTTGCTGGCATCAAAATCATGGCAAGTCTAGGTCAACTCATCACACCTTCTTCCTCTGCTCATCAGAAACGTGAATTAGCTCAAGACGATCAAGTATTTTTACCCATGGTAAGCAGAAACAACATAATAATATAAAAATCATGCCCTTAATTTTCCATATGTACATATTTAGATACCCGGTGTTACTTTACCAATGTCACATATCGGCTACTATTTATTAGCATTAATCATCTGTGGCCTATTTCACGAGGGTGGACATGCCATTGCATCCTACAGTCAAGGCGTACCTATTCAAAGTTCGGGTATGTTTGTCATGTATTTATACCCTGGTGCATTTGTCAATATTCCAGATCAACAATTACAAAACTTGGATGCATTGAAACAATTAAAAATCATGTGTGCAGGTGTATGGCATAATCTTGTTTTATACGCTTATACCTCCATTTCTTTAGCTGGTGGGCTCAAATTACTCCTCTTAATTCTCGGTTGGCAATCATTGGAAGGGCATGGTGGTGTTAGTGTGGTACATATTCGTGCTAATTCCCCTTTGGCCCCTCATCTTCCCGCTTCCACCATCATTTATCAACTGGATGATTTCCCTTTAACCAACAATATTCAGGATTGGAACACACATTTATTTTATGAGGATGGTAAACATGTTTCAACGCAAGGCTTTTGTACAGCGAAACCCGTCGAGGATTATGGTGATGATTGTTGTGATATTGATGATGAATACCCATTTGGTAAATCTACAAACGCCTCTATTTCTTGTTTCAATACCTTCCCATCCAAACAACATGTAAGCATCCTGTTATAGTCCTTCAGTGTATATATATATAAATATCCTAATCTTTACATATCAGAATGAAAAGGTATGTTTGCCAACATTGGAAGTATTGTCATCCACCCATCCGGATCGCTGTTATAAACCGACAGATTGTCCCGGAACAGACATGAATTGTGTGACACCGTACACACCTTCAGCGGCTGGACAAGTGGTACGAATCTATGCTCGATTTCCTAGCTGGTTGGATGGACACGAAAAAGTCTTTATATTTGAAGGCGAATTAGTCGATATCTGGGAGAGTGGTAAACGAATAATATTTTTTCATGGACGCGTATTTATTTATTAATGATGTCTATTAATAGTTAAAGTTAGTATATTAATTCCTCGGTTTAGAATATTACCATCTGCGTTGCCACATATTTTAGAATTACTGCTAAGGTAAACAAAACATACACAAACAGATGGGGCCACGTATTTATCACTTTTTAAAATAATAGATATATTTCTTCATTTACATTGGCCTTGGCCATGTTAAATATCTTGCCTGCCTTCAAGTTAGATGGGGAGTTTGCACTTGAACAATTCCTAATCTTGATATTACAATCAAAAGAACCTGCTAGTCAAATCACCACACGCACTGTAGAGACACAACGATTTACACGTAAAGTTCATGATATTGTTGTCAAAGTAACCTCGGTTGTGGTAGGCTTTGTGATTATCGGTAGTATCTTGGTTGGCTTGGTATTTTCATCTACAGCGAATTAAAAAAGTAACACCAGCTTTCCCAAACCAGTCACCAACTGCAAATAAGGATGTTCCATGTGTAATGTCTATCGAGGTGCTATTTATATTTTTTTTTTTTACTTTCCTCTGCCCCCCTTTTTTTTTATATTTATTTCAAGCTTTCTTTTGTACTTCTTTCTCTTTCTTTGTGCCCCAATAGAACGACAAACAATAAAAAAAAAGGCCCACCATGATGAACTTATTTCGGCTCAGTGCAGACATGATGCATTTGGCATCCATCTTGATTTTACTAGCAAAGATTAAACAAAGCCGTTCTTGCGTTGGTCCGTTTTTTTTTTTTTATTTATTTTATTGTTACTTCTTTCATTGTCTAACACCTTGTATTAGGCATCTCACTCAAGACGCAAATTTTATTCTGTATTGTATTTTTGACGCGATATATCGATGTTGTATATAAATTTCACTCTGTATATAATACAGCCATGAAGATATTCTTTCTCGCTTCGTCTGTTTACGTCTTGTATTTAATGAAGGTCAAATTCAAGGCAACCTACGATCCAAACCTTGATACCTTCCGAAACGAATATTTACTGGTATTTGCTGCTGTCTTATCAGTTTTACTTTGTTACGAATACACCGTGATCGAGGTAAACTATTTATTATCACGAAAATTAAATAAAAGGGGGTGGATGTTAAATAATAAAAATAGGTACTTTGGTCCTTCTCTATTTGGTTAGAATCAGTAGCCATTTTACCACAATTATTCATGTTACAACGTACAGGAGAAGCAGAGACGATCACCACTCATTATATTTTCGCACTAGGTGCCTATCGTACACTTTACTTGTTTAACTGGGTTTACAGATATTATTACGAAGAGAAATATACCGTGGATTGGATTGCTTCTTTAGCAGGCTTATTACAAACTGCCTTGTATAGTGATTTCTTTTATATTTATTACGTCAAGTATGTGGTGATAAGCAAGGGTTTATTACGTATTTAACTTTGGTACTAACCTGTTTCATTTTTTTTTTTTTTTTTTTTTTTTTAATAGGGTTGTGAAGGGTCAAAAGTTCGAATTACCAAAGTAAGTGAATAAATAAAACAGAGAGAGAAAGAGAGAGAGAGCGAGAGTATGTGTCTGTGTGTATGTGCATAAAACTAACTTTTTATAATAGGAATGCTTAAAAGGTGCTTTTTTTATACACCCCCCAAAAAAGTTGTATTTAAACTGAACTTGAAATTATAATAAAAAAAAACTGAAATTCTTCTTTCTGCATCTTTTCCTATTTCTTTCTCATACAATTAACATCAAATGTTGCAAGATACTCACCCTTTTACAAAAGTCGAAAACAAGGATTATACTGAATTAATCGAAGAGTTAAACCAAATGGTTATCAAGGATGACCCGGAAGACCTACTGCAGTATTGTGCTACCTTCTTTTTAAATAAACTACAGCATGAACGCGCAGAGACTCGTCATTATGATGAACATCCACTCGGTATGTCTATAATATCAGTGATATAATATCAGTGATATAATATATGTGTATATATAACTCATCCTATATTAGGTAACGGTGGGAACGGTGGGTTTGGTTATTCCGTGGATACCAGTGGTATGAACTCGGTGGAAGAAGAAGAGGAGGAAGAACGAGACACGGTGGATGAAATGCCTTCCATATCTGGTCCTCCACCCAGTAGTCGGGGAAGACGTACATCAGTCAGTGCAGAGTCTTTACAGCCCTCTCGACCCAGTCAAGAACATATCAAAGTCTATATTCCCAAAAACCTGGAACAAAGTCTCCACATTCGTGCCGCCATTGAGAATAATTTCTTGTTCAAGAATCTCGATGAAGAGCAATATACCGATGTCGTAAACGCCATGGTGGAAAAACAAGTACCCGTCAATACACATGTCATTGAGCAAGGCGGCGTGGGTGACTACTTTTATATTGTCGAATCCGGTCAATTGGATTGCTTCATCGATGGCGTCAAGGTCACTTCATACGGCCCAGGTGGGAGTTTTGGCGAATTAGCCTTAATGTACAATGCGCCACGTGCAGCCACTCTCATCGCCGTCACAGACTGTGTTTTATATGCTCTTGATCGTGTTACCTTTCGCTCCATTTTAATGGAAAATACCGCTCGTAAAAGACGCATGTACGAACAATTCTTAGAAGAGGTGCCAATCTTTAAATCTTTGGAAGTCCATGAACGTCACAAAATTGCCGATGCACTTGAGCCTTTAAAATTCAGTGATAATGAAGTCATTCTTCGTCAAGGTGATATTGGTGATAACTTTTATTTGGTTGAAAGCGGCGAAGCCGTCTGTTACAAGCAGTTGCCCGATGGCACTCAGAAGAAAGTCATGGTTGTCAAAAAAGGCGGCTACTTTGGAGGTAAGTTTCTCTCTTCCTAACAACATCAACACTTGCTGTGTATGTTTTTTTACTCATGTTTTATTTTCTATTGTCAATTTGTAGAACTGGCCTTGCTCAATGATGAACCACGTGCCGCTACTGTGGTTGCCCATGGAAGACTTAAATGTGCCACACTGGGAAGAAAAGCATTCATTCGACTTTTAGGTCCTGTCATGGATATTCTGAAACGCAATTCTGAAAATTATCATGCTGTGCTTTTACAAGCTAATCCCGCATAAAAAATTGTACAATAAATCATTAATTATTCCTGAGTAACATTATCGAAAGTTATATATTTTGCTGTTGGTTATGAGACATCTAATTTATGCGCCCCTAATATGTCAGCTTTGTTTACGTATTCAGATAATCAATATAACATTAAAGAGTTTTGGGCATTTTTTTTTTTCACTTCCATACTAAGCAAAAAAGGCATCTCAGTGCTCAATGTTTTAAGAAAATGTAGAAGCAACTTTTCAAATTTCCACAATTTGTGGTTTTACAGTGCATCTATTTTACAATGAACAATTTTCGTTAAAACGGACATTTTCAGAACTTAAAAGTCGGATTTTTAGACTGGTGATTTTCATATTTTTTGACAGAGAAATCTAATTTATCGCGGGAAAATGTTTAACCGGGATATATCCGTTGGATTTTTATGAATTTTTGCACTGTAAAACACCTCCCGGACATCTTTGGGTCTCCCCACTGTAAATGGCCAATTTTGTTTTGCCATCTGTAAAAAATTTTGTGTGAAAAAAAAAAAAATTCCGGCTCTATTAGTTTGTGGAAAACTCTCTAATAAAGAATGTAATAGAGCCGGATTTTGGATACCTGTTGAATTAATCGAGGAGATAGAGTTTTTATTTTTTTTTGAAAAATCGGAGCCAAAAATTGTTCATTGTAAAATAGATGCACTGTAAAAACCCGTAACCTGATTTTTCTGTGAACAAAATTACAGGTTTTACTCTTGGCAATTAAATTAGTTATAAAGAACTACCCTTTCGTCAAAAATAACATCCAACCCATGTTTAGAAAGAAAATGCATATATATATATATATATATTCAATCACAGATACTGTTTTATGAAGCCAATGTTGTAAGGCTGTCGAGGTCCAGCATCTTCCTTTAGACAAACATTTACTTTGTCGTGATTTATAAAAAATTGAACTTCCAAAGGGTGTTTATGTACTAAAATAAATTTGATTGGGAACCTCCCCCAAGTATGCTTTATATTTTTATCAGTTCAGCTTGAACTAAACAGTTTTTACATTGGGACTACTTTATATGAGTGTGGTCATCTTCCCTCCACAGTGATAGTCTTTTTAACCGCAATCTACACAGGATCTACTTTCACATATTGCACGTCATGTCTATGTGGAAACAAACAAGTTTCGATATCTGGCATACGTCTTCAATGCCAAAAACATATAATCAATTACACTCACACTCCTATATTCATTTCACAATCTTCCACGCAGTTTCATTATTCCCATATTCAACCTTTTTGGGATGAGGCAAAAGTCAACATCTGGTACTCTTTTGTTAGGCTGGAAATTATTGGAAACAAACAAGTACAC